AAAAAGTAATAAGAGTCAAGTAAACATGTTTTTTTTATCAACATATCAATCACTGACAGTCACAATTTTGACAAGCCCTTGTTGAAAATAAGACCTATATTAGCATTAACTAACAGAATATTTTTATATTTATGAGTGAACACCCTCAAACAAAGTTAATCATACTTTACCAACTTAACAAAAAAAATCGCCTTAATACAAAATATTTTGGATGAAAGCGGGTCACACGTAGTTTTTGAAGCCACAAATAAGGCCCGTAAGATGCCTTGGTACATTCCCGACATCAAGCAAACGACAACCAGGGTTTGCAAAATTCATGTTTTTTTTTTTTTTAATTTAAAAAAAATATCGGATTTTTATTTAAACCACTGGTAAATGTATATGTATATATTTTTTTTAAATATATTTACCAGCCAAATCATGTCATAAAATACACTGGTTATCATAAATTAAGGAAAATTCACAAAAATCGCGATAACTNTGAACCTGGTTCGCAACTATGTTCAAGTAGCTTACAGACGTCAGGGATTGTTCTATGAGGATTATGGGTCCTAATGTGCCCCATGAAAACATTGTTCCTAGACGAGAAACCATGAAAACCTGGGCGAGCCCATTGTTATAGATGGAAGGTGGTCATAATGTAATGGCTCTTCGGCGTATACTAATTTTGCTGTACGCATGTTAGGTTAAGCCTAATGTTTAAAATAACAGTCTACAATAGTGAGAAGGCCACAAAGAAAATTCGCAAGTTTTTACAGAATACTTCAAAATACGTTAGCAGTATTATCAATAAATACGAACACAGCCAATGAACAAAGAATAATTAGTTCAAATCTTTATTGTATGAAATATAACAAAAAAAATTATAGAATTTTGTTCAGCCTTTTATGAATTAGATTGTATATACTTGTAATATGAACGATGCTCAAAAAATTGAGCGAACAACTACAAAACTCATATTAAAATCTAAATAATCACTGAATTTTATTTTATTTTTATGAATAAAACTTCAATTTTTAAATTTATATAATTATTTAAATTTAAAATGAAACCTAGGAGATTAACTTATATGCATATATGTATATAACTTATAACTTATATGCATAGGAGATAATAAGATGAAATAAACAAAATTTTACTAATACGACAAATGATTTGATTTGAAAGGTAAAAAAAATTTTTTTATTGCGACTGCAGATGAGGCCATTTAAAATTTATTAAAGCCTGACTGTGCTTATTAGTTTACATAAAATGTCAAAGTTTTTGCGTTAACTATTTACAAAATAAATACTGAGATTGATACCTTTAGAAGGATTCTTATATAAAAATAAAATAAAAATTGAAAAAATTATTTTTTAAAAAAACGGGAAATAACAATATAGACCGTCACTAACATGGAATATAATTCTCATAAATTTCAACTTTTGTTGTATTGTTATTATTATTTTTTATTTAGATAAAACATATGACAGCCATATCAAAATACAAAACTAGGAACTAAATACACTGATGAATATATGTAGATTAAGTATCAGTGTAGTGTTCATCAAAAACTAAAGTTTCAAAAATTAAATTGGTATAACATTCAAGGTAATATTATATACTCGGTATTGTATACAAGGTAATATAATACTCGAATTGAGTAAACTGGTTCGTTAAATGTTATACCAAAATGAAAAAATAACAAATCTGCAAACAATAAATAAATAAGACGATAAATTATCTAAGAATTAAAAAAAAATCAGAAAGAAAATTAATCAGCTAAACAATTATTTCCACCCCTAACCCTTAAGAGAAGAGAAAATATCCAGTAATCGAATTTAAGAAAATAGTGGTTTCAAACTTTCAATCACGGCAACCAGTATAAGAAATTATAAGATATATATTATTTACTTTCCATCGCGTAATAATTCAATTTATTATTAGAAACAAATATTTTTAATAAGTAGGAAATCCTGCTTCGTTATTTATTATATAACTATTTGGAAGTGAACTGAGTCTACTATTATTTTTAAACAGTAAAATAACTAGCTTAAGCAAAAAGATAGATTTATCAAGAGATTATTTAAGATCAATCAATCTATCTTAAACATATTCAAAAAAAAAAAAATATATTAACCATAATATTTTGTTAAACAAGGTACACAAAAAAATTTAAACTGTACACGTTTTTTATGATAACTAGGTTCCTTAGAGAAGAAAAACAAGCAATAATAGTACAGAATAAATATATCATTATTATAAAGAGACTGATATCTTTTATGACTCTCATTGCATAAAAACATCGTTAAAAAGTAATAATAGTCAAGTAAACATGTTTTTGTTTTCTTTTATCAACACATCAATTACTGACAGTCACAATTTTGACAAGCCCTTGTTGAAAATAGGACCTATATTAGCATTAACTAACAGAATATTTTTATATTTATGAGTGAACGCCATCAAGCAAATTTAATCATAATTTACCAACTTAACAAAAAAAAATCGCCTTAATACAAAATATTTTGGATGACAGAGGGTCACACGTAATTTTTGAAGCCACAAATAAGGCCCATAAGATGCCTTGGTACATTCCCGACATCAAGCAAACGACAACCNGCTACTCTTAGTGGACAACATATGCAAATTTTGCACGTTTTGGCTTACTTTTGAAAGAGTTATCGCTATTTTTGTGATTTTTCCTTAATTTATGATAACCAGTGTATATTCACATGACTTAAAAACAATAATATAGCTATAATAGTTGATTTTTCTAACTAAAATGTTCAAAACATATTATTCAATTATTCAAATTAATCACTGAATAAATAAAATCACAGTTATTTTTGCTCAAGCTAAACATCGCAAAATTTTAAAAACAAGGAAGCAATTTGCCAGTTAGGTATTCAATGAAGAATAAATTAGTTTAGATCAGGACACATTAGAAGAAAAAAATTATGTTTCTCTAGGTAGATTCTTTAATACAAGTGAAAACTAACAGCGTCTTTAATGTTTTAAAAGCATTTAAATAATTCTTAGCTTATTCGAATAAACATAAAACGAAATGAGTATAAATGAAATATATTTGTTATGCGCAAATTATTTTATACGCAGCTAATGGAAAATTATAATTTAACATTTTAACGATATTCCCTTGTAGTCACTAATTTCATTTAATTACTAGGTTATTTTGAAATATAATAACTCACCCTATCATTATTTCTTATTTAAAAAAATCACACCCTGAAGAAAATGTTTATAAAAATATTTTCGACTGAATGATTTATTTAAAAAAATCAATTCTTTTAAATCAAGGATTTTCTTTTAAAATAACAGCTTATTTAAATCAATATTTTTTTTAAAAATAAAGTGATTTTAAATCGTGATTTAAATCATGCCAATCCTGCTAGCAAACTGATCCCGTTAGCCACAAATCACAAAACAAAAATAAGAAATTTATATTAATGCAAGCTAAATACTCAATGCGTGAAATAAAATAAGAATAAATTGTGTAAGACTCAACGGCTTTATTTATTTTAACGAAATTAACTTCTAGTAAATGTAAATCAGAAAATAAATTTTTTGGTCCATTATTCTAGAAAACACTTATTACCTCATTTTCCGACTAAAAACAGAAAAACGGGAGCAGCATTTTTAAACGCTCTAATAATAACTTAAAATGGACACAGAAGCGCATATAATTATGGAAAAAATAAGATAAAAATTGACCTAGTAAAATAGTAAAGGATGTTACAAGCTAACTTATAATCTGAATACATTAGATTAGAGGTTTGCAGCTACAGCATTAGTAAAAAATTATATCCATTCCCAAAGAGGAAGGGAATATTATAGATAATCGAAATCGTATCATGGTTTGCTCGTTAAAAAAGTCTTGAAGAGAGAAAAAAAAAATGGTCTTTCAGAAGTTAAGAATTTGGATATCATTATCAATCTTCACTTGCAATTTTTTTTTTTACTTTAACTAAAATTAAAATACCTTAACCCATAGTAAATTTTGCATAAATAATTAATTTTAAAAAATTATTTACGAATATATTTGCCTGTTAAATCATTATAAACAATATTTTTACTCAGACTTGTATAGTAGAATTGTAAAATGTAGATGCACAAGAAATTTCCGATGTAGAGCAAAAAATTCGTCAAATGTTTCTTAATGCTAAAAACAAAGTATAAAATAAAGATCGGACATTTTTTAAGTCTATACACACACTGATCCATAAAAAATTATCGCTTCCTCTCAAGGATTTGTAGCTTTTCATTTTCACATATTTTTTTATTATTAATTTATTTTTTAAATAGTTACCTAGTTAGTAAACACAGCGTTTATGAAATACATAAACATTATTTTGTTCCGAAAATTTTGTTCGCCCACGACGTTACCTGGTTAAATTGATTTTAGTTCAGTATTTGGGTTGGTTTTATACAATCCTATTTAAAGCCAAAACTTTTAATACAAGTACAAACATACAAGTAATACAAGTACAAACAAAGCAATTTAACTCTATAAGAAATTTAACTTTAGTTTCTTATAGAGTTAAATTGCTTTGTAAATAAATGAAAATATATAACTTTTTAATCATGTTTCTAATAATCACGTACTGATAGTCATGTGAATAGTATAAGTTAGAGAATAGAATTTTGTTAAATAATGTCGTAGGAAAAAAGAATATCAAGGTATTAAAAAAAATTGAGAGAGGATAAAATGAACTTTATGAATGTCATTTAATTTTAATTAAATTTTAAAAATTTTTACACTAAATCTAAAAATACATTTTTTAAATGTACACTGGCAAATGCATTTTCAAAATATAACTACTATTTATGAAAACAGAGGTAGCACAAGATTCCCTGGAAATATCCGACTCGAAAAGATAACAAAAAAGAACGTTTGCATTAAATAAATAAAACTAGACGCAGAATCAGCTATTTATCAATGATGCATCAAATATTCCCCCAGACACTTCATAATCAACATAAAAATAAAGAAAAACAGGACTCACCTTATAGATCGAAATACCATATCAGAGCTGGAAATACTTTTCCACGAACCACTCAGGTAATCTCGGCAAATTCTGTAAGCTTGATCCCGCATCTTCTTTACTTGGAAAGTAGGACCAGGGTTACTGCAAGCACACATGACAAACAAATCAGGAAGTGCATAGAAATCGGAAAAACAATGTTATTCAAATATATCACCCCACTACACTACGCTTGACGATATTGCGCAGACGTTCCCGGACAACTCAGTACGGAGAGAATGACTATCTAGTCGCAGAAACCGGAGAAGGAATAAATCGCTATGGTCCGGTCGATTATGCTCATGGGAGGAGGGGCAGGATACCTTTCGATTGCATGAGAATTCAGGATAAACAGAAAAAAAAAGGATATTACGTCATTCCGCATCAGTAAGAGAATTAAATTATTACAATACAATAAATTGTATTTTTATTTAAAGCGAAGAAAACATGAAAGCACTACATTTTTAGTGTCATAATAAGATGAAATAATCGCAAAAACGAGCTTTATTTAAAAATTGATTTTAAAGAACTAGTACATGTTTACTATCAATTAAAATCAATTAACAGTAAATGAACATTTTGAGTTTTTTTACTTGAATAATTTATATATTTTTCTCTTTTTTAATTATGAAAAATAAACAATACATTGCATTATTATCAAGCTGCTTCATGTAGAAATTGATTTTGAAGTACGTACTGGTAAACGTTCAAAATAGAAAGTCAGATTGTTGAAGTTTTGAATTATTTCCAAAAAGTGTATGGGAAAAACTTTTTACTTTAAAAATTGAAATTGTTAATACAATACAGTTACACCATAGAGTTGATATATAGCTGAATATAGAAGACTCAGGATAATTTAAATATAGGATAAAAAAGTAAAGAAATTAGGAATAAAAGTATTCTCCGTTTTTTTTAAATAAATAAATAAAAAAATATTCATTTACTTTTATTTATTTATATAATTTTTTGTATCTTATATCTTAAAATATAAAATATATCTAATATATATCTTAAAATGCTTATTGAATAAAAAAAATACTATAAAAAAAACTAAAATGAGCGATTAAAACATTTTTCAAATGATAAACGATACATTTTTCGAATGATTGCTTTTCCTATTTGTTTTCCAAATTAATATTAGAAAAGAAATGCTTCGCAGAAATTCTCAAACAGAAATAATTTTTTAAATAAAAATAACTGGAAAGGTTAAGGGTTAAAGGCTGCTACCATTTTTTAGTTAGTCAGGACACTTGTCAACTTACTAACGCAAGAGACAGAATATGCGAGGATGAAGTGCTGTCACAGAAGAATATAAATAAATCTATATTGTTTTAAATAAGGACCAGCTTTTATGTAGCAAAGAGAACTCAGAAATTCGAATGTTCTGAGAACTATAGTTTTTTAAGTCTCTAGTCTAAAGGAATCAATGGAGCACCCTGAGAACTTGAACCCCTTAAAATGCTTGTTTCCATTTCTGCGTTTTTCGCTATATCCAGGGCTCGAAAAAACTGAGAAATTTTACCCGTTCCCGAGGACGGCTTGTCCAACAATGTACCCGTCCTCCTTTGAAACTAACAAGTAGCTTCTAAATAAATAAAAATATAATTTTCTCCTATTTATTGCAAACATTTATATAAATTGCACAATGAATTAGTAGTNTAATTTGTGAAATACAGTAATAAAAAAATATTAGATTACTAATGGTAAACTAGTATTTCTTTTATGAAATAATTTTTTTCTTTTATGAAATAATTTAAATGACACAGGTCAAGCTATCTGGAATGTCAATTTATCCGAAAGTACTGCCTTTTTTAAATGAATCAAATATGACGTTTGCCAGTTCCACAATCAAGCCAATGATTGTGGAACTGGCAAACGTCATACGACAGAGGTTTCTGCACAGAAATTTAAAGGGGTTTTCCATTTAGGTAGATGTTCATATTTGCTTTTAACGCTTCTTGTTTAAGACCGTGCGCAATGTGCTTTTTTGTAACCCAGACAGAAAAAACACCAATTCCATCATGCGCAGCGTGTTGCTGTATTGCGGTGGGTCATTTTGCTGCATTAGGTCTTAGCTTGGGCTAGAAGGGCTGAAGTTTTCTGGTGTTTAACGATGTTATGTATCTTAAATTTTAATGACACCCATTAAAATTTTAGATATATTCCAACAAAAATTAAAAATATATCACGAACATTAACAGGAAAATGGCCGTCCGCGCGGACGTCGGATTCGAGAAATTCATTGTCCACGGGGAATTTTTGACCGGCAAGGACGGGCGGTTTTTCGATCCCTGGCTATATTTGTCTGAAATTTTAAGCTAATCAAAACATTTTCGCACACAATATTAAAACACGTTTATCCAAAGATAAATCCATGCAAAAAAGTTAGCTAGATATGCAAGGTTTTATCATTATATACTACATAATTTTAAATGATAAATACAAAATGTGAACAAAATATGCCGAATAGTTCACGAGATGTGAACATTTAAAAATACGACATTTTGGAAATTTCATACCTCGGTTTTATACGGAGTTCGTTCACATTTTATATATTGTCATTTGAAATTACTCAATTTACAATGATAGAAAAATTTCATACCTTATGATTCCAAATTCTTTCGACCACTGATAAATGAAATACGCAATTTTTAAAAATTATTTTTTGCGTGGAAATACCTTTAGATAATCGAGTCTTATAAGTGTAAAAAAATATTTTGTATCGCTTAACAAGTTTCAGAGATTAGCGAAAAACGCACAAATTGACATTAATATTAAAAAGAGCGAATATTCGACTGCTATCATGTTCTAATTACTGGGACCATATTTTCCAGATTGCAGCTTCTCCTAAATTTTGATAGTCAAAAATCCAAATCCATCAGAAAAAGATATGTTTATACTTAATTCCATAACATACTCTCTTAACAATAAATTGATATACTAATTCCTGATATCTGGGTTAATTGTACAAAATAAAAAGCAAAACAGCCAAAGGTTGTTAAAATGAGCTTATAATGCGTCAAACCCAACATTAAAAAGAAAAAAAAAATATTACAATGATAATAAATAGAATATCGGATAGGTTTTCAATGCAACAAATTGATATAATGCTAGAAATTATGCTTGGTACAAAAATAAAAGGGGAAGGAAAAAAAGAAATACCAACAAAAAAAAATAATAATAATAATTTAAAAATTAAGCGAAAGTCTCTAGGGACATTGAAATCCTAATACCTGCAATTTATTTCCTATCTCTAAATAAAACAGTATGTTAAATAAAACCAACTGTCTGAGGAGTAATCTTATCTAAAATTTGAAGATTTATCTTATCAAATCGAAAATAATTTTATCAAGCTTATCTTTCAAGCAAACAGAAAATGTAATTAAAGTAATAGAGAGATAAGTAGTTAGAAACTTCTGGAACTGATACACATGCAATCTTTATCAGAACAAAAAATTTAATGTTTAAAATGACAAATTTAAAAATGCTAATTTACTTTGGAGATAAAAAAAATTTATAACCTGAAAAAAAATGAGATTTTTTTTAACAAAATTACGTTGAATAAATTTTTTTAAAAAATATTCTTTCTGGAATCCCAAGATTAAAAGTTTCCAAGGCTATTGCAGCGAGGAGAATGCCCACTCTAGCACATAATATGCATTACCTCAGATTGGTTGAGCCATCTGTAGTGGTGTGAGGGGCTTATGAAAAAAGAGTGTTTAAAATTTTGATTAAGAGAAAAAACATTTATGGTGTTTAATCATAGCAAGGATTATTTTAATTTTGTTAATTATGTCTCGCCCCTTTGCCAATTTGTTTTTTACATTGAACTTAAAATTTGCTTTGTTCTTAATTTCTTTGTTCTTCAATGTTTAGATAATGCTTACAAATATTAGAAACAAGACACTAATATTAGAATTGCTTACAAATATTAAAATATTAGACTTCAAGCATGAATAAATTATTTTTTGAAATTAGAATGCTACTTAAAATGAGAAAATGAATTTAACAAAATACTGACTCCATTAAGAATCAGAAATTAAAGTGATTCAGAGTAAAGTGCATTGAATAAAAAGGATACATTTAATAACAATCAAATTTAATAAATGTAAACAATAAAACAGACGTAATGGAACTGTTAATTTAGACAATATTAAGATTTAAAATAAGCTTTTGCCCAGCTATTGCCTGTCACACAAGTTACACATATTCAATTATTGTGAATGATAACAGCACCTTAATGATAGTCAGGCAGAAATTCGTAACCACTTCATTGTTTCTTTCTCTCAAATTTTTAAAATAGCAAAATGCTTACCACATTAAATAGAGATTGGCACAAATTTATCATTTGTCTACTATCTCTGGTGCTGACCAGAAGTTTTTCAAAATAGAATGGATGGAGTTTTCTACACTAGAGTGCACTGCAAACTCTTTACTGCCTATATTTCCTGGTTACTCTTTCCAGGAGTCTGTCCAGACATTTTGTGAAAGGTCCTGTTTTCATAAAATTGTGAAAGCACTATTCATAATTTGTGAATATAAAATAAGCGTTAAGTCACATTATTTCAACAAGGGTCCTGCTTTTGTGAATTTGTGCAAATAGGGTCCTGTTATTGAAAAAATTGCTAAAAACCTTTTCAAGAAGATTTTAAATTGTAAATAGATACAAGATTCTGCTCTACAATTGCTGCTACTAAATTAGAGATGCAACATACAAATATTTGGTATCTAGCCTATACTGCTCAACACAGAATATTCATTTCGGACGAATAATGGAAACAAAATCACTCACATTTTTAATAATTTCAATTGACACATGTTAAATAACACAACTTAGTAATGTATCACTTTTAATGTGTAATGCATTAAGTAAGCTTAAGTAATTCATAAATTTATAGTATTTTATTTAAAAAATTGCCAAAAATTAATTTTGATTTACATAATGTTCAATTATTTATTTACAAAAAAAATTTATGACTTAATATTAATAAGAATGCACACACAATGAAGTCCTATGTTCAGAGTGTTATCCTGTTAGAATGCCAAATGCTCTCGATTTTTTTAATAATACTTTCAGCTGGAAAAAAATCATTATTCTTTCAATTTAAATTATTCTATTGACAACTTGTCTATTTCAATTCATAAATAATGTAACTTTGATTATTATAATTAAACCATCGTAATAGTTTTAATACATCCCTAAATCTAAAAATTAGTTTTTGCAATATTTTGCATTTTGGATTGCAATTTGAAATAAAATCATGCAATTTTGCTCAGCAATTTGATCTTTAAAGCTTCATTTCTGATAAAGACGAAAAATACTCTAAAAATTTATGCAGAGCGCTTAAAAATTAACCTTATATTTATTTTAAGTACCTTTGCATTCAAATTTTTTTTTTTTTTTACTGAAAATATGTCAAAATACATTTTAAAATTTTAACAATTAATAAACTAAGCTCCTATTATTATCTTCTAAGAATATTTAACCTTAAACAGATTACTCTTTATTTTTAGAACCTTGAATGGTTTAAACACCTTTAATTTCTCCTGACATTAAAAGAGCAATTTTATGTATGAACTAATTCTTAAAGTTTAAAGACAGAAGTACTCAAATTAAAAAAAAAATTTAAAAAAAATAATATTTGACATATTTATAATACTATACAAAATATTTATTTTAAAGAATTTTCTACATAAAATATTTATTAAAAATTCTATTCGCCATTTATATTTTAAATTCTAAAATAAAACACTTCTTTACTGTTTAAATTCATGTTGAATCAAATTTCGTTAGAACACATATTAGTCATAATTAAGTTTTTGACATGCATGTATATGCTTTCTGGTGATAAGTTTTTTAAATAACCCTATAAATAAAATTCTTGAAGAACTTATCAGTAATGACTCAAGCAGATAAGAATAATGAAGAGTTCTTGGCAGACTGACATGGATAATCAAGATGAAGATAATACTAGGGTAAAATCAGTTTACTAAAAAGATTCACACTCTGGAAAATATTTTGTATCAAGTAAAAAATAGTGTTAAATTGCAAAGTACTAGTTAAAGTTAAGTATAAAACATTTAAAAATTATTAAACTGTTCTCTATCAAATCTTATTTCCTTTCTTTTATCAAAGAGTTCAATGTGTCATAACAAAAAATCACACTACATCTTATAAATTAAAGGGGAAAAAGAGTTTTGATTATTAATTTATAAAAACCACAACAAAATTTTCTTTTAAATAAAATAAGTTTCTGAACCCAGAAATTTTAATTTTATTGTTTATCTTACAGATATACATAGGAGCAGAATTATAGATAATGTATGTAGCAGGAATTAAGATAATAACTAATGTTCTTGCGGTTCCAGTGTTTTCACTACAGCGCGAGAATCTCGCATATTTTTTTCTTTTCTCGCATTAAAAAATTACTGCGAGAAATTCGCACATTCTATAAATCAATTTCAAAATTCGCGAATTTCTCGCATTTTGGAAGAAGCTTCGAATTACGCCATTTAGAATGAAATCCGCTTCACTTTTCTTCCTGGATCTTTTATTATTTTCAACATTTGCCCCGTTATCTATCTTCCCTAATTACCAGTATTGTTCAGAACCTTTTCGAACAACAGAACACAACCGAACCACGGAACCCCTTTCAGAACACATTTCTCGGCAACCACGTGTTTACTGTTGGTAAGGTTTTTTCATGTAAGACGTTCAAATTTTTAATGCACTAATGTAAGATGGACAAATACCTAGTAAAGGCAAAATCTTCTAGGATGATGCAGCAAGAATATTCAATGCTTTAAAAAATAGAAGACATTAAAAATGTATTATAATAAATGAAATGATTTTTTTTTCAAGTCTATTTGTGTTTTTTTAGTTTTTAGAAATCCCACTTAACTTTCTGAAATCTCACCCTGTTTTTGAGAAAGGGTGAGAAATTCTCCCCCATTTTTTTTCTATGATGAAAACCTTGGGTTCGTAATAAATAAACTCTCACCATAATTAAATCAGCCTAATATTATTAATAAAAAACACATTGGGACATACTTTAATCTCTTTGGGGCTCATGGAAAGATTAAGAAAAAGAAGCAAGCCCAGACAGTATGAATTTATGCATACCAAACAATACATACATATATGCAGTAATGTGAGACGTAATAAGTGGTTATTGAATTGATATAACATCTGTGTGATCTTGGTCCGTTGCATATAGGATATTGAGGGCCATAAATTGAGAAACACAGTTATATATGTTTATGATCATGATCCTGACAAAATTAAATTGCTTATTTAAAATAACTATTGAGACCACAATTAAATCTAATTCCTAAGTTCATTCAGTGTTTTCACTACAGCGCGAGAACGCGAGAATTTCGCATATTTGTTTCTTTTCTCGCATTAAAAAATGATTAACGCGAGAAGTTCGTGCACTCTATTAATCAATTTTAAAATGCGGGAATCTCTCAAATTTTGTAAAAAATTTCGCCTTACGCCGTTTTGAAAAAGGCATGAAAACAGCTACAGCGAGTGTTGAGGAAAAAAAATGAGTCCTGTATAATACGTTGTATAAAGTTAGCTCTATTTTTAGCTGTTAATGAATTACCAAACTCCCTCATTGACAATTTACAGCAATTTGTAAAATTTGAAGTCTGTGAAAACTATGCTGGAAGACCTAACAAGAAGTATGAACATGGAAATAACTTCAGCGAACTTCACTATTCTATAACAGAAATCATTCAAAAGCCTATGCTGGCCGATGTAGAAGATAGGAAAGAGTGTGCACAATGCTACAAATTTAATTAATGAATCCGAATAGTTCATCTGTTACAAGGTCATTTAGCACCCAAAACCGAATTAAAATGAAAAATTGCAACAGATTGACTGATGAGCATTTGAGCAACCTAATGAGAATAGCTGATGAAAAAGTAGATATGGAACATTTTCCATATGCAATGAAAATATTGAATGGTTTAGAAATTAGAAAATGTTAAAAATGTATCAAATTAAAGAAAAAAAAATTTTAAGTATATTCGTGTTCCTTTTTTTTCCCCCCTTTTTTTTAATATTTAGAAATCTCACCCTGTTTTTGAGAAAGGGTGAGAAATTCTCTCCCATTTTTTTTTCTGTAATGAAAACACTGGTTCATTGTATTGCTGAAATAACACTAATTTCAAAATCTTATAACAGAGATCATCTCAGAACCTACTACTTTTTCTGCACAACAAATTGATTTTCTTTGTATGTTAAATAGTAAAACAATCATATAATCAATACAGCTTTACATGTAGAAACTTATCTTTTTGGTACTTTATTTTTTTACTGTCATACAATCTATTTCATGCTTTTAATACAAGATAAGTAAGATTACTTTCCAAAAAAATAAATTCAGTTATTAAAAATTTATTGTTTTACTTATGATTATGCCTCTAAATACATCATATTTTGTGAGTAACTCATATTAATTAGTAGGTAATGTCTTATATTAAAATAGATGACAAATTGTATAACATTAAAAATGCTGTCATTTTTGTTGAACTTCATTTTTTAACGATGCATTTATACAGTTCACCAATATTAATATTATTTTTCAAGCATCGAATTTTTTTAATTTTATACATCATAACTTTAAAAAAGTTATTTAATTACCAAAAGTTACAAAAAAATAAATAACACACTTACTCATTATTAACCATAGTTGCACAAGAATGTAAATCAGAGAGCAATTGACTAAATGATGAAATTATTTTTTCAATATTTAGTAGCCTACGCGATAAACATCGAAACATAAATTTACCCAATTAATGGAATGGCAGAACTAACACGCAATTAGTTCAAATCAATTTTACCGGTGTGAAGAATACGTTATTTTCACGAAAACAAAGTATTTACTCCTAGCACAACAAGTGCAATCAGATAGCTAGTTATAAGCTCCTGATATTACGGAGTTGAATAATTGAAAGGAAAGTAGAAAATATTTTCGCTACGTAAATAGAACGTCATATAATCACACCTTCCAACGTCACTCGAGCTTTAATTCTGGATGTTACACTAAAGCTCCATAAATATCCGTATGAAACTAAGCACAGATGGCGCTAAGGTTTGAAATTCGTCCCAAGATTTCCGGATTAGAACTTCCAATTTATTTTTGCAACTGAATAACTGTTAGATGTTCTTGAGAGAGCACACCATCCATTATTATTTTACTCAGAGTGTTTATAATGTAATGCACTCTTTTAGTTTACCATTAGCTTAATCCATTTAACTTTACTAGGGCCACGATTACTGCGGATCGGACATTAGTTGAAAACGGGTTTAGACAACTGCACAACCTTGTTATGATACTGCCTTGATATGAAGTTATATGTTTAAAAAGTTTCTTTCACTTTTCAGAATCTTGTATTAATGTTATAATATTTTATGATAGAAATAAATAAATATTATACATGAAATTCAAAAATGTTTTTATTATAATTAAGTAATTTTAAGCACATTATTTTTAACTAGTTTAAATGATAACTAATTTAAAGTAAAAAGGAAAGCAATGATGAAATTTAAATAAAAAATATAAAAAGAAAAAAATAATGAATGATTTATTTTTTGCTTAGTTATTTTTTAAAAATGTATCAATATCTGTTATTAAACTTAACAAAAATAAAACGAAATGGTCAACAATAGGATAATAAATTTTATTGTTATTTCAATTTAATGAACAATAATAACACACTGAGGTTAGGTCACTGAGCTGTGACTATGAAGACCTTGTAATCAGACCTTGGTGACCAATTCAGCATCAAATCGATTGCTCGTAACGGGTTGTTGCGAGAATGTTTTAATAACTTTTTAATTGAAATTAGAATTTCTGAAATAATTCTAAATTTATTTTATGTTTTCAATTATTTCTTTGGATTAAAAAAAAACTACATATTAAGTAAATATTTTAAAATCCTAATTTAACTAGATCTAGTTAAAGTCGGACAAGGATTCAATATTTGATCAGAGCTTGTTTGTTTTGAATAAATCTAGATCCAGGGATTTTTCCTTGAAGTTTTAACTATTTTGCGAAAATTTAGAATAAATAAGACCATTATCAGAGAAAAATGAATAAATATGAAGTCCTTCTTTTAAGTGTGTCCATTACCACTGATTTTAAAATGTAACAATATATATTTAACATAAAAAGCTTCAATTGATCTTTTTATGTTATTCCTTTTCTTTCATTTTAATATTCTAATCGAAACACTTTCTCAAACTTTTAAGTTCACATCCTGTCTTTTAAATCTATTTTTGGCTCAAGTATGCATTAATTAAAAGACATTTCCCCCTTTACTCTTAGTGGGAATTGCGAGACCTATTTAATAAACTAATAACAATTACTAAAATTTCCCTTATTCCCTAAAACGAAGCATTTTACGGATTTACTTTGCTAGATTTTCCCTAACTTATATCGAGGAACACAACTTTTCGTGTCCACTTTTATAGCTGTTCTCCGTCTAATAGTTAATAAATACATTTTGTACCCTCCTTCCATGCCTAAGATCTGTTTTAATCCTTCCACTCGGCAACGACATATTTTTAAAATTAATGATATACTAGAATTATTTGTGCATCTTATATACTACTAATTTTCTCAGTAGCTCTTTAAGAAAAAAATTGGCAATATTTTTTATAAAATTCTAAGATTCGTGAATATCTAAAGGTGTTACAATGATATGAAGCTAAATTTATTATTATTGCAAGTATAGACCATTTAGTTTTTGCAATCACTTATACATTGTAGTTCTCTTTACACACAGGAAGATTTGTCAGTATTTGCTCCGAAATATAATAACACAGAAAAGGAGAAACTCATAATGAACCCCAGGCAACCCCGCCTCCTCAAAAAATAATTTTTTTCACTTCTTTTCTTTTTGCTTAGGCAATTTAAGTTGGAGCAAACAGATACCGATCGATTGGGACGATCCTCTAGACGCAAAGATGTCATATAACTCTATTTCATTTTAATTAATATTAGCACTTTCTTTTCGTTTTGTTTCAAATTTTACTTTTATTTCAAGGACATTTAATTCTTTTTATCAGTAACATGCATTATTTTTTTTAAATTCTCAATTTATTTCTCGGAATAGTGTTTGTCAATGTTGTGGTATTTTTGGGCTAGATAGATATTTTGTTCTATATGTCAACATTTCACAACATAAAGCTTTTGGTTTTATGCAACCCTGAATGGTCATAAATTATTTTTTGAAATTATGATTATACATGAATGTCTTATTCGAATAACAGATTTAAAAAATTCAAAACGATTTTTCAAATTATGGTTTACATCGCATGCTAAACTTATGTCCAAAATACTGTCTGTCAAAATAAAGCTTTTTTTTCTTCGCATTTCTCCTTTAAGATTATCAACATAAAAAAGATTAGCTTATGATTAGATGTTATGAATACATTGTATTTTAAACTATATAGTAGAGTAAAAAAAACTCTTGTAATCATATACTTTAAAACTCATAACTATTTAATAAGTTCAGTTTTAAAATGTTAATTTCTTTTTGCGAAATATTTTCTAATTGCAATTAGTAAAATATTTAAGAACTAATGTTTTCAGAGACATTATACATTCCATCTTTTAAAAGATTTTCAAATTTACTGGATGCGAAACCTTGTTGAACACAAAATTTTCAATTAAGAACAAGCATTAAGTATTTTATATAATGTTATAAATATTCATAGAGCTATAAAATTTCATTCTAAATGTTTTTTTCAGAAAATAAAATTGTGATACAATGAACTTCGTTTTGTGTGGTTCTCCCTATGAACACTGCAGCACGTTTAATATTGTTTGGTATGATTGCTAAATTTTTTCAGATTGAAGTATATAAAAAAAATTTGAAGTTTATTTTATGCCAAATAATTAAAAATATATATATTTTAAAAACGGGAATCAGTTCTCTGAAATTATAGTGCTCGAGGCGCAAAATTTTAAACCTTACATACTAGACCAAACTTGAAAATATCTAATCAGAAATATAAAAAATTACTGATTAAACACCACTCAAATATGGAAACAAAAAAAAATTTCGCTATAGGAGGGAAAAAATCGATTATGTATGTTAAGACCTCAGTAATATTGAATTTAATTTAAGTAAGCTTATTCTTCTTCATTGCATCAGTTACGCTTATTTTCATTAAAACACGTTCACCTTAATCATTTTGCATAAGAAAATAGTTTATAGATATCAGTTCATAAAAAAAGTTTTAAAATAACATATTGAAGGGCATACACTTGTACCAACTGTACTTAATAATTTTGATAATATTGCTTTATTAATAGTGCATTGAATTTACTCATCAATGCTCAATATTTTCCTGTTAATAATATTTAACTTCTTCAAGACCACCAGTTGAATGAGAAAGAATTGTTTTCTTATGCCTGATGGCTGCGAGTTCACACATACTTAAGAGTACCTACCTATATATACACACGAGTACCGTATTGAGATCAGGTCCAATCTCTGGGCATTACAGTAGGCCATGAAGTCAGAACTGTCTGTTCATGGTCCTGAAGGAATTAATATTTCAGATGCTTACTTAAAATGAGATTGTTGATATAATATTGTTGTTAATGTCATATTTTGATGAATTAATAACAGGTACATTAAAAAATTGGCAAATTCATAATAATATTTTTTTTATTGTGTTGAATTTTTCTCCCACAGACGAATGAAGTTCAATTGCCAAATCTTTTCAAATTAGTTTATATATAAGAAGATTTCACTTTAAATTTTCATTTTTGCACTAAAATGTTTACTTTAATTAAATAAATATTTTACAATTTTTACTAATAAACCATTACACGATGTTGAAGAAAAATTTGGTCCCTGATGTCTAATCTCTTTATACTAACCTACTGTACTCATGGGGACAAGATATTTTATGAATTACTAGAATATTTTATGTACTGTAAATATACTTCATTTCATACTTTAAATATTTTTAAAAATTCAAATAAACAATATTTTATTTAGCAAACCATCTACAAAATAGTACAATTCTTCATTTTGCTTTTGAAGATGAAAATATTTTTTGATGTAAAAACACTAGGAAAATATTCTTTGCTTAGTGTAAAACTATGACACTAAAAGAATGAAATAAATTCTTTTCGACAGGGTCAGCTACTACGTACTAGGTCAAATGTGGTCCACTCTATAATTGGCAACAAAACAATACACAAATAGAAGAGGTAAATAAAAATGACTCAATTATTTTATTCATACAGTAATTACTTTATTCATATAGTAATAACTCCACATTACATGATTACTTGCTAATAACACCATAACAAGCTATCAGTCCTAAGATAAAAATATCAGTAAAGAATGACATCATTTAGTATAGAACACACAGTGAAATGACATATGAAAGGATTAAGATAAAGAATGATTTAACGAGATTTGCTTCTGCTCACACTGCGGTCACTATCATCCGCATATCGCTCATCATTATCTTTACTTGCACTACGGCTGTGGCTTTTATGGGGACTTCTACTTGTGCTACGTTCTTGCTCAAACTCTCTATCATCAGTCTGTTTGTCATCCTATTAGTTAAAAAAAAAAAAAAAAAGTTCAGTAAACAGGCATGTACCAAAAAATAGCAAAGAGGAATCACAATCAGCAATGATTTATATCACTCAAGCGTTTTTTCTAAAAATAAGTCACTGATTTAAGACAAAAATATTTTTTATACAGTATAATTTATAAATACATTCTCATGGTTGTGATTTCTTTAAAAATTATATTACAGATTTATTCAAGGGAGATAATAAGATAAGGTAATGTAGGTAAATATTTTGATTATCAATAAAAAAAAATAAAAAGTAAATAGAAATAAAAAATCACATGAAACTTTTAAATTATACATTACCATTAGGTGTATGTAAAGTATTTAGCTGTTTAATAAATACATCTCATTTAAACTCATTTACTTTTAGGATTAGTTAAATTCAAGCGTATGTTAGAAAATTATTATATATGTAGTTTGTTTACATTAATAACCAAGACAGACTTTCTGTCAAGAGTAATTAAGAATTGTTTTTGTTTTGTTTCCTAATCTAAATACTAATTTATTCTTGTTTTAGTAGTTAAATGACAAATTTAGTGTTGGTCTTCAAAAATTCATTATAGCGTTGAGCTTGAATAAAAAGAACTGACTTCATTGATAAATTTGTAATAATTAAATTTTAAGTACAAAATATTAAGTACTTTAATATAATATTGTTTTCAATAAATAATAATTATTCACATATTTTATCAATGTTTTAATTAGTGAATATTAAGAAATCAGTTTTAATTCAATAAATAAAAAAATATGACCTTAATTATGGTATAGTAAATGAAATAGTTTGGTATAGCTGAAATATCCTTAAACAGCCCATGGATTGCACTTAGAGTGATAAATTTTTTAAAAGACAAAAACAAGAAATAAAATTTCCTGCATTTTCACTGTTATTTTAAGCGATTTTTAAATTTCCTACATTATCCAGGTTTTTCCTGTGGAGTGGCAGCACTCACAGATTCAATATATATGAACAATTTACTTTTAATTTATCTTTCCTGAGCAGCTTATAGATTAGTTTTTTTATTGCCAATGAGAGGAAAGAAATTAAATTTTTGAGGTAACTTTAAGCATTTTATGTATTTATAAAATTGTTATCAAAAATATTCAATAAATGCAACACTACTGGCATTAAAAACATATCAATTCATAAAAAGTTGTAAATAAATTAAAAAACTGATTAGTTAAAAAAAAAATTATTTCTTTTAATTAAAATTATTTATATTCTTAAAAATTAATTTTTTAAATCTTTAATGTCTTACGATTACAACACTTAATTATTTTCCTACTTCAACAGGTAAACCAATCTTATGGAATCATATGAAAAAATTACAAACGTTGAAGCTTTGAATGAAGTGGAAGTTGCCAAATATTTGACATGTTTAGCCAAAAGAATGTTTTGTAGCAAATTTGGTTACACTTTACCCAAAAAGTAATTTTATACTTCTAATAAAATAAAAATCTGTGTAAAAAATCACGATTTCCCATTCCTATGATGTAATGAAAACTATACTGTAAATTTTCTAAAAAATATCATTTATAAGAAACATACATACACACAATTTTAACACAGACTGAGGGAAAATTAGCAACTTACATAGTCATAATTATCAGAATTTTTTTCAGGAGATTTGCCTTTTCTTGCATAGCTAGGCGAGCGGCTGGCACTCTTACTCGGTGATCGACTTCGGGAGGCAGATTTACTCTGTGAATGCTGAGAACCCCTCTTGGGTTTTTCAGTTTTTCTACGACTTTCTTCAACAGATCTGCATAGGCACATATATACAGTATTAGAACTATAAATTTATAATTAAATTTTTGAGATTTAAGATAATTATTCAGAGAGATCTAAAGAGAATCAAACAGAAATTTAGATCTGTAAATTTCTATTAAATACTACTTATGTAAATTTTATGAATATGTTTCAACTACATGTAAAAAAACATATTTAAAAAATTAGTCAAAAAGAATAAATTATATTCTGTGATATAATTTATTTTGCAGTTTTTCATTCCAAAAATTGTTAAAGCATAATAGCAAATCAATTATATAAACTAAGTAAGACGATGATGTTTGATAACTTTGCAAGTTCTGTGTTTATTCTTATTAACCAAGCACATATTTCTAACTTATCTTATTTTAAAATTATGAAGCAGTATATGTTTCATTTGTAAACAATTTAATAGTATAAGCAATGCATTTCTTTATCATTATTTTCAAATAAGAATTTATGTAAAAACAGATAAATGATTTTTCAGAATCACAATTTATTACCTTGATCTTGAGCGAGAAGCAGATCGACTTGCTGATCTGGGCTTAGTTCTCTTCTCTCTACTTGTGCTTCGACTTTTTTGACGATAGTCTGATGAACTTCTCCTAGCACGATCACGGCTTCTTGAGCGACTCCCAGACACACTCCTTAAAATAAAAATGTGCAATCAAATAAAAAAGCATATTATTATTTTCATGCACTATTCTGGTAGCTTGCTAGGATGTAATGATAAAAGTCAGAGCTTGACACAAACTACTGAAATAAGACTCAAACCACTAGAAAATAATCCTCAAAAGTTCATAGGTATAGCAACTAATATCTGCAATTGAGCACTATAACATTAATAAAAAAATTTTCAATTTATTTTTTATGCAACCAAATTATATAATTTATGAGCAAAAAAAAAATGCAATAAATAAATCTGTTCTATTAGTTCAATATATTAGTTTCTTTATTTATATGCTTTCTTCAATTGATACAAAGTTAGCCATGGGATCACCCATTAAAAGATAAATAATATGTTTTGTTTTAGCTTAATGTTACACTGTTTTGATTTAGCTTAATGTTACATAGTAGAAATAGCTGAATTATTTATTAAAATTGCTTACTTAATATACAGAATTAATAAAATAAAATACAAATCAGAGCATGGTCCTAATGTTGTAGTTTGAAAATTTCATTAGTTATTGAACTTTTATTAGTTTAGATTCAATCCTAGCAAAGACCTCATTGGAATATTTAATATGTTATTTTTTAAAATAATAGTAAATATTGCAGCCAAAAATTAGATTTAAAAAAAATGAATAAACAAATAAAATAAAAAAATATTTTCTATTTACTCTTTAATTATCAAGAATTATGTTAAATATTATGCACTGAGATATTAATCAAAAAAATTTGATAGGAAAATAAAAACTTTCATTGCATATGATTTGAAATAGCAAAAAATCCTATCCAAAAGAAGAAATAAGTAGATAGCACATAAATTCACCCTCATAAAATTTCATGATTGATAAATTTAATATTTTTTCCTTTGCTTCATCAATAAATTTTCTTGAGTTCTAAAAATTCTAAAGCAACAAATCAGCCAGGAAAAATATACCTTAACTACTTTATTCAATTTGTGTAATGTTTCTTGCTTAACAAAACTTTTTGAAATTTCAATGTTGTTTATCAAAAGAGGGCAAGTCTGTCTTCAAATGCAATATTTTTGGCCCAAATCAAAAATACTGATATATATATATATAAACATACATATTATTAATTTTTTATACAATTAGACAATTAAAAGGGATTCCATTTTGTAAAATAAAGCTAGTTTATTTTTAAATAAATTAAGTAAGTTTTATTTTAGAGAAAGTGGGAGCAAAAAAGGCACATATGTTCGCACTTGTAGACAGGCAACTTGATTATGCTGGCTAGTGCTGTCGTGTAGAGTGAATAAGTATCAATTTAAAAAATTTTATTCATATTACAAATATATATAGACTGAAAGACAGATTTGAAATCAAATAACTGCACAATAGATAAGGTTAAAAAAATTATGAAATATCATAATTTTAATTTGAAAAACATTGGAGTTTTTAAAATATGTAATTAAATTTTTTTGAAGTTTATGTTATAAAAATGATTTTACATACAAATAAAGGTAAAGATTTGCCTCGACCCGCCCTATTACAGGGCACGTGAGGAATTACATACAAATAAACAAACTTAAATAAGTTCGAGTTTAAGTAACTAAATTTTGATTAACACGAAGGTATTACTAGTTCTATTTTAAAATGAAAAGGCAAAGGTGAAGTTACATTTTCGCGACAATTAAAAAACTAAATTGCAGGACTGTTAAATTATCTTTTAATAAATTTAGAAAGCGAAGAAAAAATAAAAGCTTTTCTAGTTTTTAAAAGATTAGGAAGTCTTCTTAAAAATTTGAAAAATAGTTTGTTATAAACAAAAGAAAAATAAAATTATGTTTTAGATTTACTTTGAAAACAAATAAACCAGCGTCTTTAAAACTACAGTCAACACTTTTTTTTTAAAAATAAACTCTTCATTAAAACCTTCTGTGTTAAGGTCTTGTTAAACCTAAATCATTTTTGAATCTCATTTCAACAAATCTAATGATTTATTACTATTCCTAAAACTTTTTCTACTAATGGTGCTCTTTTCTCACATATTTATAATTTTTTTTCAACAACTAAGTAATTCAAAATCTTTCATAAAAATATACTTCAGTGATGTCATATTAATTGAACAATATTTGATATTTACATACTTCATACAGAAAAAAAAAACACTAATCAAGAGAATCAGTCACCTTTGGCGCCTTGATCTTGATCTAGAACGACTCCTAGAACGATTTCTTGAAGAACGAGGATAGTATGATGAAGAGGATGCCTCTGGACAATCTCTGGCCCAATGGCCTGTTCTTCTACAGCGATAACATTCTTCACTATTCTAAAAATAATTGCAACACAATATTAAAAATGGATATTAATTGCTCTAAAGGGGCCTGTTATTTTGAAACAGACCATTTTAAATTAGAGCTCAGAGGAAAAACATAAAATAATTGATTTGCTAACAGATTTGCAAAAAGTACATTGAATCTTGTGTAAAAACTAGCAGGGGTGCAGAATATGATGATTGCGAGGTTTGGGAGAAATTCAGACAGCTAAGGGTAAATTTTATCTTTTTTTTTTAAAAAAAAATCCTACAAAATGTTATTATAAAAAACGTATCGCTTTACAGAAATTTCTGTAGGAAATCTTACAAGAAAAAAGAATGAGGATTACCTTGATGGACAAAAGTGAAAGAATATTCTCTGTTATGTTACAAGAGAAAAGAATATTTTCTGCTGTGTTAAAAGAGAAAAGTACTTTCTGTTATGTTAAAAAAAAAAAAGACTTTTCTGTTATGTTAAATATAAAACTAACTGTATGTCAATTAGTTCAAATTCCTTAAGTTTCCACATGGGACCCCATAAATTTAGTTTTATAAATTATTACTATTAATATAAATTTTTAATTCAATCATTTTAAATATGCTGTCAAATCAAATGAATTTTTTTCTTTGTTTAAGAATATTTTGAAAAATATAAATATATATAATTTTCGGGGAAATTTCAAACCAAAAAACTGCATTATGAGAAAACATTTAGCTTTGAAAATTTTGCACCCCCGAAAACAAGTACTGTCACTGCTTATGAGTAGTTACAGTCCTTGTGTTAAAGTAACTTTACAAGTTTTTTGAGTAGTTTCTAATGAGATGAATAAGCTCATCAATCTTCTGGAATGAGAGAAAAAAGTAAATAGGTTTCTTTGCATATTTTCTGTCTCTTTAAAAAACTAAATTTATAAAGAAAAGATTTCAACATTAATATTGCTAAATTCCCAGTGTCGTAGATGTCAAAATACATGTGGTAGTAAAAGTGACTGATGAGTAATAATGATATTTTTATTACTCATTAAAAAATGCTTAATATTTGAAAATAAATGGAGAAAAAAAACTGAAATCACCTGTCGAGATCCTGATGAACGGCCATAGCTTTCTCTCTGAAAAGGAAGGAATAAAAAATTCCAATAAATAAAGTAACATTAGAAAAAGATTACAGCTGATATTTAGATGAATATTAAAGCAAATATAAATTAAACATAAATTTTGAATACAAAGACATACCTGATATCTGTTGTACGGAGCCTGAAAGAGTATATAAAAATTACAAGGTAGGAAAAAAATCTGAATTTTTAAAAATCAAAGTAAAAACGAAATGTTTTATGTATCTAACATAGTCTTATTTCAATAAATGATGTTAATAAGACAATGTAAATGGTGGTTTGAAATTATAGGGCTAATTTTTTATTCTATTTTTTTCAGTTTTTAAGGATTAAGTAAATTTGTAATTGTAATTTGTTATATCTGACATAAAAATTTTACTTTAAGCTCAGATGATGATACGTTTGGAGTCACCTTGGTCAGAAAAGGTGTAAGCTTTATTCCTTTTATTTTATTACTCTATTTAAAAGTAACTATAATTTTTGAGCTGAGCTTGATAAAGATACTACAGAAACATAGGCAATAAAGCTGAACATGAATAAAGCACAATAAATGGTACAAAAACAGATAGACTGTAGTCTAGTTTTGGTTTGATCACAAGAACTGAAGTGATAAAGAAAGACTCAGTGTCACGCTGTGTTAAGACACCAAGGAAAGTATGCGTTTGTAGAAACAAAACTAAAGTATGTCCATCTTTGAGCTTTATAGAATTGTAATTAATTGAGATTTGTAGTTATTAAGTACATAATATACTCTAATTTTATTTAAAAACAAAGATAATAATTTTTTTTTTATCTATCTTCAATTAAAATAATTAAGAAAAATCAAGATTGATCTTTGTAAATTATGAGCATGTATTTTGGTTTTAACATACTATGTATGAGAATATTTCATATCTTAATAAAAAATTACTTTAAACATATTTGTTAATGCAAAATCCAGTAAGTTAAATCGATACATCGAACCTTTTCAGTTATAATATATGCGTAAAAAACTATACAATCGAAAAAGTATGTTTCTCTATACAATAATGTTAGATATACAACAAATAAGTACAAACTGTACTTTTTATGAATAAAAATTCTTAAATAATTACTCTTATCAACTTAAGTTTGGTCTAGATACATGAAAGACTGCATGCACTTTAACTGCCTTTGAAGAAATGTATCAGTTTTTTTTCTTCTTGCTTTTAGCCCCTCCCACCTAGTAAATTCAATGTGACAGTTAAAGCTCACTTTGGATAAAAAGGCCAACATTAGATATTGACCTAAAACCACAAATTTCAAACAATTTCCAGCTTACTGCTTATTATTTCTGCATTTAACCACTCTGAAATGAGCCTCAAGTTTAGGGCTACACACAAATATATAATAGGTAATCAAATATATAATAAATCTGTTAATTGATTTTGTTATAATTGCGAGTTCTTTTCTAACAAATTTCCCAGTGAAACTTTTGGTAGAGATAGTTAATGACCTGTAAACTTGCATAAAATTATTGTTTCACACGATTTAATTTTTCTTCTGCAGAACAACACCACACATATCTTGCTTTTTTTTTTTGTTTAGGTATGTCTCCATAGCATATAGTTACAGAAATATACATCTTAGTGTTGATGGTCAAAAACTATGTAAGAAAGCTTTGCGCTTCTTCAAAGAAAATTACACAATCTTTGAACTTAGAGCCAAAAATCAAACACAAGTAAATATACACTTTTAATTAGTACAGAAGTAGTACAACCCTAAACAAAGTGCCAGGCACAAAATATTCTAGAAATACAAGACCATCACTTCTGATCCCATTAATTTTTTTAAAATAAATAAATTAAAAAAAATGTATCTAACAGAATTAAATTTAAAAAAAAAAAAAACTTTAGTTAGAGCATTTCCACAATATCAAGCGTGCCTGATTTTAAGAAAACTTGACTTAATTAAATTGTGGCGAAAGCCACAATTTAATTGGAAAATAAAATTCCTAAGCGTTATTAACTTTTTATAAAATTAGTGAATAAAAAGTTCAAAGAAAAAATAAAATTTATAAACTTATTGTTTCATTAAAATATTTACAGATATTTTTAATTTATTCCTTTTAAAATTAAGAATATTCTGGATGAAACAATATAACATTATTGATAATCAACCAATATTTCACAACCTTTTTTATCTAATAAATTTAGGGGATCATTATAGCTGTTCTTCATCAAAGCGAATAGACCATGTGCTATATTTGTCTATAAATTACAAAATAATAATTTTCAATTAAAGCTTTTTTTTATTTTTATCTTGTTTGAAAATGCAAAAATGTTTAATAAATATTCTATAAGATATTTTATGTAAAAGAGAATGAAGAAAAAATTATTACAGTGTTATGATGGATTTGAGGTTTTGATGGGCATTGAAATAACACTAAATATATAAAATTAGAAGTAAAACTAGTTACTTTAGTTATTAATAAGTATTAATAGCTATAAATAGTCGTTCTAAAGAGAATGCTATACACTACATGAATCTATATTTAACATAAAGATTTAGAAATATAATTTTAAAAAGGATATGGTTTGACAAAAATATGAAGAATTATTAACAGTGTGACATTAATTTATTTATACGATATTAGTAGCTAATGCAGGACACAGGGACACAGTAAGCACTCTTTAGTACATTCCTACAATGTAACAACACTTTTATAATAACTGACACAAAAGGTACTATAATTAAACATATCAACACACATATTTTGAACAAAGCAACTGAACAATAATTACTAAAATGGCAATTTTAGCAGAAAAAAATATTAATGTAGAAAATAATAGAATTATTAATTTTTTAATACTTACTCTATAATTAGAATTCCTTTGATATCCAGATCCTCCGCCACCACCACCCTATAAAAGTAGTTTAGAATTGCTAGTTTATTTTTAAAAAATTATTAAAAACATTGAGCCTCAACTCAACCATAAACAAAAAAAAAGGTTACAAACATCTAATTATCATAGCTAGAGCAAAATAAATTAACTTCAATGAATTAAAATTTCTCCTACTCAATTAAAATTTAAGAAAATAGTTTTCAACTATATAATATAGTTGAAAACTATTTTCTATGAAACTATTAGGAAGGCATAATAAAGGGCAGTTCTATGAAAAATAATAAAGGGCAGTTCTATGAATCCTGCTTGAACTAACATCTTACAACCTAATATAAGTTATTTGTCATCTAATCTGCAACAACAGAAATCACACTGAAGTTACTTCACGCGTATAACTGAGACATGGCACAATGTATTTATTTTCAATGTAAATAAAGAGTTTTGAGTTGATAGTATTTAGTATTATTATTTTCCCAATAATCACGGAGTCAAAATTATTTGACGGCACGTCTATGACCTCATTAAACAATTTTTTAGAAAAAATGGCACGTTGGTGTATAAACGTTTGCCACCTCTGGTTTAGATAATATAATCATTAATGCCAACTTGTAAATGCCTTTTGTTCTTTTTAGGTAATAAGAGCAGCCATATTTTAAATTCACAATTCTATAAAACAATTAAAATTCATTCAATTTTACTACTTGCATAAATATAAATATTTTACTACTTGCATTTTGCCCAGCCCTTTTTAATTCCTAGCGAGAACTCTGGATGTTCATTTGTTATTTATCCGCTTATTGTGAACTTTAATGTCAAATCAAAGACCCTTTAGTTTAAAAAAAAAAACTAGCTTACTTGTAAATCATCAAAGCTTAAGCTTTAGTTTAGCAATTTATGCTAAAAAGGCTATCTAAACATAGAGAATGAACATATGCGACATAGTATGCTTTTTGAATATCACAAGGGTAGTTAGGCAACATTTTAAATCATTGAATGACTTTCGTTTACATAACAGAGCCAAGGATAGACAATTTTTCCCCAAGCAGCAATTAGGTGTTATTAGTTGTATTTGACGGTACAGACAGTCAGGTGGAAAAGTATTGGAATTCCAATTTTTACAGTGAAGATCCTAAAATATGGGTAAGTGAACACATTGAGAATGAAAAGACAAACAGATAAGCTCCAGCCAATTCATAGGGAGTTTCTATGCATAAACACTTAACCTTATATTTTCTCTCGTAGCATTTAAATTAGAGAAGTAAAAAATAGTGATTCGACTAAATACTCAAGGGCCAAATAGCAATTTAAAATATATATATATACACATACATATATTTTTTATATAGAAGTTTAGTCATTATTGAAAAATAATCAAAACTAAGCTGTATTATTAGTATGGGGTAAAGGGAAAAAAAAAAGATTAATAGAAATGTTTAAGATAATACAGAATTCTCCCTAGGAATAAAAAAGGGCAGGGTGTTTCCCTCTGAAAAGAACACTTTGAATTCTGAAAGAACTTAACACTGTAAAAATTTATTAAAGAAGTGTAATAATATGTACTAATAACTGAATTTTAGCCTCAACAATTTTTAAATTACACTCTTATACTATTTTATGAGCATATTTCAAAAAGTAATTCTGTCTCATTATCAAAATAAGAAAAATGTTAATAGTTTATAAAAATAATGAATGGCATGCTAAAAAACATTCTAGTTGCATAAATTTTCTTTAAAAAAGAGTAAACAAAAAAAAAAGTTAAATGATAAACAACTTTAAAGCTTCAATCTAATAATTTAAAGTGAAAATTATAAGAAAATAAGCATTGAAAGTTTTATTTTTTTAAAATTTTTTTTTTAAAAAAAAAGGTACTTATTTAAAAAATAATTTTAAAATCAATTAAAAAATTTATTAATATCCCACCCTGAAAAAAGAGATACTAAAAAGATTTGTAATAGTAATCAGAAATAAACCTATTAACACAGATAATTTTAAATGGGTGTAAATATTATTTTAACAGTGAATAAATTTTTTTCAAAATGGAATATGAATAAAAAGGCTGTGTTTTTAAGGGATGGCGGCTTACTTATATAAAAAAGGGTGCATTTATTAGGATCAAAGAGCAGGCAGGGCAGGCCACCTTTCTAAAAACGCTTAGGGAGAACACTGATAATAAAGATAATTAAATATTAGGATAGTTTAAATTTTTAAGGAAAAAAAACTTAGTTATTAAAAAAAAAAAGTTGTAAATAAAGGGAAAAAAAATCCTCTTAATTCTTAAAAGAAAACTTTAAGGCAAAAAATAATATTTTCTAGAAAAAAACTTATCCATAAAACATTTACGAAAACTTGCATTTGAGGCCAATTTGAAAACATTTTTCTTCTTCCTTTGAACGATAAAAAAAGGAAAAATCTTTTGAGATAGATTTACTTTATGCAAATTTTTCCAGATTTTCTAAAGAAAAATTCAAATTTTCTTGAATTTTCCAAGATGGTAGACACCTAGTCTTATTTTAACTTTCTTGTGTTTCCGTACTTTTAGAAAAAAGTTACCATAAAAGAATAACATTCATTAGAAACGCTTTTTAAAAAATGCTGCCATAATAAAAACAATGAAAAACATGTTAATAAATTCAAAAGAAAAGAAAAAGTTATTAGTTTTTAAATATAACTGTGACGTCCAGAATCGCAGTTTTCTATATCACTACAGGCTCCGTAGTCAAATTTTTCAACAAAAAGAAGTGCCTTTTAAGCACTAAAAAAAAAAATTTTTTTTTCAGGTGAAATTTTTTTTCATATGCGCACTAATAAAAATTTTTTCTTACTCCTATTGTTGAAAGTTCTTCATAAATACATTAACAAAATAATTTCCGAAGACTTTATGTGATCATGATAAAATAACTAGTTTCTGACAAAGAAATCGTTTCCTGATTATATTAGTCACCATAAAAACAATTCTATTTTTAAATTAATAATTACTTTAATTATGTAAAAAAATTCATTCAAAATTATAATTAAATATTATTTTAGAAGGCTATTGACTGTCTAAGTTATTTACAAAAGCATATTCAATAAAACATTAATTTCTAATATTATCGATCATATAAAATTTATAAAGATATGTAAAGAATTAAGCAAACTAAGAAAACTCCAAAAAATTCACATTAGAAATGCAAATGACCTTTAAAAATATGTTTATTATTCGTTACTTGGTTCAGTATTTCTTTAATGAAATGATTTTTAAAAATCTTTTTGAAATGTAAATACAATGAGTATTGAAACTAAAAATTTTTGTTAGAATTAAATTATTACATCGACTCTACATTCATTATATTTAACAAATCTGAGGTAATTGAATTTTTTTCTCAATTGCTTATAAATAAAATCATAAAAGATGAATTGAAGTTTTTTGGAATGATACTAAACATGAGATTTTTTTGCTGCATTTAAAATATTAAAAGCCCCTCACTTCATACTTTTTTAAAATCGTGCCTCTAAATATTATCTCATAAAACAACTTAAGAGTACTGAAAATTTTAAAAGTAATACAATAGTTAAAAAAAAGTAATGAAGTACAATAAAAGTTTACCCTCAGGTTAAAATATTACACTTAAAATTCTCCATTAATTCTTACATTTAATGATTAAAAGGGAGATGGAAATTTTCAGGTGATGAAGTTTTGGGATTCTTGACTGTTCTAGGGACCCACATGAAAATACATAATTAGTGAATGATCCCCAAGTTAAGTTCAGAGATTATGGTACTGATCTATAAGTAGAATACCATAAGAAGGCCATTAGCTTGCCACTGACGAAGACGATGACGCATCACCAAAGATGAAATTAACAAGAGAAATAAATAAATGTATCGCTACAAGGGGAAAAAAAATCTGATAATGATTAGTTGGTCCTCATAATCAGCGAAAATTAGAATTTTTCTTTGTTTAATTTCAGAAGGCAGAAAATGAAGTCCGAAATTGAAAATCTCTTGCAAAATGCAGCAGAATTGCACAGGAGAGGCCAAAAATCATTCCCACTGAATCCAGCTGCATTATTTTATATAGCCGCAAGTATTTCATCCAACATGTAAAATTACAGACGCTTTCACACGTTACAGTAGATTAGGATTGAAATAGAACAATGACTTTTTGCATAATTTGAGGCAAATATCAACATGGTAAATAAAAATTATCTCATTTTGGAAAAGGGAAAATTAAGCACTTTTTAAAAACACCCAATGAAAAAAGTGCATTTAAAGGCTTTTAAAAAACAAAAATAAACAGCTTCATTAACATGCTTCGCTTTAGTTACAACAGAAAAACAAACAAAATGGAAACAAAAAAAATCTCACATTTTAAAATATAAAGTGTTGAAAAAAAGTTGAAATCGACTTGCCTTAATAGAATTAAAAAAAGAAAAAAAAATCAGTATTACAAAACACACGGTTCAGTATAAAATAATCTAGTTTCAACTCTTCAAATTTCACTTTCGCAAGCATATTTCAGAACATGAATTAACAAGTTTCAGAATTTCACAAATATGTGCAAAAACTATTTCTAATAATGTATCGTAAAGAGAAAAAAAATTCAGATTCTCCTTTATTATTAAACCAATCAAAACTCCCCCTCCAAAAAAAAAAAACTTGGTTGATAAATAATCTTCCAAATAATAAGGTTGCTGAATATTCGGCAAAATGGCCGAATACCAAATAGTGGCCAAATAATCGTTACATTACTAATTTAAATTGGATATAACATTCATCACGAGCCATTAAGATTTTTCAGGTGCATTACCCTTAGCCTACATTTATCAATATAAGGATACTCAAAAATGAAATGCTTAATTAATGTATATTTACACTAAACTAATGAAACAAATCCTTACCCCTGAACGGTATGAAGGCCCACGAGCCCATTCCACAACTATGCTCTGACCTCTGATTTCTCGGCCATTTTCATACTTAATAGCATCCTAAAAAATTGGGGAAAAGTATAAAAAAGTGATTAGAATAAAAATAACAGCGTAAAAAAAAAGTTAAATACTGAGACTACTTAATAACTGGACAACTGAGCCTTAAATAATTTTTTTCTAAGATAAAAACTACAATAAAACATTTTTACAATTTGAATGCTTAAAGTTTGAAGGGTAATACACATGAATAACTTCTAAACAAATCATATAACTTTACATAAATACGAACTTACTCCCAAGACAGATCATTGTGTGAATTCATAACAAAAAAGTATATCAAAACATTTTTTTTTTGAAAAGAAAAAAATTTATACAATATAAATCCATGATTAAATTTATTAAATGGACATTTATTCAAAAGTTGGACATGTTTCAGAGCCTTTAAAAGGTGGATTTGTTTCAATATGCTTTATTTTTAATTTAGTATAGTGCATAAACCTTTGCATGTATATTTGATAAAGTAAATAATGCCACGGAGGACATTTGAAGAATATTGCTGACAACACACATGGGCTGAAGTTTTGCTCTAGAATATAAGCCTCTAAGATGTTATAAATATAAAAAAATTAAATGATTCAATTCAGCACTTTAATAATTTTTGTAAAAAGCAATTTAGGCTTGAAACAAATTATTATTTTAATTTGACAAATGTCTAACGCTAATTTTTCATTTTAAGCAAATGCTTACAGTATGGCATAAAAACTAATATAATGAAAATATTGTTGCTTTGCAGGACCTTTCAAAATAGGAGACTTATTTCCCAGCATAAGCAAGTTCAAACATAACACTTAACTAAATACTCTATCTATAAAATGAAAAAGAAGGCAGTTTGAAACACATATGACTCTAAAAACCATTCAGTTAAGAGCAGTGGTTTCCAACTAGCCCGTGGAGCCTTTTTTTGGGTGAAAATTTATATGGATTTCAAACACTTTTACAACAGCACATTCCACTTCTGAAGCTGCTAACATTAAACTTTCTTCTGAAGAATTAAGAGAACTTAAGTACACAAACATTCCCTATTATCTTGGTGGTTATAGCTATTGATGAAATGTTCCTGTTATAACAAACAGCTGCATTCAGTTGCATGTCGAACTGTAGGATTAGAACAAACGCTCTCAGCACAGTGCACAGTAAAATAAAAAATTGTTTGGATGTTACTAAGGCAGCAAAACTTGTGACAATATTCAAAACTTTAAATAAATAATTTCTTTTTAGGTTTTTCAAAATGTATTTAAAAAAATTAAAAATATGTATAAAAAATATTTATTATTATTATTTTTAATTACGTCCATCATTTGCTCTCTCGAGCATGAGAAGTCTTGCAGTCCAATATAACAAAGAAATATGTCCAGCGTCGGAGAGCGTCTTGAAACGGCCTCCTGGAGGGCAGAGCAGTTCCATAGATGCCCGCCATTCATATGGGCCCTATTTGTACATAGAGTGCAGTTAGGAGAGTCAGAAAGACCAACATGGTGCAAGTGCACCTGTAAGTAATCGTGCCCCGTCAACAATCGGAAAGATGAAACACTGATAGCTCTAGGGAGATTGTATAAAAATTTTTTTTTTAAAAAAGTGGGCAATTTTGAATCTCCCCCTCATGTTTATGTTTTTTTCCTCATTTCTGTTTCAAATATATTTTAATATACATTATTAAATCTGATTTAAAACATTTACCACACATTTAGACGTAAAAATCAACTTTTCAAACCCTCAAAATTTGACGAAAATCAGAGGATCTACTTAAATAATGTTGGACATTCATTGATCGTGAAATATAGATGCATTATAAATAATATATAGAATATAAATACCTAGACATGAATAACCCTGTATCGATTTACCCCTTTCAACTGTAAATATACTAAAATTTGAGAAATTCGCATTTTTTCTCATCTTATTTTTATTTGGTTTTTCAGAAACAATAATTTAAATTACGTTCAGGAAAAAAAAGTTTCAATAATTCATTCAAGGACATTTCAAAAAATATAATACAATCAAAACATACCATGAAGTTACAAATTTAAATTCCTGGGTCCCATAAAAAATAGACCCCATTCTCATCCAATGAAATTGAAATTCTACACTTTTAAAAGGATTTTACAATATTATTTGAGGACAAATGCATCATCATCAGAAAGAATAACCTGAGATATTTTTAACTTGAGAAAATTTTGTAGTTTCATAGAATTTAATGCAAATCAAAAATAAAGGATCAACTTATAAAACGATATATACAGTAACTACCACCATTACTAATTAATGATAATGTGTTTTTAAAAAGAATTAAAATATGTCAAGTTTGAAACTATCTTAAAACAAATAAACAATTTTTCTTTTGCTTACAAAATTGCATAAAGTGCAAATATGCAATTGTGAAACTGTATCTGTGTTTTATACTAATTCACTAAAGCATGATCTCATTATTTTAAGGATCCTATCAGTGCACATATATAGATAAAAGACCAATGATTTAAGATCTCTGTAAAAGATTGGAAAAGAGAAGAAATTTTGCTCATTGTTTTAAAGATTAATATAATTTTAAAAATCAAACTTTTAACTTTCTCATTGATCAATACATTTTAATCTTTAACACACTAATATATTTTTCTTGATATCCCTAAAATAAATCTGTGAATTTAAGGAAATATGAGGTAACTGATATTTTCAAGTAAGTGAAAAACTTTACCATTACTATTGATGCTCTGTTAAACAGACAAATAATACACACAGCCCATAACAACTGTACAAGGCAACAAAAGTTAAAGTGAGTTCTTCCAAGATATAAAATACGTTTAATTTTTAAAAAAAAGTAGTTTGGACAAGATGCAAGCTTCTTTTAAAAATAACAAATTTAAAATTAAACTTCTTTCAAATAATTTGAAAACCAAGTTTGCAAAAAATATTTTACACAAGGGTTTTAACTATTGGTGAACAATAAAAACTATTGATTTTGTTAAATATATCCAATTAAGAAAACAAAAACATATACTACTAAGTAGCGAATAGACATAAAAAATTAAAAGGCAATTACACAATTATAAATTGATAAATATGCTAATGTTAAAACCCAATGTTTCTTTGATGAATAGAAACTTCTGTTACTACTTTGCTGATTCGAAAAAATAATAATAATAAGTAACTCAAATTAGCCACAAAGTTAAACCTTGCTGCTTTAAAATGTAAAAACAAAATGTAATACCTATTCTGGCTTCAGTTGAAGATGCTTAGGCATATAGTTGACTAAGGGAATAATACGGAAAGGACTACAAGGCATTGGCAAAGGCAATACTTTTGGTCTTGCCGGAACAGAGATAAGGCATTTGGATTTAGAATGCACACAAGACCTTTGGTAACCTGAAGAGCATTAGGAATGGGAGGCTAGAATTTTTGGATCCGTATCGGAAGGACCATTTTTTATGATCGGCAAGATGTTCTTTAATGGCTTATAGGCTCTTTTCTATGGAAACATTGTTGTGGCACAAGGAACAGGCATGTTCATAGAAGTGGAAGCAGTTAGGAACTGGATTCTGTCCAAGAGGATTCTCAGAACAGTTAAAATGAATAATTATGAAACAGGATAAAAAAAAAAATTATATTTTGTGAAATTAAGTTATTCAGTTTATTATTTTTCTACAACATATTAAACATTGATTAAAATTTATTAGAAATGTAAGAAACTAATCTCAACAGAAAAATACAAAATAACATTACATAACTATTGTTATAACAATTTACAAGAAATAGCAATTCAAATTATTTTTCTTAATATTAATTATATTTAGCTAACAATCGCTTAGAACTAAGAACACATTTTGAGAAAATTTTCATAAGCAATAAAAAATAATAAAATAAAAAATTTCCCAATCAAAATTTTAATTTTGTCATTACAAGTTTACTGTTTAGTAGTATAAACCGATTGACGAATAAATAAATTTTATTTTGAAAACACATATGCATCAAATATAGAATTATTTTACATAAACTAAAAAGGGATGGGTTGCCATTGAAGTTAGAATTTTGTTTTTCAATATTTTCATTCAAATTAAAGGTTGGCCAGTCTTTCTGCAAAAATGTACTTTTGTCAAGATAACGATAAACCTAGCTAAAAAAGTTAGCTGAAACAGATTAAAAATTGATGCACAATTCTTTAACAGATCTAAATTCAGACATAAGAACATATTTAAATTCTCACTTATCGAAAAATAAATTTTCAATGTTTTTTGCCCTGTTAATTGAATTTAAAAATATTTAAACTAAAAAAAAGTGTACAATAATCATAAAATTAAAGTTTTTTTTTGTTGTTAATGCAATGTTGAAATAACAAACTCTAAATTGCAATAATGAAAATGAAATTTTAGTTAGATTTGTAAATAATTTTTGAAGTAATAAATTATTGCAAATTTATTATATGTACAGATAAAAATGCAAAACATTTGCATATTAAGCTTTTAATATTTTAAGCTACTTTATTGCATTTTTTAAATTACTGCATTAGGTTGAATCTCTTAAAATTCAGTACTTACTGAAATTTAAAAAATAAAATATAATTTATTCAGTTTTGGCTGAATTAGTTTTAAAGAGCAAATTAACAAATTACCGTTGCAATAATTCTATTTAACTGCGAGAAAAAAAAACATTTTTGTGATAAATATCTGTTTTTGCTATTTTGTCTAGTAAAAAGCATGCATGCCAATCTTAAGTAAATTTGGTAGAATATTAACACAATTTATACAAAAAGTACATTTTTGAATATTCAATAATACTTATTCTTAAAATACTAACAAAATTCTGAATTCAATAAAGAATAAAGCATGTATTTTTCAATATTAAAAATTAAAGTGTTAATAAAAATCAAAAAGCTTTACCAAATATTAAATTAGGCAATCTCTAAATTTAAAATTAAAAATAGACAAAATTAATTCACACATTTTATCCTTAAAAGCTAAAATGAGTTTAAATTTTATGTATTTATCAAAGACATAATTACATTGCATTGTAAATTTCATTAACAAGAAGAAAAAAAAATCAAATTTGTTTGAAATGCTCTTACTTCGGCATCTCGTCTATCATCATAATCAACAAAAGCATAAGCCATTCCAGTTCCTTGAAACAAAATAAAAAAAATTTTAAGTATATTTTGTGCTAAAATAATTACAAAAACATACATATGATGAAAAATATGCTTTTATATTTTGATTATAGTTCGCCCTTTGGCAGAATTTTTTCAGGCCTTCTGCGACTAAACTTTCTAGCACTCATATCCTACTGTTTCAATAATATTGCAACTATGAACTATGTACCGATTTAAATTAACAAAAAATGCTGTGTTCACAAAAACAAAACAAAAAACATAGAATTATCTTCATTTAATGTGTAATATTTTTTTATTCTAATATTATGGGCGATAATATTGCGTTTTGTTGGGGAGAAAACCGCACTTATTCTTTCCAATATCGCATTCTGAAAATCATCACATTAAAAAAAATAATTAAAAATCATGAAATCCTAGCTGTAATTACCGAAAAACAAATTGACGACGTCACTCGAATTGGACTCTTCAAAAGGGGTTACTCAAGTTAGCGGTTCGTTTCAAGATTTGATTGTTGTAATAAATAGTATCGGATTTTATAAACTATATGGAAGTCAAAAGCAATAATTGCCAAAAAAATAGATAGTAGCGGTGTCTTAAAAAGTAAATACTCAAATGAAAGATTCGAATTTCCCATATCGTCTGAAATATATTGGGATAATTAAAAACCACGTGAAAATCAATAATTGCCGAAAATATAATCGAACCACTCTACGGATTTACGATACTATCGGCGTAAATTTAATGCCACAATAAGTTATTATTTAAATGCGCATTTCGATTAAGAAATGAAAACTAAAATTTTTTCTTCCCAAAAGAAATATCTTCCTGCAAGAACTCTGTAACGTTCTGCGACAATGTTGCCGTGATTCTGCCACAAGGATAGTTCGGCTATACAACTAAATTCAAAAACTGAAAACTCAAAATAAAAATAGTAAAATCTATAAATCAACATCATAATAAATTATAAATATTCAAGTTCTAAACAATAAGCCCTAAAATTATGAATAATCGCCAAATCCTGGCGACTTCTGGGCTATGACCAGAAAAAATAAATAAATAAAAAAAATCCCAAAAAAAGGACCATTCTGAATTGTATAATTCATGGCCATTTTAGAAAATTTAAAATAAATAAATAAATAAAATTCTACATTTAAAATCCATTTGGTGCCTTGGAGATTATAATTGGCACGACTGGTCAAAATATGGAAACATTCCAGAAAACTTTGTTGACATCGCCAATCGAGAAGATGTCAACTTTTTTTATCAGGGTGTGTAGCCAAATCCTCAACAAAAATAAGCACCTTTTAAACACTCAAAAATATTTTTAAGCGCTATATACATTAACAAAATGCAAAATAATTTTCAAAGAATTTACATGACCATGATAAAATAACTAGTTTCTGACAATAAACTTTTTGTTTTGTTGATTATATTAGCCACCATAAAAAGATTGAGAGATTTTTTGGTTTGATTACAGGGGGAGGGGGGGGGGGATGAAGTTTGAAATTGAGAATATCACGCACAATGCAGCAGAGTTGCACATGAGAGTAAGAATCGCACTGAAGCAAACTCAGTAGACGTACATGCAGACCCATAAGTATTTTGTCAAACATGTAAAATGATTGGCGCTTTCATAATGCATTATGTTGGAATGAATTGTGAAAAAATTAATAGAACAATGTGAAAACCACGCTTTTGCATAATATGTGGCGATAATCGACATGGTAAAGAAAAGAAAAAAAACTCAATTTTGAAAAGGGAAAATTAAGCACTTTTTAAAAACATCCAATAAAAAAGCACCTTTAAAAAACGAAATCGAGAATAAGCACATTTAAGCACTTTTTAAAACCGCTATGCACCATATTTTAGTGAGATTGAAAATTAGACCTTAAATCATTACATATGAATATATTACACATGAATAAAACATTAAATCAAATATTTCTTGTAATAATAAAGAAATATTTTAAAACTTACTTCCAGCACCTCTTCGACCAGTAGATCCATACATTCCTAAATAGAGTTAAATGAATATTAATTCTTTGTCCAATAGGGAAAAAAAATCTTAAAACATTAATCAGTAAATAATTAAGAGTTGCCAATATCTCAAAATGAAAATTAAACCCTCTAAAAATAAACACTTCACCCCTCCCCCCCTTTTTTTTTTACTTTTCTTTCATTTGTGTGGCTTTTCTTAACATTTACAGAAAACATTTTAAAATACAGTGGCATAGCAGGTTCATACAGAGATCAGCAGAAGAAATCCAAGGACTCCAAAATTTAAAAACTTTGTGTAAAAGATAACTAGACAGTATTTTTTTTTAAATTAAAAAGCAGTTATTATAAAGTACTTGCAAAAATGTATATTTTGCATAAGATATTTTCTCTAGCCTTTTTGAAATAAATTTTGACTTTGTTAAACTTCATCAAAGAAAAATAAATAAAGTTATCACTTTCACACATAAATACATTTTCCAGTTTCAAATATTTTACTAAATCTTGTTACATAGTACAGATATTAGATTAACATAAAAACCTACCAATCTTATATTTTTAAATTTGAATATATAAGAAAATCTATGGCATTTTATACAAAAGAAAAATCACAGTAAATCATTAAGTTAGCTTGTAACATGTACAATTTAAATTATTTGCTGTTATTTTTTTCTTCTAACTCTTGCAATTCATTATTATTTTTTCTTTTCTTTTTAAAGTTCTTCTTAAACTATTAGATTTTGACAGCTAAGTCATATCATTTCGATTCCCTGCTTGGACAGCAAATTCATCAGCAGACTTAGTAAGTTCATCTATGCAATGCAATAATCTAAGGAGTTTCTAAGGACTAAATTGGAAATATAAGTAGTTCCAAGTACTCCTTGGAGACTGTTTTTTATTTCCAAGGAGTATAAGGAGTCTGTACGAACCCTGAGGTTGTATAAGAAACACAGACTATGGCAAAATATTCCATAGGGCACAGAGTGTAAAAAATAAGAAACCTATTGAATCTGTAAGAATCAAAACAAATTTCTGGTAGTTTACCAATCAAAATACTATTCATGAGGAGAAGTGTAAATATGGTTAATTATCACAGAAATAAAGGTTAAATTTCTCATCGGTCAAGATTCTTAAAAAACATCAATTTAGAACTTATTGCTATAATTTTTTTTACTTCATTCTAAATATTTAGCGTCAGTAATTCATTACTTTTTCATTCTTTTTTACACTAATATTTAACTTTAAAAGGGTTTATTTATTCATATTACATAACAAAAGTAACTAGAGAAGAAGAAAAAAAAAATTACATCAATTTACAATGGCTTTGTTTTGATCTTAGATATTTATAAGTGTGCAAAATTTTGTATATTAAATGAGCATCTGGTTGCTGATCACATTTTAGTGCAGTTAAGAAAATCAAATGCACAATAATACAGTTAACTCTTAATTATTTCATAAATTAATAAATTTTCAAGTGATTTTAAAACTATTTCTGAAACAAATATTTTCTACTTAAAAAAATGCACCTTTAAAAGTTTATTTTCGCATAATTTTGGATTAAATTATAGAAAAAAGATTTCATGTTATTTATCAATTAATCATTTCTTGTTACTCTTTTTCAAAAGAAAACACAGAGATTGTCTTTTAACATACCTTTACTTTTTTTATAAACTACAAATTTTCCTCTTATTTTGATAATGAGAGTATTACTTCATAATATTACTAATTTTCATAAGTTTTTATGGTGTTAAGTGTGCAAAACTGTGCACTTTTTTATTCCTCCGCAGAACTCAGCACACAAACCTGTATGATTCATTGCATTAGAGGTATAATTGGTATTGAGTTATTTCTGTTACCTTTCAATTTTTATAGTAATGTCACATTGTCATCTAATAAATATGATTTATTTTTCCCATTTTATAAATAGTTATTGAAATAAGATAGATTTACTCTTGTCACTAATAAGCAAAAATATATCTAAGCAGGGTCGGGGTTTTAGATGTCCTAAACTGGTTTTGGACAGGACATGTGGGTTTTACTGTCTTAAACTGGGTAAAACTGTCCTAAACTGTCCAAAACCTTGAACTTTGGTAAAAGGTAAAAATTCTATAGATGTAACCATTGTACACATGATAATTACATGTATCAATAAATATTTGATATTTTTTATACAATTTACTATAACTTATTAAAAGAAAATAATATAATATAATAGGAAAAGGTTTATAATTTTTGAAGCTCCACAATTCATTGAACAACAAAAGTGAATACCTAATCCTTTAAATATAAATATGCTTTTAATACTGATAAATAATATTTATGCATAAGGATAAATATGGCAATTTTAAAAAATAATAATTTTTCTTAAAAAAAAAATACTAAATTTGTTCAAAAATTAACCTTTTATTTTCACAATATTTTTTTAAAAAAATGTTTTAATTTCTGCATTACAGGATGATAAAAAAGACATCTATTTAAAAAAAATAGTTTTTAAATATAAATATATTAGATAATTAGATTAGATTAGACTAAGAGATTTAGATAAGCAAAACTGCAAAAAAATTATGTCCTTTTAACTAAAGCCATGTCTATGGATTACGTGAAACTTTATTTATTCTAGCACTTGGCAAAACACATTTTTGACAGCAAAATTATCAACCCTGTTTTTACAGCCATTTTAAATCGATAATTGTTTACACATCTACCGATATAAATGTCAAAATGCTGACATAAATGACAAAACATGTCATTTTCAAAATTAGCCAATAATAGTAGAATGTTTCAAATATGTGCAACTGTTAATTAATTTAAATATTCTTTTTTATTTCACCACAATCCACCATGACTATAGCTTGCTAAAAATTGTTATTTGAAACATTTCCGATCTTAGCTTTCAATTTTGGAATTATTATTATATGTTTAGATCATTTGCTCCATCATCTAACTAAATCTAAACGCTTCTGAAGCGACCACTTTGTGTTCCACAGTAAAATGGTTGCACATAGAGGTTGGTCGTTCTTAGAGGTTTACTCTCACTACTCAATATCATTTTCTTAGTGCGGAAATGCCACTTGTATCGGTTTCATGAAAACCGGATCTGAAAATTTAGCATCTATAAAAATGACCCCTATTGAAATAATTATGTGCTAAAACAAATTTATCAATTATGAATGATAGAAATACTTTAAATAAATAAGCAAATATGCTTCTTGCTCAAGTTTGCATTTAACTTCGTACCATGACAATTTACTTTAAAAAATAAGAGGTTTGTTTGCTAGAATTGCTTAGTTTTTTCTGAAATAAATTTTTCTTCTAACTTATCTTTTCCACTTTAAATTGATATTATAGTTTTTAGTGCTCACTAAGCATAACATGAAGCGGTTAATCCTTATCAGAGATCGTTATAAGAGCTTGCTAAATAAGAGCCACTCACAAATATTTTCAATCTACTTATTTGTTTTAATATCTTTTTTGTGTTTCCTTATTTGACTTTTTCTGCATTTGGTACGGAGGTTTGCCCAGTCGGTGGAAAAGATTTTGATGGTCTCTCTTAAAGGTTTTCTTCAATACATAGCTTATGTAAAAAATTATGCGCCTTCCAAAAATTGTCGTAAATAGAGGAGGTCACAACGAGATGGTCGTTCTTCGAGGTATAACTGTACTTATATTGTGCTTCCAATTTCAGATTTATCCTAAATGTTTATTGCTTAGAAATTTAGTGTTATGAATCAAATGTATCTCAATTTATCTTAACAGTCAGGTTTAATATGAAAATCCAAAAGTAAAGTAACAAATGGACCTGTTACATGGCAGTTTTTGGAGCTGCTCCAAATTTATTTATTTCTAAATTCAAACTTTTGAGAAGCTTTTGTTGTTAATCCTTTAATAGTTTTATGGTTGTTGAATGTTTCATAATTGAATTTCCTACTGGTTTAATTCACATTTTAAGAGATGTAATTTATTTAATAATTTCTTTTATCATTTTATGTCAAATATTTCTTTCATAAAATCAAACTGGAATAAAAAGTTAAAATCCTAAAGAATTATAAAATAAGATACATAATTTTAACAAATTTAGGAATCATTTCTATTGGATATGGTTTAATTATTCTACGTTAAATGCATCCATCATAATCTAATTTCTAAATGTATGTTTTATATAAATTTTTATATTGATGATTAAGTCAGTGCTGAATAAGAAAATGGTAACCTTAAATTTTTTTAACAAATTAAAATGACAGATTTTTTTAACGCTTTGCCAATGAAAAGAAAAATAATCATCCTTAATTTGCAATAGTCTTAAAACAACTTAACACCTAGGGTATTATTATAACGGTCACAAAAGATATTATATAACAAAAGGGGTGATATTGTTTGAGGTTAATACCTATTTTCAAACGAGATGCGCAACAATTATTCTATAAATAAGCTTAACTTATTATCGTAAAATTAATTATATATAAGCATCACTACAAATGCGAATATTCATATATGCTTCTAGAATAATACTATATCAAATGTTAATAGTAACATTATTAGATGTAAAAGGTATTAATTATACAGCAATAACAACGTGTTATCAATGGAAATGAAATAAAATTTATCAAAATGAAATAAAATTAAGAAAAAAGAATAAATAAATCGATCAACTAGACCTTTACCGTATTTTACATCACATCTTAATAATCGACCATATTTTTCAAACACTTGTTCTACGTCGCGTTCACGAATATCAATAGGAAGCCTTCCTATAAATAATTGGGCTCGACTTGACATATTGTGGAATGTTAGTTTAATTTTTACAATGAGTTTGCATTTAAAATTTTATAAGTTGTGACTTTTTGTCCTACATAATTCGAGTGTTGCGATCGCGAATAAGCGATCGAATACCACAGAAAACAAATACTACATTTAATTCGTTTTAACTGTAACTGTCAAGGCAACCGTTTCAATCCAAAATACGGACCAATCACGTTTAACGAAAACATTCACTGTGAGACAGAGCCAAATTTTAACAAAAATAAGCAGTAAAAAGCGATTTGCTCACGCTAACATAACAAACTAGCCGTTGTTTGTTATTTTTTAAATAATTACCTTATATAAATATCACACTTAATAATGTTGCTCGACTAGTAAATTTATCAGGGTAAAAAAGAAAATATTATATAATTTTGAAAGAGAATTTCTTTCACTTTCGTTATCACAATTTTGTAATGTAAGTCTGTCAACAGTTCTCGATCGAGTACCTTAATGCTCGATCGTATTTTATAACATGGAATCTGTGTTTAATTATTTTCGTTTTCGATACATTCTTACACTGTGTATCAGCGGTACCATATTAGGCATTTTTATATTCGGCTATCTGTGTTCTGAACAAGTATGTGCATTTAATAGTTGGACTTATTCACAAACTCAACCTAGTCAATGGAATAGATTTAGCCTCAGAAATGTGGTTGATAATATGGGTAAACCTCTTTCGTTTTTATCACACCCTTCGCTTGCGAAATCAGATGTTTACAATTCCAAAAGTAAACTTTCATTTGAGGACATGCTAAATGAACCAGACTTCGAGTTTGACATAAAAGGTTCAGACGTAATTGTGTTTCTTCATATTCAAAAAACAGGTGGCACAGCTTTTGGTAGACATTTAGTAAGAAACTTGGCATTAGAAAGGCCATGTTCTTGTTTGAAAGGGAAAAAAAAGTGTAAATGTTCTAGACCTCATTCAGAAGACAGATTATGGCTGTTTAGTCGGTATTCCACTGGCTGGAAATGCGGTCTTCATGCAGATTGGACTGAACTGACTAATTGTGTTGACAGTGCTATGGATCAAACTGAGAAAGAGTCTTCAAAACGAAGGTATGAGAAATTATTAAAAGATACTCTCTCTTATGGTTAATGTATATGAAAATTGTGCCTTGTATAGAAAATGTGTTTATAACAACCCATTTTTTACACGTATTGCTACAGAGTTGCCATAAGTGTGGGATAATTGGAGTATTTGCCCTGGGCCCGTCCATAGTAAATATTAAAAAACTAGGGGATATTTCTGTATCATGATCTGTCACGCCAAGGCACCAAATGGAGTTTCTGATAGGTTGCTGACCCAAAGATGCCAAGGATTGGTGATTAATATGTCACAGGAATAATTTTAATATTGCAACTTGCAAATATTATTTTCTATTGTATCATGTAGACGAGATGGGAAAGCGGTAGTTGCCACATCTCTAGGAGTTCTACATATATAAACCTCCTATAAATCAAAGTTATGATTATTAACATAAGGATCAATTTAAACATCTTTAGATTTATCTTTAATTGAAGCCCCTAAATATACAAAATTCCTAATTCTAAGGATCTCTAATCATTTTTAATAAAAATGAAGCAAAAGTCTAAAATTTAAGAAAAAAAATGGAGGAAACATTACATTTTTTGTTTTTAGGAACGAAATTTGGAAAATATATAATACTGTAAAGTATGGGGAAAAAAGATGTTATTTAGACAACTGATTTAATAGAAAGTAGTTTTTTATATATTGATTTTTAATTTTCTTCTATTAATAAAAGTAGAGATGTGGTTATATTTTCCTAGCAACAAATAGCTCTATACAGTTATACATAGCTTCCATCTTATGTGCAGTGTTGCCACAGGTGACTAAAATGTAACTATTTTTGGCATGAGGCGACTATGGCAACTTTTTTGCCTGAAGAGGATTTAAAAAGGAGAAGGGGAAAAAAAGCAACTATTTTCAGGAAAAGGAAACTTTTCTGTACTCCTGGAGGTGTTTTTTTAGCATAAATTGGGTTGAAAACCTGCAGTCCACTGCACTGGAGCTTCTCAACACACAGAATTCTTTTTTCTTAAAAAATAAAAAATGGAAAAATTTTGAATTGCAAATTTGAGTCATTTGTTAAATCAATTATTGATAAAAAGGAAATTTTTTTAGAAAAATTATGTTTTTTTTAATCAATTCTAGTAATTAAAAGTATATAATTTCTACAAATATACTAATTTTTTTTGATATAAGAATTTAGTGCTTGGACACTAAGGTTTATATAAAAATTATCATATTTGCCTCCAACTTGACTAAATAAATCATGGTATATGACAAGTCATTTAATGAAATTTTAGTCATATTTTTGTTCTTATTTAGGCAACTATTTTTAAGCTACTAAAAGCAACTATTCTGAGCATTTTTTTCTGTAGCAACCCTGTATATGTTATTTAAGGAAAATGTATCCCAGCAGCAGAGAAATTAACTCATTAATACCAAATTTAATAACCACGATATGAGTTTTTTAACAGATCATTACTCCAGTATAAAACCATGTAAATTTTATAAGGAAAAAAAAACAATTTTAATTTACATCAGTGTATATGAATTTATTATCTTGTATCAATGTGTTAAAAAAAATTAGGTAAAATTTGGCTTTTATATATCAACTTAGGGCATTTTAAGAAAATTCTTCCAAAAAAGTCGACAACTTTTGAGATTAGTTCACTTCTTTACTAAAGTGTTTTTATGAATTATAGCTGTTTGAAAGTTTTTGTTGCAACTGATTTTAAAGCATTCTCAATTATTGTTCATGTTAATTAAAATTGTTCCTTTGCTTGCCATTTATAAGCCTTGCTGTCTCAACAAGCCTTAGTTTTGATTTTATTATCTATGAATGAAAAATGAAATTAGTACTATTTTATTAAATATATATATTTTTCTTTACAGGTACTTTTATATTTCTTTGTTACGAGACCCAATTTCTCGTTTTTTAAGCGAATATAAGCATGTGCAAAGAGGAGCGACTTGGAAAACTGCAAAACATCTTTGTAGTGGACGAACTCCAACTAAGGAAGAACTACCTCCATGCTTTGAAGGCAAAGACTGGAGTGATGTTACATTAGAAAATTTTATGAACTGCAAATCCAATTTGGCTGTGAATCGCCAAACGAGAATGTTAGCCGACTTGACTTTAGTTGGATGTTATAATCAATCTGTGATGACAGAAAGACAAAGAAATGTCATAATGCTTGCCAGTGCCAAACAAAACTTACAACGCATGGCCTTTTTTGGTTTATGTGAATTTCAAAAGATAACACAATATTTATTTGAAAATACTTTTCATCTTAAGTTCCTTCAACCATTTCAGCAATTGAATGAAACTCATAGCAGCTTGACTCTTTCTGAAATTAATGAAAATGATTTACAAAAGATCAAAGACCTGAACAAACTAGATATTGCACTGTATGAATTTGCAAAATCTTTACTCATGCAAAGATATAACCAACTGAAGAAATTTAAATCTTCAATTGAAAATTTCAGTAATGATGGGAATGTAATTGACAGAATGTTTGATTATGATGCTTAAAATATATCTTGTAATTTAAGCAATTGTATTATTTATAAGCCATATTGGCTTGATATAATTTTATTCAAATTATCATCATTTGATGTAATGGTATTTTGATAATATAACTGACTTCTATTTAAATTTTTAGTTAGAAAAGTTTTTTTTTATTGCATAATTGCCAAGAAAAAATCATTGTTGCTTCTTACATAAATTGACTAGGTTTCTTACCTATAAATGTGTTTTCATTTATTTTTTTAACATGCATGTTTTTAATTTAATGTTATAATTGATTTCTTGTAAAATCTCTTGTTTAAATCAAAATATTTTCTTATGGTATCAATATTTTTATGTTGTATTTTTAATGAATAACAAGTATACTATTGTGCTTTAGGAAATTATATTTATTTTAAATAAAATATATTTAAGATTGAAGTACAAAAGAATTGAGAATATTTTTCAATCCTAACTATTAATAAAATGTGTGTTTTTATTCTTATTTATTTCTGTTATATTTAAAAAATGTAAACAGTCAGTGGCAAGGGTTTCATAATGCAGGAGAGAACTAAAATGTTCTAGAATCTCAGTGATGAAAAAAAAAGTAATTTACATATATGTTCTAGGAAGGTTCCATAGAGTTTAGTTTTTCACTAATTGTTTTAATAAAAATCTAAAATAAATATTTTTTTTACAGCTTCTAAGATTTTTTACAAAGTGCTTCTAAAATAATTTGCATCTTTTGAAATGATAATTACTATTATTGATTGAATCTTTTATTTATTACTCCATGGTTTAAGATTTGACAGGTAAAAAGTGATAATTAAAACTGTAAAAAATCGAGGCAATTAGAAAATGATACCAAAACATTTGAAGATTCATCCAATTGTTATCAAAAAAAAATTTCATTATTAGTATAGTTGCAATAAAAAAGATTTTTTATTTTGTTACTTTTTTAATTAGTTTTTTTTTAAATAAATTTTTAAGCATTAATTTTTAATAATAAGACATGTTTTGTTAAATGATACCTTATCATCAAAAGTTAGTTGAAGACAAAGAAATATATATAGAAAAAATCCAAAATGAGGAGGCATTAAGTCACTTATAGTTTTTTATGTATTAAAATTTTTTATCAGCTTAAAAAAAAATGAATTTTTTTTACATACATATTAACAAAATAACAGAATTTGAACTTTATTATTGATTTATGATTTTGTTTCTAACTGAAATTATTTATAATTATAATTTTTTACATTTCCTTCATGCATAATATAAATGTATGTATTACATTGACATAATAATTTACACTGCCTTTAAAAATCATTAATAAAGTACTATGATATTACAATCTATTTTGCATTTTATTTAACTAGCATTAAAATATGTTTCAGAAATGGAAGCACACTAAATATCGTATTGTACTAGTAAATTTCATCTATAGCAGGATAATTGGTTTATAAATTTTTAAGCATTATTTTTTAATAATAAAACACAACACATATCTAAAAAAAATTCTTCTTCTCCATAGTTGTTGAGAAATTTTTCTCTAACAGCAAATTATTAACTAAAAATTTGAATTTTAAGTTAAAAATTTAAAATTGTTTAAAAATTTTTGAAATTTATTTATAGCTAATATGGCTTACAATAAAATCGTATTTATGATTTGTTTCGTAAAAGTCTAAATAAAGTTAAATTATCCAGACTTGCTTTCCAACATTTCATTGTACCATTTCACATAGTAAACAGCCACAATCCAATTTTTAAAATGTAGAAAAGTAATGATATTAATCAAAAAAAAAAGAGAATATTCTAAGTATTTTTTAAGTACTATTTTTTTTATAAATATGAGCTGCTTTTTTTTATTTTTATAATCTGCATTAAAAATATTTCATTATTTTCAAAACTTTTCTGCATGTCTGCAAAAAAAAAGTTAGCTAGCTTGAATGAAAGGAAAAAAACTAGCTAGTTTAATATATTTCTCAAATTTATTAGTTTGCTATACTAAATTTAATAATGCATGTGTTATATATATCAAGTGTTACACACTAGAGACCACATTAAATCTATTTTATTTTAAAAACAGTGTATAGTTTTGTTCTGATAGTTTAAAAATGAAAGAAACTACACTTAGGTAAAACTATGAAATTGTACAAAAATATTTTAAATTGGTATGTAAAATAGAATTAAGTTGTGTCATGTGTCAATAAATGCTGTCAGAAAAGATTTTAAAAAAAATTCATTATAATTGGTACTTTTAAAGCCTCAACTATAGTCTCCCTGGCTTTAATTTTGTATTTTTTTCTCTTTTTGAAATATGAGGAACCACTTAATACAAACTTACATATATATCAGTTTAAAAATTCTTTTTAAATAAATCTAATCATTTCAACATTATCTACACTCAGTTTTAAATTACTTTTCTTTTTTATTGTAATTTACTAATATATGTCTTTTAATGAATTAATTATTATCATTATTAAATTTGTATTTTTGAAGCAAGTTACTTGATGAATAAAATATGAAAAGGAAAACTAGCACAAAATAAAAATTAGAGCACTATTTTTTTCTTCAATTTTAAAAAGATTTGACAAAAACTTTTATATAAAAATATATTTATTTTATAAAATTGCTAATCTGATCTTAATTTGTTGCACTTGAAATAATTAAGATTCTCTTCATTAGTGTAAATATTTAGCATGATATTGAAAATGATCTTCAAGAAAAGTTCCCACAAAGAAATAGCTGTGATCATAACCCTAAAAAACAAAGCAAAAAGTTAAACAAATTGATTTTATTTGAAAATATAGAAAAGTTCTACAAAATCATGGGGGAAAAACAATTTTTTCAAAATAAAAACAAAAGTAATTTAAACTATATATAAATTAATTTTTAATAGTATTAATTGTTAATTAGCAGAAATGAAGTAGAAAGTATGTATAATAATTATTAAATTTATAATAATAGGACAATCACTTATGTTAAATGCATCATAGGTTTATTATTTTTATTTTAAAAAGGCACATTTTACTACTTTGAGTCACTAATAGGTTATTGAAAATTTAGTAACTTAATCAAACAAAGTATTTTAGAAGAATGAAAACTAGGGAGCTGGAATGTAGAGTTTTATGGCCCAATAGATTGAATCGGTTATACTGCACTAAACGGATTTTTGGTTAACCAAATTGGTGTTAAACATTTTCTTAAAAAGAAAAAAGTCGAAGGGGAAAGATCACTGGAGTGCATAGAAGAATGAGAAATCTATGTTTACTTAAAATAGGCACACCTTTAACTTATAAATAAAGACGAATGACTCCAACCAAGAGTTTTCTCCCTTTATTACAAAATCATATAATAAGCAGAAATAATTCGTCTCATCAACTGTTATATCAATGACATCCTCCAATGAGGATGGCGTGCTATGGCATATTGTGGTCTTCAGACATCCCCCATAACAAACTATAGAAAATCTCTACTCAAAGGACATAAAATTATTCACACCTTTAGTCTTTAAAACGTAGTTTTCACAAAAAATTCAATGTGAAAATACAGTAAAACTTCAATAATTTGAACTTTAATTTAAAAAATATTTTCAGTAACTTGAAGAAAAAAATTTTAACTATAAAATAATTTATGCTTAATATGCCAAAAAAAAAAAAATTTTTTTTAAAAACTTTTTCCTCTTTTTTCTTGTTTTTTTTATGTCCAGAAATGCAATAAAGTCTATTTTTAAATATAAAAACATTAAAGCTAAATTAAACTGGTAAAACTTGAAAGTATATTTCCAAGAAAAAATATTTACAATGAATGTAGTTTTTAAAACAATTTATGTAAATTAAATTATTCCATAGTATAATAAAAACTACATGGTCTGTAAAATTAAAAAAAAAACAACAAAGTATAATATCTTTGAATTTAAAAAAAAAATTTAATTTTGCACATGTGGGGGCGAAGTTAATCGACAATACCAACCTTCATCTATCAAAAGGTACCTCTCGATAGAATCAAGTTAGCATGCTTTATATACTAGTGAATGATGTTAAACTTTTGTAGTGGTAGTTACGCCACAGTACTCCCCCACCAGAATTCTATTAGGGATAGAATTCGTTGTATAGATACCACTAGTTGCTGTACTTGTGACAAACCGGGAGAGCGGTCACCGGTATTTTGAGTGCTGAATGTGAGAGGTGTATTAACTTCACAGTAGTAGTTGCTCTTGTGTTGCCATTAGCAGTTGAGTGTATGCAGGAGTTGAGAGTATTTGACATTGTATGTTCGAGACGAGACTGAGTAGCAACAGCACAGGAGGGTGATGATGCTGTCACAAATAGCTAGTCAACTTTCAATGTGGACTATTCATTGAAGTAGGCGTTAGTGTTAGGAATTTTGCGAAGTGGGCGTTATTGTGTGTTCAAATCACGTCCGGAGGTCGCCAGTGTGGGGGCGGAGTTAATCGACAATACCAACCTTCATCCATCAAAAGGTACCTCTCGATAGAATCAAGTTAGCATGCTTTATATACTAGTGAATGATGTTAAACTTTTGTAGTGGTAGTTACGCCACACACACTTAAATTATAGGTACACAATTAAATTTAAATTATTATATACTTAAATTATAATTTTTTAAAAGCTTGTAAATTATTTACTTCTCTATTCAAGTTCTTTAATTACAATTAATTTGAATATGTTTTTGTAGAAGAAAGTTTTCCTAAAAAAATCATACAGCTTGAATGTCGAACTAGGAGTTCTACATTTCAAAATTTTAATTTCAGTGTTCTTTCAATTTTTAAAGAAGTATTAGTTTAAAAAATGCTATTTATACTAGTTATGTAAATTTTTTTAAATATAATTTTTGATCAAAAAAGCAGGGACCCCTTAAAAGCTGTATTTACTCACAGGTTGTGCTTCTTGAATTAAAATGAAAACAATCTTTTTTGAGCAATTTTGTTTTCCAAATGTCTTTTTCCAGAAAAGTCTCAGATTTCAAATCCTTTTTCGATCTTTTACATCTTTTTCAAAATTTGCTTTTCTGTTCCTAAGCAAGTAAGTAATAGGTATCAACCACAGGAGGTAATTATAATGAAGATTAAACAGGCTTCTTACATAGCTGACAATTAGTGTCCAAGTTTTACTTATTTAATTTCTAAAAAAAAAAAAAATTCAGAAAAATTAAAAAGATATCTTAATTATAGTTTAGGAAAATTAGTGTGTCTACTACAGTGTGTTGTGAATCTACTATTCAAATTTTTTTTAAATTTATAAATAAAAAAAATGGTAAACTTGCCTCTTGCATACGCAATTTTGCTTTTATTGAAGTCCCTTCAACTGCAGCCATGAAATTTTGAGGCTTTAACTCTTCTTTTAAATAAGTATCTTCAGAACCCTGAAACGTAAAAAAATGTCAGCATTTTGCCCTTTGCAATTCTTGGAAATGAATTGAGCAAAGATAAAGAATAAAAATAATTCCACTGAGAACTTTTATAACACAAATGTAAAGTGAATAAAAAATATTTGAGATTATAATTTTTCCATACCGAAAATCTGAGGAAGATCACAAAAAAAGAATTTTTTTTTTTTTTTTTAACAAAGTTAATTTCTAATAATTTATCTAAACACAATTTTTAATAATTTTGAAACTCTTTTAGTCTTACCTGATCAATTAAAATTTGTATTTCTGGCCCACTGTACGATTTTGCCAACAAAGTTGCATCATACTGAGCCCAGTTAGATTTGTCTGGTCCAAGATAGCCTGTAAGAGCTTTTATACCCCAAGGGCCTTCAGAAGGATTGGAAATTGGAGAAAAGGCAGAAACACTTTTAAATTTTTCTGGATTTTTCAAGGCAATAGTCAAAGCTCCATGACCTCCCATACTGTTAAAAAGAAAATTGAAATTGTATTTTAATATTATTATACTATTTTTATAGTTATTTTAATTTAAAAAAAAAATCATTTTTAACAACCTAATTTAGGGTTTGATAGCATATTATGCATCACCATAAAGCTCTCAACATATAGGCTTTCTGTGACACAGAGTTTTTTGTGAGTAAACTAACAAAAACACCAGATAACAGAATTGCTCACTGAAAAGAAATCACTGTATTGAATTTGAAAAAGAAATCACTTTAGTTTAATCTCATTCATGTTTTGCAAGTCTTGAAAATCGGCATCCATTTTTGAGCACTTGAAATATGTCATTTCCATTTAGTATATTTTTGAAGGTAATGAAGTATTTAATCAAGTAGTATGGCTCAGGTTTCATAATCTATTAATATTTTTATTTCAATACACAAAATTAGTAAAAATATATTTATCAGCATTATATATTTTATTAGTAATATACCTCTATTATTCGGTTCTGAGTATCCAATTTATTAAAAAATAATGTCTAGGTCAAAACTTCATTAAACCTGACTTAAATTCCTCTATTTTTTGCTTTTAAGAACAAAGAAGTATTATTTTCTATAGTAAATACCTTTTCCTGTTGTGATCCCATGTTCTGTTGGAGAAAAAATTATTCTTACATTATGTTTTATCATTCTTTAAGGTTTGCCATACTTGTTTTGTATTACTATGCATACATGCATCACAAAAAGTTAATAAGCTGCAAGACAGAGGGAAACAGAATTATTTTAAATTATCCGTGTATGAACAGCAGATATAAAAAAATCTATTTTTTTACTCATCGTAATTATTGCTCATTCAACATACAGGTTATAGAAGTCCTTAGCTGTAAAATCACGAAGAAGCCCTAGTATATAACAGTATGTTAACAAGCATATTTAACTATTTTCAAACAAATATTTCTATTGAATGCAATAAAATCTGATTAAACATAAATTTCATACAGCTTTTGTTTATGACATATTTCTTTTTTCCCTGCATTTCTTTCTTTGTTTAAAAAAATTAAAAATCTCGTCTAACTTTATTTATTAGCTTGTACTATGCTAATTGATAATTTTCCTCATGAGACTAATAGATTTTGATTTTTTTTTTTTTTAATGTAAGGTTTTATAAGATTCTGATTTTCCATCTTTATTCGGTCATTTATTTAGTTACATATCATTATAAGAAATTGCGATAAATTTTAAAGGAACTGATTTGCTAAGTGTCTGCACCCATTGTTTCGTGACTTTTTTCACATTAATCACTTTTGCTCCATTTTTAATGGCACCACTTTTGTTACATACCGAAAATGGAATCAAATATTGCAACTCTATAAAACTCAAAGCTCACTTGTATTAAAGTCATTTTTAAAACATAAAACATTAATTTCATAAATCTACATCAAATATTATTTCCTAGAAAACAATTTTTTTTACCAGACTGCTGCTGGAAAAAATTTCGTAAAAATATAGCAATATATGCAGGCAAAATTATTAATATTTTAAAATTCTAAACAAGTTTTGTTACATCTGTGCTGCAAGATTCATAAAAATATAACCATGCATTTACACAAAATTATAACTTAATGACTCTAAAAAGGTACAATATGAAACAAATTAAAGTTACTCACTTATAAAACCTCTATATCCTATTTCTTTTCTTCAAAATACTTTAAAAATTATACCTATGCTTAATCATCATTTTAGCAGATCCACAAAAATAAAAAAATGACTTAAATTTATAATGGTAACTCTTATACGTAAAAACACCAAAATTTGAAAGTTGCTTTGATGCTTATTATTTATAAATAACATACAAATTATATGCATAATAGAAATAATTACCTGTGTCCAGAAATTGAAATTTTTCCAGTAGTTGGAAATTCTTTTTCAATTATGGTTGGAAGCTATGGGAAAAAGATAAAAATACTTATATTTAACTTCTTTTAAGACATTTTTTTAGATGGTTTAATAATGATACAAGACAATAATAATAATAAAAATTAAGATAAAACACCAAGTAAAAATTTATAATTACAAAAAATTATTTAATAAAAAAGAAAAATAAATAAATTATATAAGTTTTATTTCTTATTAAACATTTAAATACAGTTCAATTTCATAGTATTTATATTGACTACATTAACAAAGCGTTTCAATATTAACTGAATCTGTATTAAAAAGAATCTGTGAATAGAAATTAACATTTAAAATATATCTAACAAAAACAAATATTTACTATTGGGTTATTCAGCTATAAGCATTATTTGTACACATTTGGAATATGTATAATTGATAGCATTTTAATTTTTTGTATTCTACTAAAAATATTGTTTTGTATCCAGGTTCATATCTAAACACTAAAAAAAGAAGAAAAAAACCCATTAAGACAAAAACAATCTAAATTTAAGCACTATTTATACCTCTTTAGTAACATATGAATACATTCGGTAGTTAGTTTTAAATTTTTCTTCGGTAGCATCAACATAAAATCCTGCTCCAGTACCAAAATCATAATCATTATCTTCACCCTCAATATTACAGCCTCCTAAATAAAAAGCGATTGTTTTAGTTTAAAATCAGAGTTAAAATAAAAGCTATTTTTAGCCATACAACAGGATAGCCTGAATTATAAATGTGAACATATATTCATAAATAATTCTTTTTAATTATAAATGATATATATTGAATAAAAGTCACTGAAGTCACTTTTTTAACATTATTATTTTGGAAAACAAACTTGTAGTTCAGACTCAATTATTGCACAAGGCGAACTTTTCTGCGGGAGCGCAGAATATGTACAAATGTGCAAATGAGGTTTCTGGGAAATTCAGTCAGCCATAAGAAGCTTTTTTTGTCTAAATTACAAAAAAAAAAAAAAAAAAAAAAAAAAAAAAAAAAAAGGAATCGAAAATTTTGTTGGTAAAAATCCTACAAGTACGAGGAATGTTTTGATGGACAAAAGAGGTGTGTTCTTTCCCACACAGCCGACAAGGAAACATTTTTTCAGAGGAGAAGAATGAAGTGATTGTCTCATGTTAAATCTGTTATGCTAAGTATCACACAAAAAAAAATTTATATCTCGATTTGTTTCTTTATTATCTTTTCATCAGGACAACACAAGTTATGAGAAACCTCAATTTGAAATGACGTCACGCTTCTTCGCCACTGAAAATTTCTTTAATTTTCTTACCAATTTGAAGACTGTATTTAACACAGTTGGGGTAAAAAAAGAGAACAGAAAATATAATCTTTGAGTTGCTCATGTAAATGAAACATTTATTCAGTCACTTGATAGATGATCAATTGTGAATAATCAACGCCATAGGTCCTTGTGTCTTACAGATATGCAGTGCTTTTTACTCTTTTGTGCATTATGGGTGGTTTACTTTCAAGGAGGTATTAAACACGTTTCTTATCAAGTGATAGGTAGGTGTTAGGGGGTGTACACCTAATAATTGAAACCGACTGAGGACTAAAAGCTCTTATTTGGTATCATATGACTAACTTAAATATCTATGTAAATAGGAAAATTATATTCATTTATCTGTAGCTACATCTAGAATTATGTAATTATATCAAACTTTTTCATATATTTTTTTTTGCATAGAAAAAAATATTTTTTTAAAGTTTAAATAAATATCCTTGTAGATAGTTAATGTAGATTATTTAATTATTTCTATATCCTTAAAAATATTCTAAAAAAAATTTATAGTGTTAAACTTCTTTATTAGGGTACCCTTTCCAAACAGAAAATTTTTTTGGTGTCAAGAATATCAGCTTAACCACAATTTCACTGCATATATATATATATACATAGTCAAACCTTATAAACATGAAATCACTTAGCGTGAAATATTGCTTTACATGAAACACAAGCTTCCGTGAGTCAGCAATCAATCCTTATTGTATTTTACATGCTTAACATGAAATTTTCAAGCTGATTATTGCTTAACATGAAACAGGGGTGATTGTGAGCCCAAGTCAAAATTCCGGAAAATTTAGTTAAAAAAATTTTTAAAAAAAAGACAGTTTAAATTGAAAAATTGGAAAAAAATTTAAACAAGGTTTTTTTTCCTTTTTCTCAATATTTCTTAGTTTACTTAAAATATATTTAAAATTTTACACATACCTATACCATTTACACAAAGCTATGATGACCTGGAGAAGTAATTAAAATTTACAAATATGTTTTTCTTTCTTGAGTTCATGATTATAAGCTTATAAAGTATCTCTCTGGCTCTCCCTTACAAACAAATAAAATAAACTGTGTTTTTAAGTTTCACCTTTGAAAATTTGATTTGCGGAAACTTCTGTGACCCATGATTTTTTTAAACATCTGGACCTTCGATCTCCGGAAACTTCCGGATCACAGTTGGCGAAAATTCCGGATATCCGGTTTTTTTCCGGAGCACAATCAGCCCTGATGAAAGAAAACTAGACACAACACTGATAAGAGGAATGTGAATAAATTGTCAATTATTTATTTTGAGTTATGTTATTTCTATTATCCACCATTGTTAGGAGTAGCAGATGGGTAAATAAATAAAATAGTTAAATAAAGTTATTAAAATTTTTAAGCTTATTTTAATTTATTTGGTACATAATAGCATTGTTTAAATTCGTAAATGTAGTACATATATGTAACAAACTGTTTTCATAATGAATTGGATAAGATGAAATCTAGTTAACATAAATAATTATGATAGTCCCACCAATTTTGCATAAACTAAACAGTGGGAAATTCTGTGCAAATCATTTCCAGCTAGAATTACTGAATACTAAAAATTATTTATGTCAAATATAATATGATATTACGCACACACAAACTATAGTATTATTTACAATGGCTGTGTTTTTACATTAAATATATTTAGATAACCACATTTTAATAATGAATATTTTCTTGAAGATATTTTTGAAAGAATATTTATTTGTACAATATAGCTGATATACAATAAAGATTGAGCTTAAATTTCTGAATACTTACGAGGGCTGGTATCTGGTCCAACTACTATGATACCATACTTTGCAGCATGCGTCTGAAAGCCAGACTTAATCATAAAATTTTGTTCCGTACAGGTTAGTCCTAATGAAAACATACAAAAGCATTGTTAAAAAAAATCAGTCTAATCTCAATATAGTTTGTGTAAATACTTTCCATATTGTTTAATATAATACTTTTGAGGAATTTTTATGTTGTTGTTGTATGACATTACAGGGAGTACCAATTCATACATCCATTCATTCATCCACAGATCATAATTTTGACCTGAATCAGAGATCGATCAATCTCCAATTCAGTACTCCCAAAGGTATGATATGTGAAGGAAACGTGGAGCACTTGTGACCTGACAGATTTAACACATACAATTACTACACAGGGTGAGACTTCAGCTGATGGGGATAGAACTAATGACCTCTTGAACATGGGCATAATGCCCTAACAACCAGGTTATCCTGGCCTGAGGAATTTTTTTGTTTTACATAATACATGAACTATGCTTTTACTATTAAGCTTTATAGGATTATTTAATTTACTAATTTAAACGAGATTAAATTGTCTTTATTTATATTAATACATAATGTAAAATGAAGGAATCCATAGGAAAAGGAGTGATCCTTTAACTATGACTAATCACATTATCTGAGTAATTTTTATTAGCTTAACAAAAAGAGCAATCATTATAACTTTTTTCTCATTCAAAAGATAAATTATTTTCTTACAAAACAAATATTGAATTCAGGATAACTCATATTTTATAGCTTATAGTGAAAAAAAAAATCATTAGATATATCTCATGTTAAAAAAGGAAGAAAAGAAAGAGTAGAAATAATGACAATTCAAAGCTTCTAGTCTTCGCAATTTACAAATTAATAGTTATGAAGCTGAATTGGATAAATAAATAAACTTTTAAAAAAAAAGTACTTAAAATTTCAGGAAACACAGTTGTAATGTATGCTAAGTTTAGTAACACAAGAGGCTATGACAGGGGTGGCGAACCTTTATGCACCAACGTGCCATTTTTTCTAAATTTTTTTAAATTTGGTCATAGACGTGCTGTCCAATAATTTTGCGTCGTGATTATTGGGAAAATAATAACACTAAATACTATCAACACAAAACTCTTTATTTTACTATGAAAAAGAATACATTTCGCAATGTCTCAGTTATACGTGTAATTCAACTTAAAGTAACATCAGTGTGACTTCCTGTGTTGCAGATTACATGACAAATAACTTATATTAGGTTGTAAGATGTTATTTTAAGCAGGTCTGTTATTTTTTTTGCTAGTTATTTACTGTTAGCTTGTATTTTATGGTAATTAATTGCTTTTTTGGCATTAATTGTAATTTTTTTGTTAATAATTGTTTATTTTTTTATGTTTGTTTTTGTGAATTTTAATTTAATTGGTAAATCGCTTCACAGTGAACTTCGTGATCGGTGGCGTGCCTAAAATATTATGTGGCGTGCCACAAATGGCACGCGTGCCATTGGTTCGCCATCCCTGGGCTATGGTACTGGTCAAATGCAAATCCTATTAAGTAGATAATTTTAAAATTCATTTTAAGACTTTTTTTATTAAAAAAAAGAAGGAGAAAGAAAATAAAGCTTTCAGTAAATTCGTGTGTTATGAAAAAAACAGAAAATCACCTGATAAGAAATATAAAACAGGACATTTCTTTTCACTGGCTTGAGGGGGAAGATAGATAGCGAAGTTCAATTCGCATTTAAGTTCTTGACTATAATGACGAAAAACTTTTTGGTAGCCTCCAAAACTTTTCGAACATGAAACTTCAGTCAGAGAAGACATGATTGCTTTGAATATTTTCTAAAAACAAAAAAATATATGTATATATTGCATTAAAATCTTTGATTTGTGCAAAATTAAAAATAAATTTTCAAAACATGATTTATATTATTTTATACATTTTTAAATGCAACTTTATAGTCAGTTTTGTTTTGTAACATATAAAAGATTTGTCTTATAAAAAGAACAATTATAATCATGATATTTTTAGTTGGAAATGAATATAAATACAATATAACAATAAAAACAAGTTTGTTGCGCTTTCAAATATGATTCAAAAAGAAATTAAACACTTGTGTAACTCGTCTAGAATATAATTGGATGCTCACATTTTTCATGAACGTAAATCGACATGGTTAAAAAACTTTCAATCACAGTCTCTCAAAGTCATATACAATTTTCAACAAGCTTATTGTAAAACTCTCCTTAAGGAAAATGAAGAATTATGCAAATCAGCTTAAACTTGAATTCAGAAATGCGATTTTTAAGCATAATATATTTTATTATTCAGTCTGAATTACTGGGATTCTTCCAGGAAGTATTTCTTAAAGAGGGTAGTTTATCTTATAGAGTGAAATCGTATCGCGTATAGTATTGTTATGTAATGTATATGTAATAAGTTCTGATTTTCTAATTCATTTTCAATGAAAACAAATTCGATTTTTAATGATGGGTTTGGCATAACTCGTGTCAGATAAGTTTCAACTTGCGATGATGTTGCGGCAGATTGACATTGAAAATTCTGTTACTAGACTTTTTTAAGAAAAATATTCTATACAGGATATGCAAATATAATCTAAATAAAAAATAAGTAGCTTCAATACTGGAAAATATTAACAACATCAGGCAGCATTTATCGGATCACAGGTCAATTCCAACTCCTTAAAATTTTAATTAAATGCAAATTATGTCAACTTATTTTTATGTATTTTTTGAAGGGAAAAGTTACCAAATTATCTTTTTTATGGTTCATGAATTTTTTAAATATTTGTAAAGGAAATAACTCCGTCGGGGTTTGTTAAAAATGATTAAGAAATTCATTATCAGAAGATTTTAGTGCATTTTCATGGACATTTTATGCAAGATATTAAAATAAAAACAGGACTAAATTAATGAGAAAAACACTTCTTATTGTAAGTCATTCTTAGTGATGTTATACTAACCAATATTTTATAATTTGAAACACCCAATAAGGTTTTTAGTAATTTGAAAAGTCCAGCAGCTCACTGCAAGCCAAGTCAGGTGACAAATTTGTTTATTTATTTCTTGCACAGTATATTAAAGTAGAAGTATATAGTTACTAACATTAAAATAATTGAAATATAATTTTTCTTTTTGAGAAAGATTTCCCACATTTTGATATTTTTATGTGCCTTTTTGCATTTATTTATAGCTAGAGTGAAAGTTTCTTTATTTATCAAGAATATTTAGAAATTTATAATAAATGCAGACAGATTCGTTCACGTTTCGTAATTCGCGGAAATTAAATGGCTCCTGTTTAATGTTTGGTTGTGTTCAGAGAACAAGTTGATTTATTTACCATATATTTTGTAATTAATTATAAAAAATGACAATTAAAGCTGCATTTTTAATGTCTGCTAGAAAAAGAAAATAGAAACTCTTTAGTTTGACCGATCATAAATGTAGATTTCTTTTTCTTGTCTAGAAGGTAATCAAGTATTGTAGTTCAAGAGTTTTTTTTAATCATTTAATTACATTATTGAATTAATTTTTTCATTTTCTTTTAAAAGCTGAAATCACTTTTTTAATGCCTTAGATATTATGAATTTTTCATTCTTTTATTATTATATAAATTACTATTCTAAAATAAAGTTGGCACGTCATCTATGTGACAAGCGGCTAGAGAATAACTTGTAATGCTTAAGACTCATATGCTTTTGAAAATTAATAAAAACACTGAAACTAACGCTTATGTTTTTGTTTCCTGATTGTGTAACATTAGCTTTAATTAATACCTATTAATTTAAAAGTTTTTTTTTTGTTGACCCATTCATAATGACATTGTAAAAAGTAATATTCCTGGGTTTATTATTTTGAATGGGATTATTAATTGTTTGTGTCTTGAGTTTACTTTAAATCATAACCATATTTTTTTTGTATGCAAAAATAGTCATTTTTATAATTTAGTTTATTGTTCTTTTTTTTNTAAATTTATTTTTTAATTTAAAAAAAAATTTTTTTTTTTTTTTTTTTTGCTTCTCATTTAGATTTTAAAGATTGAAATATGTCTACTAAGAGGCCTGCACCGCAAGATAATTCAGCTCAAAATTCTGCTAAAAGGGTTCATTTTGAGCCATGCAGAATTGGTTCTGTTTCAACTCAGGTTTGTATGCATTTTAACACTCTTTATCTAGTAGATATTTTCAACCTTTTGAATACAGTTTTTATAGTAATATAATCTTGACTTAGTCAGGTTTCTATATTGTGAACTAGTAAATATTTTGGCATTTTGTTTAAATCTTAAAATGTCAAAAACATTTACTTATATTTCTGATTATATTAAGGGGAAAATTTTTAGTAAATATGGCTATGAAACTATGCACATTTTGATTATATGTATGTCTTGTGTTTTTCAGCAAGAGATATCACCTTTTGTTACTTTTACAATTAATGTATATTGCTATTTGTTCATTCTAATGCTTCTTATTAGTCTCATGATATTGATGGGAAATTTACATTACATCAATACATAATTATATATGATATAATTGAGTCTAAAAGAAAATATCAAAACAGTAATTTCTATTTAATTGAGATAGTCATGTGTATGTCTTTTGTTTTTTCAATAAGAGATATCACATTTTATAACTTTCCCAATTATTGTATCCTGCTATTTTCAATTTTAATGCTTCTTATTAGTCTTATGATATTGGTGTGACATTTACATTACATCAATACACAAATAAATGATATAATTGAGTTCAAGAAAAAATGTCAAAACAGTGATTTATATTCAATTGAAGATAGTCATATCTTTATCATCAGCGAAAAAACTTTTACACAGTTTTTATTTGCAGAAAATTTTAATCAAAATTTTATTAAAAATGTTGTTTATAAATCTCTGTTTTAAACTTTTTTAAAAAAGTAACATTTAATAACTTAAATAAAATGTTACAAACAAGATAATTATATTATATAATTAGCCAATCATATGAATTTGGAATTCTAGACTAGATTTATCTCAATTTTTTATTATAAATAAAAAAAATTTTTATATATTGGACTTTTTTAGTTCTATTTCAAAAAGTTTTTTTTTAAAAAGATAACTGTCATCTCTTAAAATCTTGTCAAATATCATTAGATATACTATCTAGACTAAACAAACAATTGAATCAGTTTGTCTGAAATAGTTGAATCTAAGTTCTGTAAATTGTATATATGTAATCGTAAGCATGTTTGATGAATTTCAATTACCTTTTCGTTTTTCAAGTTTAATTTATAGCCACGTGTTTTGCGAATGCTGGGAAATGTAATTTCATACAAATTTTGCATAATTACTTTCTAATTTAATTCAATTAAGATCTAGATACATTTCCTGTTTTTACAATTGCAATTTTGCCAAGAAGATTTCTATAACATGATGTGCTATAGAATAATGGTCAAGTTTGGCAACTTCTGGGCAGCAGTTTAAAAAAAACAACAACAAAAACAAGGGACCTATTTGAAGGGTATAACTAGTAGCAAGCCTTATGCAAACCTCTACATGTTTTTTCTATTTTTTTATTGAAAGTTTAAAATGGCAAATGGCAGTCATGATATGAAAGCATCTTCTATTTATACCTTATTCAGTTTGACCAGGGATTCAAAAAACCTACCTGCCCAATAAAATCCGTGCGGGTTTTACTGGGTAAAACCCACCCTAAAGTGGGTATAACAAAATTAGATCATTAACTCAATGTTTAGTTGCAACTAATAAAGTTTATATGAAAAGGAGTGAATTTTAATATGAACTTTCGAGTAACCCAAAACATTAGGCTACCTTATTTCACTAAAAAATATGATGGGTTGGACCATCAAAATTGTCCATATAGTATGTCTGATAGGTGAAATATATGAATGAATCGCATCTTTAATGATTGAAGCATAAACTTGTTATCTGCCCACTATGTTGACAGACTCACAATTATTTTGATTTCTGGACAAGAAACAGATTATTTCATTAAAAGTATTTTAAGCTTTCTATTTTCTTTAATGTTTGCAAAATTTTATTAATATATTTGTTCAATTCAAATTTTAATGGATTAATAAATGTTTTCATTGCAATTTTTAACTATTCTTTATGCTCTTCAATATCTATAACCAGCATTGGCAGGGTTTAGGACTAAATGAATTAATCCACAGTTTAAACTGTCCTGTCCAAAACTGTCTTAAACTGTCCAAAACCCTTTTACTCAAATTATGTCACAATTTTATCTGAACATTATTTAAAAGGAAAAATAAACATAGAACTAATAACATATTGATAATTAAATCTACTAGAGAATATTTGTTTTTAAATGTATAATGTATTATTAATATTGCTTGACTCTTCAATTTAAACATTAAACAAAGAAAGATTACTCAGTAATCAATATCAATTGGTCCTTTCATTCAATAGTACATAACTGAAGTTTGACCTTGCCATACAGCTTAAGCTATTAGGGACTAAGTGCTTGGTTAATCTTAAACAGGTTTATTTATTTATAGTACTATTCAAGAATACTTTTATTTCATTGATGTTTGATTCTTTTAGCATAGTGGTGATACATCACCAGTGTCAGTAACTGAAACTGATGTTATGCCCTTCAAAACTGTTAATACATTTTTCAATTATTTTGTATTTCCAATTTAAACTAGTATATTTATATTTAAAAACATTTTTAGATGTCTTTTTTATAATTTTGTGATGAGGAAATTATAACATTTTTAAAAAAAAAATATTGTGAAAAATAAAAGGTTAATTTTTAAACAAATGTAGTATTTTTTTAAAAAAATTATTATTTTTTAATATTGCATTATTTATCCTTATGCAAAAACATTATTTATCAGTATTAAAAGCATCTTTATATTTAAAAGATTAGGTATTAATTTTTGTTGTTCAATGAATTGTAGAGCTTCAATAATTATAAACCTTTTCCTATTATATTATATTATTTTCCTTTAATAGGTTAAAGTGAATTGTATAAAAATATCAAATATTTATTGATACATGTAATTATTATGTGTACAATGGTTACACCTATAGAATTTTTACTTTTTGCCAAAGTTCAAGGTTTTGGACACTTTAAGACAGTTTTATCCAGTTTAGGACAGTTTAAGACAGTAAAACCCGCGTGTCCTGTCCAAAACCCCAACCCTATCTATAACTCATAGCTATAACTTAATTTTGATATGTATGACTTAAAATATGACAAAAAATCTACGTTTTGTTCATTCAGTTTTCTATTTTTATGTATGTCATTTCCAGTGCCTGCTCGCTTTGTTTACAAATCCTCACATCTGACCAAAATGATTCTGTCACAATCATTTTGGTTTCTTGTGTATAAACAGATTATTACATTGAAATTAAAAATTAATCAATTGAAAAATCCCAAAATTTCATAACTCAGATTTAGTTTTAGGCATTTTTTCCCCCGATTCTTTTAAGGATTAAATTTAAATCTTATAATTTAAATCTTATAATTCAATTCTACAAATTTGTTTTAAATTCTATCTTTTTTTTCCATGTCATAGTCTATATAAAAAAAATTATAGATAAAACATGATGGATAAGATTATTTATTATATCAACCAGAATCTGTGCATTTTAATTTTTCTGTTTGAGAATCTGGATACAAATTTCTTAGTACGAATAACCTGTGAGAGCAAAGGGGAAATGACAACCGCTAATGTTAATATGGGATTTTCTGAGAAAGCATTCTTTTTTATTTTCATCTGAAGTTATATCTGTTAGAAATAGAAATGAAACTTTCTATTCACATCAATAATATTAACAACAAAGGGGTCGTTTACTTTAAAATTGATTAGGTTAGTGCAGTCATAAATCCAGATTCCATTTTCATCATACCTTTTACAGCTGCAGCTTATCATTATAACAATAGATTTAGAAAGTATTTTCATAAGCACACAAACTCTTTCTTTTAATATTATAGTTTTACAAGAGAAAAAAGGAACCATGCAAGAAATATTTCAGTTACTTAAAATTATATGGTCCATAGTGAAAACCATAAAAGTTATTAATAATCAAAAACTCCTTACAAAAAAAATATTGTAGTGCATAAGCTGATGAATCTTTTTAATATAATTAAATCTCCACTGTTAAAAAACAGTGAAACTATTGTTTCATCTGTCAAGAAGACAAGTCAGAAAGTACTTGGTAAATGCATAGAAAAGGAAACTAGTTATAAAGCAATTAGTTGTGGGTTGCTTGTGGTCCTCTTTGCACTTCTTGATACTAAATTTTGCTTTTAAACTATCATGTTAATCTAATTAATATTGTGTTAATACATTTAATGCAATATGGACTATGGAATAGTACAAAAAATTTATTATAAATTAAGTGTAAATACTTTACTATTAATTCATATTGTTAATTAATTCATAAAATTTGATTTGATAAAATATATTATTAAAAATGGCTTTTATTAATAAAATTAGAATAATACATGCATTTTTAATGTAATAATTGTTTATTGTCAAGAAGCTAAGATAATTGAAAGGTGTTAGTAGGACTCATTTAACAAAGCGAACAATTGATATATATTGCCTCAAGTGACATATATTGATTAAAATAGAGTACTGCATGCACAAAATATCAAATGTTCATCATTTCTTTAATTGATATTATTCAAATGAAATTTTATTATAAGCATATTACTATAATTATTTTAACTATTTTAAAAAATTATTTGGTTTTATACTTTCAATAAAGATTATTTAAATTTATTTATGCCTTTTTAGAGGCAGAAAAATCTTTCAAATATTCTATTTTAACTATTCAAGTTACACAGGTGTGCAATAGAGAATAATAAAATTTCAGGAAAAGGAAATAAAAGCTAGCGGATATTTCATAAATTCACTTTATATTACTCTTGTCTGAAAATATGCACTTCATTCATTTTATTTTTAAAAATAACTATACTAGTTTCATTCACCATTAAATTATAATTTTTTTTTTCTATAAATATTGCTCTTAACTATTTTTTGAACTGAAAAAGAAAAGAAAAAATTTGAACAGTGTAACTGAAATTTGCTATATACCCTTCTATTGCTTATAATTGAAATTGCTTGTAATTGAATTAATTGCTTATAACTGAAATTTGCTTGTAGCAAATTTATTTTCTATATTTAAATTTTTAGAAGGAAAAAAATTTAATTTTATCCATTATTATTTTTGTAAGTATTTATGACTGAAGAATTATGATTAAAGATTATGACTATGATTTTAAGATTGTGTTTGTTTTTTTATGTCTTAATGCTTTTAATGTCTCAATTAACTATGTGTGATAACATTGGCGATCAATTAATATAGATGAATTGTGAAAAATTAATAAATAATTGTGAATAATAATTTTATAAATAATTGTAAGAATAAATATCTTTTTTTTACAATTAAAAACTGCCTTAATTAATCTTTAGCAATACATTTTTCATTTGAAATACTGAAGAAAATATTAAATTTCTCATTTTTTAATTAAAAAAATCAGGAGGAAATGGATATGAAGGTCCTGCAATTCCAAAATAGAAAACTAACTGAACGACTCGAACAAAGACAACGGCAGGAGGCTGATTTACGATCTAGAATAGAACAGCTTGAAAAGCGACAAACGAGTGATGAAGCTGTACTATGCGTTGTTAACAGATATTGGAATCAGGTATCAATTTTAGTATCCCTAGCAATAATTTATGTTTTGGAATATCATATTGTTGACATAGTAAATAATTAGTGTCAAATTGTCAAGAAATATATTTGATTAAAATATTATTTTAATTGACACTTTATTACTTAGCTAAATGAAGATCTTAGAATATTGTTGCAAAGGTTTGATGCTGAAACATCTGATGAATCAGAAACCCAAAGTAAGTACATTTTAATTTTTTTCCAAGATGTTTATATATACATTTATTAAACATATGTTCTTAATATTTGAGCGGCTTGCTTAAATTTTAGAATTAAATTATTTTTTTTTTACTTCCTGTGGTTTGTATTTGCATTTAATATTCTGTAAGATTAATTGGACTGTTAAAAAAAAAAGTCTTAAAATTCTTGTATTTTCTGTTCGTCTGATATTTTAAAAGTCCCAAATCTCTGTAGTCCATTAAAGGAAATATTTGCAAAGAATAATTAATGAGAAGTAAGCCTAGGATTTTGAAATTTTTTTCTCATTATGTACTCTTTCTTAAATTCATAAGATGCAAGATTTCTAACAATAATAAATAGTTTTATGATTTTTTTTGGATAGTATATTGATATTTTACTTAAAAAGATTTAATAATTATATAAAGTTAAGGTTAAGATTGATTGTCTGGGTTAAATGATAAAATAATATGTTAACATCATTTATTATTTTTAATTAATCAATATATTTCTGTTACTTAAATTCCATGCATTAACTTGTCATGATAGCAAACAATTTCCATATTTCATTTCAAATTTACTTTGAAATAAAAGTATTTAAAGATAGGATTTTCAAAATAACTAATTTGCAAAAGGAAAATATATTTCTAAAAGAACAATATAAAAACTTGATTATTAATGTGTCATTAACTAAAATGGATTTTTTTCTTCTTTCTAGATGAGGAAGAAGCTACTACATCTTTTTTGGCCCTTTTGGGACAGTGGGATAAAGAAGAACTGGACGAAAAATTAGCTCAACGTGTGCAAGTATCTACTAGAGCTGTTGCTAAAGTACTCCAAGCCTTTGATCGAATTGTTCAAAGAAACCATAAAATTATGCTGGCTCTGAAGGGTGACCCTTCTTCTCAAGGTAAAAAGAAAATGAAATTGCTTTCAAACTATATATTTTTCTCTCTTTACGTTATAATTTTCTTTGTTATTGCTTTATTAAATTGTGTAAACAAAACTACAAAAAAAAGGTCACATAATTATGTTTACTCTTGAGGTAAACTTTTCCATTATAAAATGTTTAATTTTTTTCAAATAAATTTGCTCTTTCAGTCATAAATATTTTCTTATCCACTAGCTTTAAATTGTAATAATTTAAGAAAAAAAAAATATTTAATTCTAAAAAAAATTTTAATAACTTAATTAAAATATTTATTTGGCATTTGTCTGAATTATTCTTTGAAAAGAATATCTGAAAATTATTAACTATATTGAAAAGAATATCTTTTTTTTCCCCTTTCCGATTGGGTTGAAAAAAACCTAATTCTTCCACAGAGGTTTTTCCTATGGTTCTTTCTTTTGTTTTTTCTACTGTGAAAGAAACTTGCCATTACTGATTTGAAGACAGTACAATCAATATTATGAAATTACTTTAGTTGAGTGTTTATAAATATTTTATTCGATAATGTAAAATTAAGTTTTTTTATACTATAAAATTGATAAGTTTTCTTAGTTAAGATATTCTCAAATGTGTGTGAGAGAATATTATAAGAAATAATCCGCCACATATGTTTTATTTACATTATAATATGAAAAGGTGCCTGCATATATTTCGGAGCTTTTTGTTGAGGTATACAATTTCATTTTGCTTCAGATAATTATTTAAAATGATAAAGGAACATTATACTTATTGTAACTTCATTTAAGCTCTATTGCAATTTGATCATTATTTAAGCCAATTTTTTTATTTCGAAAATCTTTAGTATCGAAATCTATTTTCTGTGTGAAATTTCTACTTAGAATAAATTCCACTTGAATAATCTTTTCATTTTTTTATTTTATTTATTATCATAATTTAAAAATAAACTGTTTGAGTTTTTTTCTGATTGTTTGCAAGTTGTGAAATCAAACTAATAATATAATCTGTAAATGTATTATGTATGTTAATTCTTGTGTATTTTTTAAATTCTTTTTAGTATAATTACTGAAGTTATAATTATATGAAAATATTGTGTTCATCTTCAATCAATCATGTTTTAAATCTCTTATCTTTTTTCTTTTTTTTTTCTTTCTAGAAACTATTCCAAGTTTAGATGATGTAGTTCGCCAAACTAATGTGGATTTGCAGAATGAAAATAAAAACTTGCACCTGCTGGTAACTGGTTTACATGAAAAACATCATCAAATGAGTTTAAAAGTGAGTGAACTTAACGCAAATATTTTTATATAAAATTTTTAAAAGACTTTAAATATTTTAAATTGGATTTCAAAAATTTTCTTGTAATGTTGACTAATTGTTAAAAAGAAGAAAAAAAAGAAAAATACTGAAATTATACTGCTTTCTTTTACTGAATTTTATATTTAAATAAGCATATATTTTTGTATTAGGGCATTTCAAAAGTTTATTTTCTTTTATCTATAGTTTGCTGAAATTAATGACAAACTAGCTACTCTAGAAATAGCAAATGCTGAGCTTAAGAATCATATTGAAGATTTGGAATATGATTTATCAAAAACAAAGCAAAGAGAAGAAAAGCTGGATATGCATCTATCAGAAAGCATAACAAAACTTAAATCCTATAATGCAGATAATGATGGAAGAACTCCTGTTAGCACTGTAACTCAAGCAAAAGTATGTTATATATTAATTTCATTTTTTTCCTTGCAATAAATTTTGGTATTATAAATCAAAACCTGACGAGTTTTTGATTGTTAAATAATTGTTTTTATGATATAAATGACAAAACTCTCTCTCTCTCTCTCTCTCTATATATATATATATATATATGTGTGTGTGTGTGTGTATATTTTTCTTTCTCAATTTATTTCAACAAATAGTAGTAGCCAGTTGTGGTAATAAAAGCTGTAAACTGTGTAATAGAAAAGAATAATTTTTTAAGTAAGCTTTAGTAAATATTTCACAAATAATAAGACATTTTGTATAAGTATATTGTTTTTTGAATTATAGCTAGAATATGCTTAACAAAACAAACATATTTAATAATAATATTTATTTATTATTAAAGATGTAATTCAGGGTTGAGTTTATGGCTGTCTTAAACTGTATATAGATAGAACATCTGAAATTTACTGTCCAAAAGTGTATTAAAGTGTCCAATATAACTTTATAATTCTAAAATTAATTGTAAACTTAACTATTTTTTACTGATATTTAAGAAAAAAATTCTTTTTATTTGACGAATCTGAATGCTTAAATTATAAGGTTATATTAATTTCTAACGTTTTTCTCTTAAAAAAAGGAATTAATATTTTTCAACTAAAATCTATTAGTATCTTTAACTTGTCACAAGATTTATAATTATTTTTTTAATTAATTTTGGTAAGGGAACAATTAATAATTTATTGACACATTGTTGACTACAAAGGACTCAAGATACCTCTTTACTATGGCAACTCATCTTGTGTCGGTGCAAAAGGTCGGTTTTACATTTAAAGCTAAATTTTTTATTACAACTGGGCAGAAGAAATTGCATTCCTCAACAGAATAGGAGTTTAGAATTTATTTATCCTTTTTTTTCTCTGCAACCAGTATTATCAAGCAGTTGCCAATATTTTTTTTCTTCATTAAAATATTTTCTTTGTTTCTAAATCTGCTTTCTTTAGGTTAAATAAAAATTAATTTTAGGAGCTGTGCTATTTTATATTGCTTATCCAAAACTATCAACTTGCTTAATTTTTTTTTTGTTAAATTAAAATTTTCGAGGAATTTCCAATTAGGGGAAACTTATTTTTCATGTTTTGCAGTTGCATATTATAGAATCATATCTTAATAAATTTGTTAAGAACATTAAACAAATTTTAGAATTTCATCAGCAAAAGCTCAAACGATTGCTTTTATCTCTTGTTCTCTTGATTATCACATGATCTGTTTTTATCCAATTCTTGAACATTTGATCCTAACAAGCATATTAATCAATTATATTTAATTAGTTATAAATTTCCAAAAGTCCTTTTTAAAATATTTGTTTACTTAAAGCAAAAGTAGGAGTAATCATATAAAATAAGACACATAAAATCTCATTTTGATTGTAGAATTTATATGCTAGGGGTATGAAATGCAAAGGAGAATTTTTGCTATAATTACTATAATTTTTTGCTTCATTTATAGGAATATCTTTGGAGTGAATTTTTTTTGTTTTTTGCTTTTCCAAAATGAATTTTTTTCTCTTCTCAGGAGATTTGCCTTCTTTCGATGAAAGGGGTCCCAAAAACCAAAAGTACTCCATCAATCTTTAATTTTTTCTTTTCTTTTTTTAAATTTTTTTTTTACTTTGTTTTATATTGATAGATTAGTTCTTGTTTTTTTTTTCACTATTTGCTCATCTTAGTTAGATTTAATAATAACTTTTACCTTAATCACAGTAACATAGCTGACCAAGACAGTTTATTCCAAGAATCAAAACTTATAATTAGGGATGTAACGAATATTCGGCCACTATTCGGTATTCGGCCCTTTTGCCGAATATTCGTCCTAGCCGAATACTGAAGTTATTTGGCCGAATAATGAAGTATTAATTATGCTGCTATTATTAATTATTTAGATTTGTGAAAGCCTTATTGTTGGCATCAAGATATTTAAAATATTACAAAAAATACATCAAGTTGTTAAATTTTTTTTAAAATATAGAAAGTTTAAAAAAGCAAATTTGTTAATATTTATTTCATTTTTAATTTAAAATTTGAAAATTATTTAATTACAAAATTAAAATTTCAAAAGTGAAACTTTTTAAAAAGTTCTTAATTTTCTGAGTTTTAATAATTTTTCTGACAAAAAAGAAAGTTAAGAATACATTTAACAGTAGTAATGAGTTCTTATTTTAAATAAAATAGCATATAAATTACAAGTATAACTATAACTAAAATATGCTATTATTAATTATTTAGATTTATAAAAGCCATATTGCCTTGTTATTGGCATCAAGATATTTAAATTATTACAAAAAATAAATCAAGTTGTTAAAATTTTTTTAAATATACAAAGATTAAAAAAGCAATTTTGTTAATATTTATTTCATTTTTAATTTAAAATTTGAAAATTACTTTAATTACAATCAAAAGAGAAATTTTTAAAAAGTAAGTATTCAGCCACCGAATATTCGGTATTCGGCCCCATCACTATTCGTTACATCACTACTTATAATCCGATAAAATTTCAAAACTTTTGCTAAATCGGGTTAACCAGACATTTACATATATATGATTCTTCCACCCATTAGATTCTTCTAGTTCGGCAGATTTTAAATATTTGGAACTGCACCCAATCTGGTAATACCGTGATTCTTATTCACGCACTTTTAATATCAAACATCATTTTTCTTATATTCCTGATAGAAAAGTTAAAGTTGTAATTCGTATTCACGGGATTTAAAAATCCAATATCGCAATTTGTATTTACATGTTTTTAAACCCCAATATGGCGATTCGTATTCACGCAAGTTTAAAATCCAATGTCGCGATTCATATTCTAGGGTTTTTAAAGCCCAATAATGCGATTCATATGATATATCAAACATTGATTTTCATATTAATACGTGATTTAAAAACTATGTTTTGCTGTTCGTATTTACGCAATTGAAAAATTATGCATTGTTATTCGGATTTAAAAATTCAATGTCGCAATTTTTTTGCATTTTTTAACTCCAATATCGCAATTCATATTTTTATGATTTTAAAATCTAAAACTAAAAATTCAATATCTCAATGTTGTTTTCTTAAGATTTGAAAGTCCAATATCACAATTCATATTCGCACTATTTTAAAATCCAATATCGTGATTCATGTTCTTGCGATTTTAAAGTCCCATATCGCGATTGTTTTAAAAAGTAAGTTTTTTCATGATTTAGTTGATTCAAAAAATTATCTTAAATATGAAACAGGTATGAAATATAAATTGATATCTTGGTATCAATTTTATGCACATAAAATTTTTAGTTTTTTACTTTGTGTCAGAATTTTTCCCTAACTGTCTTATCATGCTTTGTGTTCCTATTTTTGTTTTTAACAAGTTGGCAGTTATGCAGTAAGCTCCTTATTTTCATTTGTGTCAAGTTTATAGTCTCAAAAAGTATCTTGGTATAGTTATCTGTTTTGTTTGGTACCTGTGTAAGTTACAAAAAAGTGTGCTGTTTAAAAATTAATGCATCAGAATGTAAGTTTAACTTATTTCTTGAAAAAATTGTGCAATGGGAAGAGTATTGGATTAAAATCTGAAGAGTTTAAAATCTTCTTTAGCTTTACTATCCTTTTTTAACTTCTTTTTCCGCATTTTATTTTACTTATTTATTTAAGCTTGAAGATTTGCAAAAAGAATTAGAAGAACAGAAAGAGCTTTCAAATAACCGTCTGGTTGAGCTAGAAACTTTAAATACTGAACATAAAGAGGCTCTAAAACTTGTTGAAAAATTAAAGATGGATGTAAGTATTATATTTATTTTTACTTGTGTACTATTAGTATTTTTTTCTTGAATTGTGGATAGTGAAATTATACAAGGAAAATGTATCGTAGAGAAATCTTGGTTGCAGTTACAAAAGTTTTGCTTTAAAAACTTTACTGTAACCATTTCATTTATTTTCTTTCGTCGAAATTCAAAACTACATTTTTTAACTCAGTTTTTATGTTCCTTAATAAATCAGTTGACCGATTGTGGTGAAATTATACCAAGTTATTGTGGATTTCATGTTAGAAGTTAGGTTCAAACATATTTTTTTAAATAATTAAAGAAATTATTGTAGGAAAACTTTTTTATTTTTTTAGTCAGCACATTAACTAAAGAACTTTAAATTTAACTTCATAGTTTTATGCCTTTGGCACGTATGCCAAAGTTATCAACAACAGAAGATGACACACTGACTACTTAAACTGTACGTTTAATAATTTACTTGAATAATTTTTATTACAAAATAAATATAGAAATCCCCTTTTTTCCCCATGCTTTCTTGGAAAAAGTTCTTTTAAAAACAAATAAGCAAAAGCAAGATGTTATTTTTTCAGCTTTTAAAGAATTTTTCAGAGCTTTTAAGGAATCAGTCATAGTTTTAAATTTAACTAAAGACATACAGTTATAATTAAGTCATAAATTTTCCTCATTCATAAAACAAGTTTTAAATATGTTTTCTGTTATCCTTTTCTTTATAATTAATTAAATAAACATTTTCCTCAAATTGATATTTGAAACTTTCTTCTTATTAACAAAATCTCCTTTTGTAATACAGCTATAAGTAAATTTTTAAACTTATTTATTTTGATAATGTTAACTTAAAAGTATTCCTAGTTATTAAAGGTATTATAGTTGAACTAGTTTTTCTGTGAAGTAAACTTAAAACATGTTTTGTGGTACCTGGGTTATCAAGTTTTTTACAATTGATGGCTTATCCGGTTTTAACTATGGTTTTATCTGTTATTGCAAAAAACCCTTTTTGACGATTCCCAAAACCCCAAAATTTTTCTGTAGCGATAATTATCAGCTATTGCAAATGTGAAGTATTTATAAATATACATAGATATAAAATTATATAAGTGATCAATCAATAACATTCTTGTATTATTTAGACATGAAACTCTCTTTTTGTTTTAACAATTACTGTGAAAAACCCTACTTTTGGCGCAGAAATATTAAATAATTATACAAACAAAAAAAGAAGAGTAAATTGACAATTGCTGAATAAATTAATCTAATCTGTTCTCAGAGCAAATTTTTTTTATAAATTTAAATTTCTCCAAAATATTTTAGCATGTTTTTTTTCTCTCCCTTTTCAGTACAATGACTTTTTAAAAATATTTTTAAAAGTAACGTTTATACATTGTTAAAAAGTTTTGATAACAAAAGAAAAGGAAAAAATCAATTTGATTTGACACAATTCTTGAATAAACAAGCATATGTATTTAAAATAATAGAAATCAAAATGTATTGAAATAGTAATAATTTTTTTAATTAAATTTGTGGTCGCACTCATAAACTTAAGGAATTCAAACTGATAAATGCACTAATTGACATAATATTTTTTTTAAAAAGGAAAAATTTTGCAAAGTGACACATTTTTGAAGAATAAAAAAAATTTTAGGAATTTTTTGAACCTAACTTTTCTCTAGGGTTACCTGAATTTCATTCAAAATATCGATTACTCAATTGGACATATTCTGCTCCCTTGCATAAGTAATAACAACAAATATTAAGAATAAAAAAAATTAAAATCAGACAATTATTGGCAAGCACTTTAGTTTCACTTAATTTAAAAAATCTGCCTAAATTGAGGCATTAAAGAATTTAAATCAAAATTTAAGATTGATAATAATTAAGAACTCATAAGTTATCTGCAATATAAACAGAATAGTTATAATATAGCAAATAATATTGATCTTAAGGTATTATGAGTACTATATATTTAGAAAAACCAATAGTTTCATTAATTTTGGCTATATTTTTACAATGAGAATCATAGTAGTATATAAAGCAAGTATTGTGCATGATTTAATATATAATAAAATGTCCCCAATGAAAAAAAAGAACTTGCCCCAGATTTTTGACAGTTTTTGTCAGATTTGACACTTATTGACAGGTTTTTGATGTGGCATGTCAGAAACCCAACTCTGTGAAACTCAAATCATATGAAATAAAATTGGATAAATTTGCTTGAATCACTGCTATACCCATCTACTGCATGGGCGATATTTCTGAGATATGCCTCTATGCTATTCAAATCATAAACAATTGTGACGTTCTCAGTTAATTTGCACATTTAATTAAAATTATCAAAATGTGATGAAAAAAAAGAAAAATTTGTGATTAATTAATGCTTATTACAGGTTTTTATTTTATCTTTTTGAAATTATCGTATTAGTGTATATATGTAATAAAAAGTAACTTATGCAGTTATTTTATCACAAACTCTTTTTCTTAACATGTATAGTTGCAGTGCCTCCCTGAGAGTGTAGTTGTTGAAACAACGGAATATAAGTGCCTTCAATCCCAATTTTCTGTTTTATATAACGAAAGTATGCAACTGAAAACTTTATTGGAAGAAACTAGAAATCTAATGGCAACAAGCAAAAATACTCATCTGCGTCATATTGAACAGTTGGAGGTAAATATCTTAAAAAAATTTATATTATTAAATAAACATTTATATTTAAGAAAAATTCATGCATTTATATAATATGAATTTGTACAAATAAATCATTTTTTAAACCTAAATAGACAATTACCAGTCACTTATTTTCGAACTGAGTAATTATTAATTGAAATTTTTTATAGAAAAATTATTTTTATTAGAGCCAAGTTATAAAAATAGTTAAATTCTATTGGAATTTATTAAAAATTTTATAAGGCTATAAATCAACCAAGTTATTGATTCTGCTTTTTTTCTTTTCATTCCGTTAGCTGTTTTAAGGTCTACACATTTTAAAGTGAAGTATTATTTACATTTATAACTCATATTTTAGAGTGAAGAGTTAAGTGCACAGAGAAAACTGAGAAATGAAGCTATACATTTAGAAGATGCTTTGGCTCAAACTCGTAAAGAATATGAAATGTTGCGGGTAGAATTTGAACAAAACTTAGCAGCAAATGAACAAACAGGTATTAAATATAATTAGCATTATGTATACAAAGTGTGTTCCATAGGTCATGAAATATATTTGTTTAGGAAAAAAAATATATTTATTGATGATTTTGGTACAAAATAATAATAATTTCTCAGTTATCTCTATCAGAACTTACCCCATTAGCTACAGATTCTGATATATATCTGATTCGCCCTTTTGAAGTAAGCCTCCTTTAACGCTGTTGTCCCCAACACTTAGTCTCAATGTTGTCAAAATGGCATTTTTTTTTCTTCAGTTTCTTCATAAACAAAAAGTACCTAAAGCTAAAACGTTGGTGTACCTCACCAGGATCTCACTGAAGTGAGGAGACATTTGCTTAGTTGCATGGTTTGCAAAATTGCAACCATGTCTTTTTGCTCATGAATGACCTTTTTTTCTTAACACTAAACCAAACCTACCAGAATGGTCAAATGACCCCTTTTAAGACTTTAATGAATAGTGTTAAATTTGCAGTTTTCCTTTTTCTTTACTTACTGCACCACTTTTTCTTTAATATATAACTACTTAATTGTTTAATATCTGTTTCTCTTTTATTTTTCCTGATAATAATGTGTACTCTACTGTTTACAGTAGTCTTTTGACCACTTTAAAATAAATTAAATTTTATAAAGTTATCTGCATTGAAATCTCTGACTTAATACCAGTTTTGAGATTTCCGAAAAAATTTCCTCTGTTGTGTTAAGGGACATGCTGTGTGCTCATGTTCAGTTTGTTTCATGCAAGATACGGAGCCCTTACTGCTGATAACCCGCAAAGCACAATAACAACCATACAAATTTAAGTAGTCGCTCTGCCTGTGGCATTACATATGTTTGCAACATAATCGGTTCTGTTTGTAAAATTAAAATAAGCTGCAATCTTTGGCTAATAAAAAATATAAATAGTAAGTGCTAGTTTTTGTATTTTATTAATAGTGAATTATTCAAACACAAATTCAAAAATTTAGCATAAAAATATCGGTGCAGAAGAAATTGTCAAAAGAAAAAAAAATTAATAATAATAATCTTAACAAACTATGTCCTAAAATAGATGAAGAAGAAAAATCTGAGGCTGAGTATAGTATAAATGATCAATTGGACCTTGAACTATTCAACACAGACAAAGAAGAAGAGAATATTGATAATGTGAGCAGGAGATGAAAGCTTCATACTATTTTCAGAGAAATATCAGGGTTAACGGGATATATAAAACGTAATATTATAAAGTGAGGAGTGCATTTTCGTTGATACTGGATTAGGGCATTATAATTGCTTTAAAAATGTGAACGGAAGTACATCCAGTTTTAGAATCCGAATGGAGTCTAAATAAAGCAGATTTAGTTATTTTTATTGAAATTTTATATGCACACATTTATGGAATAAGAATAGGGTCCTGCTTTTTTTTTCATGAATAATGGGTAGAAAATGTTTCCCTGAAATTATGCAAGTTATTTTTTATACACAAGAAGCGAATGAAGCCAGAATTTGCAGACTATTTGATCTTATTTCAAAGGTATGGAAACATGTATAAAAGAAAAGCGAAAGCAGCTACACACCAGGTACAAAAATTACTGTTGATGAACAGTTATTTGTGACAACAGCAACATGCAGATTTACGAAATATATGCCCAGCAAATCCAATACGTTCATAATCAAATTCTGGTTGGCATCATACAATATCGTTAAACAGATTTGTTATTCTCAAACTCACTAAATCATTTACAGGGTGCAGAAGAAATATGACACTCTAATGTTTTAATGAGTGCATCTTTAGCAACAAAACTTCGATTAAAAAGATTACTTTAGTAGAAACTATTCGTGTGAATAAGAGTGAATTACCAAAACCTGCGAAACAAAAGAAAGACAATATAGAGCGTTTTTCAACATAACTTTACACATCAAATGCATGTACTCTGACAATTTATAAAAGTGAACTGAACAAAAAATCTCTCTTATTAAATTTGAGGACACGAATTTGTAAAAATTGAAAAGACAGGTAAATGTATACATTGCTATTGCTTTTTATAATAACACTACATTTGAGAGGAACATGATAGATAAAAAGTACAGCACAAAATCTAAATCTCAAATGTCGCCTGTGTATGAATTATTCAACATTTTGGATTTAGCTGTGATAAATGCATGGATTTTGTATTGGCCAACAACTGGAGAAGCGATATTGCAAGAAGAATTTTTATTTTTGTTGGTAGAGGAGCTTGCCACTGAATACAGAGATTTACAGAAACGAGAAAGCATTAAGTATGGAGAGCAGATCCCACTACATTTTCTGAAAGATGAAAAATATGTCACATTGGATATTGCAAAAAAATGATACCATAAATATTTGTTCTACATGTAAAAAAAAAAAAAAAAAAATTGTGGAAAATGTTTACAAGAGAGACCTTTCACCTGTAAAAAATGGAATTACGAATAAGTTTTAATTTGAATAACAATATCTGTGTAAATTACTGAAGTAACATAAAATTTTTCAGTTTCGAGTGTTCTTTCTAAACAATATATATTCCTTAAGCCCAAAAAATAAATGTTTTTTAATATAACACAATAATTATTCTGTACTTTATTGCCTATGCTAAGTTCTTTATTATTTATAATCAACTGAAAAAGAATACAACCATTGATTTGAAAAGTGGTAATTTGATTGCCATCAGTAGGAATATGTATTCATAAAATGCCAGTAGGTTTAGTGTTAATCTTTCTAGAATATCCATCATCTGTTTTCAATGCTAACCTTAGCTTATGAAAAAAGACGCATAGTACACTGTGTAGCATTTGCTCCTCAACTTCTTCAGTTTCAGGGATACAGAATGTACCATTTGCTCTTTCTCTGGATCAATCTTATATGTCCATGTATCATCACTGTCTTTTTTTTGTGTTGTTGTTGTTAAGGTTTGTGTAGAATTTTATCTTCTTGAACATTGATTAAAGAAACTAAAATCATGTGTCTGGAAGTGGTCTCAAAATAAGGTTGCACTAAGTATGACATTCTTATGCTGTTGATTTTTGATGCATGTTGATGTTGTCCCTCCCACCTAACCAACCTGATACGCTGTACCCGCCATAATAAACCCGTTCTAATATGCTGTGATTAATTTGAGCCTGGCAAAAAATAATTCACAACTTTTGGGACACACTTTGTATTAAGATTTATAAAGGCAACAAACTGTGGTTTCAATAATAATTCAAATTTAGTTTTAAATTTATTTTGAAAACAGCTTAGTTTAATTTATAAGAAAATTTAGTTTCTTTTATTTTTAAGAAAAATTCATTTGTATCTTCAAGGAGGGCGTCATTATCTGTAAGTATGAATCAAGAGATTTTTTATAGAATTTTTTTTAAAAATTTTTACAGTATTTTTATTGCAATTTTTTTAAATTTTTTTTTATTATTAAAGTAGTAAGATCATGGACCATATTGCAAATGGCCAGGAAAGGTCAGAATTCTTGGAACAAAATATGTTTTTCATTGACTGTAAACTTACATCATTATTATTTGTTAGTTATCATACATACTGTGGTGACTTAAAATCTTGATCCTGTCCTAAAATGATAATCATTCCAGTTTAACTCTTATAGACGATCGAAACTGCTTTCAAAGAAAGAAACAGCTGCTACAGCGAAATGGTAATCAAATTCAAGTGCTCTTACTGTTAAAACTGATAAATGCAAATTAATTTATGAACTAATCTTTATAGAATTTTATAAAATTAAGTCCATTTAATCAATATTTTTAAAAATAACTAAAAGAAAAATTTATTGGCTCAAAGCTTTTCTTATTAATTTTTAATCTTTTTTCAGTTTAAAAAAAAACCCATCCTGAATAATTATTTTAAAGCTTTTGCCGAGTTTAAATTTTAGATGAACATTTTTAGCTTTTTTTTTTTTTCTCATTACAAATTTAAAAGTGAAAGAATAGTTTTAGTTTTGATCTCTTTTCAATATTTATTATGTTTATAAGTTTGTTTGAAAATTGCAGTGCTGCCAAAAATTTTCTATCTCGCACTCCTCGAAATATTTAAAATTTAATCAAAATAACTTTAAATCCATAGATTGAAAAAAGATAGAGGTTGTGTGTAGGCAATTTGGGTTTTTCAACATGACTTATAAGGGGTCATGTATCAATTTTAATTAAGCTTTATGTAGTGAAGATTTAAAATCTAGTGTCACTTTTGCTATCTAATTCTCGCCTTTTGCTATCTTATTCGAAAGTCAATGTTTGTATGCTATTTATTTCTCTATTCAATTATAATTTTATTCATTTTATTTTTTGAAGTTAGTTGGAATATTTTTCAAATGCTCTATTTTCAGGTCTATTCATCTAATATAAATGATAAATTGATCCTGATGTATAAACCTAACGAAATGCTATATGTTATGATTTTATTGTATTAAATTTGATACATCATTGATATTTGATTTGTATTAAATTCGATACTTTCCATGAAGCATCAGTTATACAAAGATATAATTTTTTTTATAAATTTATTAGAAAAAATAAAAAAAAAATTTCCTTTATTTTATTGCATTTTGCACTTTTTTTCACCTGTGAATAGTTTTAAATTGCTAGTGTCATCATATAAAAATAGTAGTAACATCATTTTATTAGTAAAAAAACAAAACATCTTCCATACCAGTCTGAATCTAACAAAAAAGGATCCAAAATAATTTTCTACCATTGCTCAAGAGCTTTGATTACGGAACCTCTTTCAATTGAATATATCTGAGGTATGCACATATGACGTGTGTACAAGCTAGTAATTAGCCAACATCAAAGTATAAGTTGTCAGCATCCTATCCTTAGATGTTTGTAAATTAGTAGGAAAAACTAAAATAGAAAGTTTCCTTTGCAGTGCAAGTCTAAGTACGAGTGTAGAAACTGTAATATGAGTCTGTGTGTCCAACCATATTTTAAAATTTATGATACTGAATTAAATTACTTGGAATTTTTTGAATTATCCCAACTTGCATTCGTATTTATAATACTTGCATGATCTCCAAATATATTGTTACGTAATACTTAAATATGAAAATCTGAACATTACCTTACAAACGTGCATAGCGACTCAGTGCACTGATCAGTGGCATCACTTAAGTGGAGTGAACTACTGTATTAAAAGGATTAATTTTATAAAATTTCTGTTTTTTTTTTTTTTTTTCTGTTGAGAAATTTTTAAATAACTCTAGTTTCTAACTTAAAACGGTTATTGACAAATTTAATTTTTGAAAATGTGTAATTATTTTATTAGCAAATTTCATAAAAATAATATTTAAAAAAACTAGCGTTCAACTAAATGGTTGAGCCATTAATTTGAACAATGGTGTATATATGCACCATTCCAATTGATGATATTTTATTTATTTTTTATATTTAAAAAAAGAAATAATACGAAAGTGGCTTGCTTTTATTTATTGCTATCAGTTTATTTTATTTAGATGCAAGTTGTTATAAGTTCATTTGTTACTCTTGTATAGACAAATTTTCTTATACTAATTTATTATGCTGTTAGATTAATATTTTTTTGTATACTTTTTACATGTTTGGTTATGTTGCCTGTTTGTTTTTTAAATATATGTTTAATTCACAAGTTGGTATATAAAATTGCTAGAATAATTTTTCAATCAATTTTGCACTATTAATTCACTTTTCCTGCTAGGTGTGTTAATAGTGATAATTACTCATGTAGCATATTTTATGTGTGTTTCTTAGTAAGTCTCTTATTTTCAGAATTTTCTTACATAAAAATGGTTTTAATTATGTGCATTAAGTATACGATTATAAAATACTTAATTGCATAGCTCAAATTTTAGGTGGTGTTTTAAACTCTTTACATTCACATATTAATATGAATGTAAATGCCTAAAATATTGTATTGCAAAACAAGTGACCTTAGAAATAGTAATCAACAGCATTAATGTGTTAAGTTGCTAATGCCTGAAATATAATCTATTAATACCAATTATTTTTTTATTAATTATTTTTTGTTAAATTTATTTTGATTTATTATAGAGTGTTGGACTACATTTTCTTTAATGTTGACAAAAACTTTTTTTTTTCATTCACAAAATTTGTGAAAAGCATATTAAGTATTGAATAAAAAATATTTAAAATGTATATTTAAATATATTTAAAATGTATCAAAAAAATTACAAGATATTTGAAATGTGAATTTTTTTGGGGTTGTCAGAACTGTATTATTAAACATTAAGCAACAAAATTTGGATGGGAAAAAAATGTGATCTTTGCCATATTAAACAGCTTTTTTTATTCTATCATTTTCAAAAATTTATGAAATATATTTAATATTTTTTTATAGATTATATTTTTTATAGATTACAATGTCATACAATCATTATTTACAGGCCCAATTAATCGAGAAATGCGCCATCTCATTACTAGTCTTCAAAATCATAATCATCAACTGAAAGGAGAAGTGCAACGTTACAAGAGAAAATTGAAAGAAGCCACAGCAGAGTTAGCAAAGTTGCAGGTAGAAAAAGTAATGTAGATCTCTAAGCTAGAATGTCATAGCATTCACTTAACATCTTTAGAGTATACTATAATGATGTTATTTTATTTTAAAAGTGGGAAAAATTTGCATTTTATTCTATAATTTGGAAACATGCAAAGCTTAATTTTCCCACTTATTTTGTGTAAGTAAATTTTTATATGCACCTCTGGATAACTTGTAACTCATTTGTCTGTTTTAATGGATTAAAGACATTGGAAAAGGAAACTTTAATTGTGAGACACCTATGAAATATTGCTTTCAGTTTGTTTATTCAATGTTGAACGCATCTAATTAAACTGTCCTATTACTTTCAAATTATGAAGTAAACTGAGCTTAATTATTCTTTATAGATTTATTTCAGCCTCTATTTCCTTGTTTTCCAAGTTGTAGCCCAGTGTTAAATTTTAATATTGAATAAACAGGTTGTTAAAAAATTTTGAAACATAGTTATTTTTCACTTTTTTTTATAGAACAAAATAAAGTTCTGGGGATTTTTAGAGAATAAATGTACTAATAATAGTAAATAAAATTGGATGCTACATTAAAAATTTGTTTACCCCCCCCTTAAATCACTAACAAATTTTCTACGGTCAAAGCTAGAATTATTTTTAAAAAAATCCCAAATGAAAACTTAATATTTTTATATGCATGCTTTAAAATTGTAAAATTGAAAAACTTTTAAGTTTTTGATTGAAGTTATTAGCTTACCAACTTGTTGTACTGTATAAAACTTCAAATTATATTTATTGCAAGTTACTAAATTTTAATATTTTAAATAATAATTCAATTTTTTTTCTTTTAACATGAAAGCTTATACGATTTTTTAAATATTTTCTAAGTTAATCCATATAAATCCTTAAAAATTATTAAGAAGATAACTTGAAAAATATTTTATCTGCTGTTTAATTTGTGAGAAATTTTAATTTTTAATGAAATTTTTTCCCCCATATTTTACATATTTTAAATGTATAAATTATTTGTATTCTTAGATTATGTAAATCTTGGAAGAAAATATTTATTTTGATGTAATGTATTTCTAAACTTTTAAGCTATATTTTAATTCTGTTTTGATTCTTAATTCAGCCTTTAGCCAATGCTAGCGAACATGTTAAACATATAAAAGAAGAACCCACCGATACTCCTTCTGGACTGTCTAATAATCCTCCATCAAATGTGACCATCAAAGAAGAAGTAGTGATTAAAAAAGAAAAAGATGATGACAGTTGCCGAGACGAAGAAACAGATATTAAAGAAAAAGGAAAATCAGATGCTGAAATAATTAGAGACCTTAAAAGTCAATTAAAGTGAGTTAAAATTTGATTAAAAGTCAATAAAAAATCAACATTCAATTAAAATAAGTAACATTTTACCTGGAATTATATCCAATAAACTATGAAGTTTCTCAACACAGATCTATTTTTTGCATATGTAATTTATAATTTGCTTTATTATATAGCTTAATTATGTTCTCCCATTTTATTTTTTAAATTATGTACACTTAATGAAAAGAAAAGGACTCTTATTAACTTTTGATCTAATTTTCCAATTCTAAGTACTATTTTCAGATGTAAAAAACAGCTTTATTTTGCTAGTGTTTAACTCAAACCTTTTTTTTTTTTTAACATGTTTTTATTTGTTCTGCACATATTCCACGCAACTTAAATGGTAAGATTTGAAATTAATCTTTAATAAGATTTATGACTTATCATTAAATGAAAAGAACAAAAAGAAAAAAGGAAAACAATTTTTCATCATTTAGAAACATTTAGTTTTTTTCTGTTGAAAGCTCTTTAAAGACATGAACCTACCTGCATTATCAATGTGATGAAAAAGTTTATTTAATGAAATTTTTAAGAGAACTTTAATGTGGTGCTACAGTGTGAAATTGCTGCATGCTTAAACAAAGTCTGTTGTTGTTGTTGCACACCCCCTTTGGCCAGCAGTGCTAGACCAGGTCCATGATGTTAAACACCCTCAAAAAATCCAACACCGTCAATGGATCATCTGCTAAATCCTGTTTGGTGAGCCCCAGACATGCGATGATGTGGTGAGGCGAAGCCTGGTTTGAAGAACAGTTGGTACAAATTTCAAAGTTTTTGGATCCTTCTGAAAATTTCATTGATTTAAGGTCTCATTAGGAGTTAAGTCTCATTTACCAAAAAAAAGTTCACAATTTCAATTATCTCTAACTCTAATGTAATTTGTTATGTGCATATGAACAAGGTTGTAAGACTTTGTTTTTCTTAGTTTTTTTTCCTCAAGTATTTATCATTATTTTTTTTAAGTCAGCATAATCTTTTCCATTGCTTATTTGAATTTGATGAAATAAATATGCATTAATCCTAACTGCTTCTTTTAGATTTAAATAAGTGCAAATTTGAAAATTAATTGTTTGGGAGTAAACCATGTTTGGAACATTGTACCTTTAACACAGAAGAGGACAGTCGTTGCTTGTTGCTGTATTTCATAACAATAAATTAATAAAACTCAAAATATAATATTTATCTCCTATTTTGACCCAACTTAATACAAAATAATAATAAAAAAATATTAAAAATATGTTTAATGAAAATTCTAAGTTTAAGAGTAAATAATAATAGAGGTATTAAACAACTGTTGTTATTTATCATAGAAAATCACAAGAGGCCCAAAGAGAATTGAAATTGCTTTTAGATATGTACAAAGGGGCACCAAAAGAACAGAGAGATAAAGCTCAAGTAAGTTTTTTTTTTTTTTTGTTGATTTCAAAAGCCTTTTTTAAATGAATATTTTATTTTTAATTAATATTTTTAAGTAGTAGATAATAACCACCTCTGTGTGTATTAAAAAATGCTGTTATCTTAATATTTTTTATAAAATTTTTTATCTGATGCATACAGCAGCAAATCTATAGTATTATAGTTTTAGTTAACATATTATTTTAAGTTTCTCTTAAAATTAAAATATTTTTTGAGTTTACAATTTTTTACTGATGTTTGTAAATGATTTTCCTAGGGAAGTAGTTTGTAGAAGTTGACCCACCACCGTGCAATGTTTGTTACTGTTTGTGGATGTAATGACATTAAATATGGTATTCAAGAGTAAAACATCATTGTTAAAAATTAAAATGATAAATTCATTTGTTTTTTTATTTATATTTTTAGTTGATGGCTGCTGAAAAAAAGGCTAGGGCAGAAGTGGAAGAATTGCGAAATCAGATTCGTAAAAATTTGGATAACGAAAGAAAAGAACGGCGTAAATTAGCAGATGAAGAAGCTTTGAAGAAAATCAAGGCTTTAGAAGATTCTCTTCAAACTTTGCAAAAAACTCTTGCATCACAAAAACAAGTATTTTTTATTTTAATCCAAAAAAGTTTTGCTCAAATTGAAGTTTATATTATTGTAAAATAATAGGTAGTATTAAATAATTTTAATGCGATATTTATACGGTGTCCTTGAAATAGGGAAACGTCAGGAAATTTGCTCAATCTGGAAAATCTAGGGATATGACAGGAANTATCTCTTATTTTGACCCAAATTAATACAAAATAATAATAAAAAAATATTAAAAATATGTTTAATAAAAATTCTACGAGTTAATTATAATAGAGCTATTAAAATATAATTATTGTTATTTATCATAGAAAATCACAAGAAGCCCAAAGAGAATTAAAATTGCTTTTAGATATGTACAAAGGGGCACCAAAAGAACAGAGAGATAAAGCTCAAGTAAGTTTTCAATTTTTATTGATTTCTAAAGCCTTTTTTAAATGAATGTTTTATTTTTAATTAATATTTTTAAGTGGTAGCAAATAACCACATCTGTGTGTATTAAAAAATGCTGTTATCTTAATATTTTTTATGAAAATGTTTATCTAATGCATGCAACAGCAAATCTGTAGTATTACAGTTTTAGTTAACATATTATTTTAAGTTTCTCTTAAAATTAAGGTAATTTTTGAGTTTACAATTTTTTAAAGATATTTGTAAAATGATCTTCCTAGAGAAGTAGTGGGTAGAAGTTGACCCACCACCCGTGCAATGTTTGTTACAGTTTGTGGATGTAATGACATTAAATATACTATTCAAGAGTAAAACATCATTGTTAAAAATTGAAATGATAAATTCATTTGTTTTTTTTAATTTATATTTTTAGTTGATGGCTGCTGAAAAAAAGGCTAGAGCAGAAGTGGAAGAATTACGAAATCAGATACGTAAAAATTTGGATAACGAAAGAAAAGAACGGCGTAAATTAGCAGATGAAGAAGCTTTGAAGAAAATCAAGGCTTTAGAAGATTCGCTTCAAACTTTGCAAAAAACTCTTGCATCACAGAAACAAGTATTTTTTATTTTAATCCAAAAGAGTTTTGCACAAATTGAATTTTATATTATTGTAAAATAATAGTTAGTATTAAATAAATATAATGCAATATTTACAAGGTGTCCTTTAAATAGGGAAACGTCAGGAATTTTTCTCAATCTTTAAAATTTCGGGATATGACTTGAAATTTAACTAAAATATCCAAAAGAATCAAAGAAGAAGAATTAATTTAAGACTGACATATCTAAGTCCTATATTTTTTCTGAAAAAAAATTGTACAATATATACTACAATTTTTTGCCATATTAATATATTCTTATTTATTATGTTTATAAAATTATGGAAATAATTTATCAGTTTTAAAAAAAAATTTTCTTCAGAAAAATTTGAACTAACATTTAGTTTAAGTAAACAGTATTTTACCATCGTCATTAATGCTAACTGACATCAAATGTTACAGAATCAGACAAAATTAAAGTAATATATAGTAGTAATAAATATGTAATGTATATATTAATGTTATAATAATATTTAGCGTAATAATATAGAGTGAGACCTCTCGGGAGCGACCACTCTTTCAGAGTAAAATGGTCGTACATGGGGATTGGTCGTCACCGTCATTGACTTGAAAATCATATTGAAAGTACATGATTTTTCGCAAACAATTTAAATTTTAGTCAGTGTCATTTTTCTTTTTGGTCTAGAAATGCCACTTTTGTGTGTCATGAAAACGGGATCGATGGATAAAATTTAGTGTTAATAAAAAGTGACCTTAACTGATATAATTATGTGTAAAAACAAATTAACCAATTATGAATGAACTGTTTTAAATAAATAATGTTTGCATTTAATTTTGTATCATAAAAATTAGCTTTAAAAAATTAATATATTTTTTTTCTAATCAAACTTTTAACTCTAATAATCTAAAAATAAATCATTGGTTGTATTATTTTTAGTGCACTCTGATTGCAACATGATGTTGATCTCTATGTGCTTCAATCTAAATATGCATTTGTTTATTTACTTATGTTTTATGTATCATGTTTTAGACTCCATTCTGATCTTTTTGTAGACATTACAGGCATTTTTCACTACAGTACTAGCAGTTTACTTCCATATTAGCACTGTTTATAAACATAGTTTACATTCTATTTAAATTGCTATATTTTTCACTTGTACAGTTTCCATGAATGAACTAAAATAAAATTTCTTTTTACTAAGGGTTTTATTTATTTACTTTCTTAAGAAAATTTGATGATTGTGAAAATGTTTATCATTTTTAGGAAGAGGAAGCATTATTGAATGAAATGGACATTACAGGACAAGCGTTTGAAGATATGCAAGAACAAAATCTTCGACTCATGCAGCAACTGCGGGAAAAAGATGATGCAAACTTCAAACTCATGTCAGAGGTAACTAGTTTTTGATCATTACCAGTTTGTCAAACTAGATTAATGTCATATTTGTGCAGGGTTTTAAAAAAATTGCAGTTTTTTTTTCTTTTCCCTAGAATAAAACCTAACCCACTGGGTTTTTAAAATTGAATTTATCATCATTTCCTTTTTATTTTTTATAGTTTTAAGTAAGTTGTGCTCCATTAATTTGATTAATAATCAAGTCATTAATAACCATAATTATTAGCATATTTTATTATAAATACATTGATAAATTTAGTAATAGAGTTCAATTTAACTTTGTAGGATTTACCCATTCTGTTGTGAAATTATGAAAAACTAATACAGTCAAACCTCGATATCTCGAACTTGAAGGGAGAGGAGAAAAAATTCGAGATATCGAAAATCGCATGTTATTGATGGTAGAGTAAAGAAAAATGCTCTTTACATGCCTTATTTACTATTCCATATTTATTCTAAAAACACTTTTTACGCTTTCACTTAAAAAAAAGATTCAATTGTTGTTTGCTGTAGAGATGTGTAAGAAAGTTTGTCTATAACACTTTCTAAGTGGGCTATAGCTTTAAATGTCTCCTCTGACATATTCGGCTGCCTCTCTATAAATCTCCTTACAGTGTCCACTGCAGAAAGTGATTGTTTGTTAGTAACCTAATCACTATATCTTCGAGCACTGTGATCACTAAATCTTCGATTTCCTCATCCTCTTCTTCTGATAGTTCACAAGAAGCTTTCGTTTGAGCGATGATATTATTGTCATCCCACTGACTGCATCACTGTTACTGCATCATCTACGTTTACGAAGTCATGAAATTCCATGTCATCAAGCTTCATGAGTCCAGTCAATGTGTTCCAATCATTTTCGGTGTAGTTTCCAGTAGAATTCACGATATTGATTGTTTGACTACTTTGGTGATCTTAAATAAATCCAGACTTCTTGAAGACATTCATTATCGTAGAGGAAGACGCATCATTCCATGCCTTGTCAGCCATTCTTAAATTTTTTTATTTTTATGGAATATTTTTTTAATTTTAGAAAAAAAATCTTCACTATTTATAGAAAAAAAAAATTCAAGTTATCGAGGGATTAGAAAAAAAATTTCGTGAAATCAAGTTTTTTTTAACATTGAGTGTATAGGAAATTTGAAGGGATTTTTTTTCCTTCGAGATATCGAAAAATTCGTGAAATCGAGATTCGAGATAGCGAGGTTCGACTGTAATTGTTTAAATTAAGAAATAAATTATTTATTTTAATTCAAATGAAATACATGTTTTTAAAAAATAACTTAAAATTAAATATCCTACTCACTCTGTATTTATCTGACACACATCTGTATTCTTGATATATTTTAAAAATACTACAACTAATATTTAATTCTATAGAGGATAAAATCCAATCAAATCCATAAATTGCTGAGGGAAGAGAAAAGTGTGCTTATGGAGCAAGTGATCACCTTAAAAAATCAAGTGGATGCCCAAAACCAAGTGGTGAGAAAGTTAGAAGAAAAAGAAAGACTACTTCAAACAAATGTTGCAACTGTAGAGAAGGAATTAAGGTATAAGTTTTTACTTTTTTCAAACGATATAAGTTTTTGTGTAAAAATAATTACATTCAGCCATTTTTTATGCATTGTAAAATAATTTACATATTATTTTTGGAAACAAGAAATGCAGATTAACTAATATGTTATGACTATTGCCTAAGGTTGAGAGATAAACTTAGTATTAAAAAATATTGGTGAGATTTCAGCCTTAACAAAATACCTTAACAGTTTTGCAAATATAATATAAAATACTTGGAGTTATAAAAAATAAATCTTATTCTATTTTATTTATTTTTCAAAGAACAAAATTCTCCATAGAAAGTTGCCCACCCCCTCCTTTTTACTATTTTTCTTTTTATTTGCTTCAGAACTAATTTTCACTTCTAAGTTATGAAAAATTAGAAATGCTATTACTGCTTGCCATCGTTATCAAAATTCTTTTTTATTTTCAAAATTTAACTTCTGATAGTATTAAAGTTATGTGAATCATGAAGTAAATGTCTTAGTATGAGAAAAAAAAGAAACACATAATTAATTTGATTGGCGAGTTATAATGAGAGCAGATGTTAAATGTTTCATTGATATACCAGATTGTATCTAGTTTACATTATAATTTTTCTTATTTGGAGATATATTTTTTTCTTTCAACAAATACTGCATTCTGAAAAGATATGTTTTAAATTAAATGCAATTTTGTGATTGTTACTGCAATTGCTCTTGACTGTTTCAAATCGGTCTAAATTCATCTTAGCTATGAAAAAGTCAATTTTGTTTTTTAAATATTAAAGTTATGAAATATTAAAGTTGTTTTATAAATATTTTGTTAGGATTACATTGCTAGATTATATGAACTGAATTTTTAAAAATAAATCATTATGCGTTAAAGTAAAATTAAATTATTGCTCCTAAAGTATAAAACTGCCATTTTGAATATTCAAGCTGTGAAGTAATAAAGGTATTGGCTTTAAAACTTGTTCTACTTGATATTAAGGTGACAAATAGTTTCCTGACTGATTTGAGCTTAGAAATTTAAAGCTAATTCGTTAATGATTTAATTTTTAAGCCTAAGGCAACAGTCTGCTGAAATGCAAAAACGAAAATCTATTGAAAGTGCTCAATCGGCTGCAGATCTAAGGTTGCATCTTGAAAAATACTTATCACATCTTAAAGAAGCTCAAGCTGCTGTAGCTGAAAAAACTAGTGCTGTTCAGCAAGAAGCGTTTAAAACTAAACGATTACAGGTACAGTTAATTTACATTCTTATTTTAGAAAACTTCCTTATCCATTATGCTTTAGATTAAACCAAAAAAAAATTTTTTTTATCAAATTGCTTATTCTTTTCTATTTTGTGACTCTATTAACCTTTTTCTATATTTAAATGTGTAACAGGAGGAAATAATAAGTTTAAGAAGAAAAGTGGAAAGAGGGAAGAGGTTTGAACTTGCTACTACTCCTGATGAAGTGCTGGCAGAAGAAGTTAGAGAATACAAGGTAAGTTTTCAAAACTTCATTTTTGCAGAATTTATATTTGTCCTGATATTCTTAATTTTTCTCCTAATTTTCTGATTTTTGTACATAATCATAGCTTCTCATTTTCTACGAATACAAATTTTAAAATCCTCAATTTAAAATATTTGGATTTTTGATCCAACACTCAATGAAAGAACCAATAATTCAAACTTATTAACTTTTAATTATGCACATCATTTCAACAGTCATATAGCCTTACTACAGTATTTATTGTTTCTCACTTTTTGAGAATCCAGTCATTTTATGAAGAAAAAAAAAAACCCTTTAACAACTTTTATGACTTGAATTCAGGGGTCATACATTTATTTATTATATTCCACAAATGCCTTAACAAATCTCTTATGGAATAGAGCAAATGATTCATATCTTTTCATTTTATAAATGATCAATTCCAATCAATGTTTAAATATTTTTATGGGAAATTGAAGGATCATCTACTAAATAAGTTTCTAGCAAAAATGTTCAACTGCATATTCACTGTCTTTTTATTTTTAATTATTAAAACCCTGATTTAATAATATTTGGTTAAAGAAGTCTAAAACTCAATTACAAATTTCAATTAAATATTAGTCTGAGGAAATATTAACTAGATTACTGGATAGTTATTTTTTTTACGCAACAATACTATAAAAAAATTTTGTTCATTGATCTTTCAACTATTATGAGTTGTTTAGTGCTCCATTAATAAAATTATACTAGAAATTGTTAAAACTTTCTGTTCTGGACAAAATTAATTATAATATATTTTATAAATATAAATTAAGAATAATATATTTTATTATTCTCTTGTGATAAAATCTGCCTCAAATGTACATACATAGAGCAAATTATGCTTTTTTTTTAAGTTTGTTATTTACTCTTTTTAAAAGAAGTTTGGTTATTATTGATTTAACAATGTTGTTTTTTTTTTTTTTTTTTTTTTTTTTTTTTTTTTGATCCTCTACAAGTCCTGTAATAAAATGTTAATTGCTAAAATTGACTTTTTTTAAGAAATCATTTATAACATTTAATTAAAACTTTCATAGTATTTATTTTTTTAGTTTAATACTGTTATTAATGGAAATAAGTTTTGTGTTTAGTTTTACTTATGAAAATGCATTTATATTTCAATGTTAAGATATTTTTATGTGATTCATTACAATTAAAGCTTTCAATTTAATTATAATGTTTTATAGTTAGAGTAAGGAGTTCTATCTTTTATTACATGTATGTCATGTTTTAAACTGGTTTTAAATTTTTATAATTAATTAAAGTTTTAAATGTAAGGTAATAAAACTTTTGACATCTTTGAGTTAAGTATATTGTATTAAAATTCTCACTTTTTTATATAAACACTCTATACTTATAATTTTATTTAAGTGATGGAGCATCAAGTATTAAATAATTTGAATTTACTTTTTTTTTATTCATAAAACTGAATAAGCAGTAAAAACAGAGGCATTTTATTGTTACAAAATAGTCAAAACTGATTCTTCTGTTACAATAAATCTTAATTGTTTTTTTGAATAATATTGTATCAAGTCTCAATTCGATAATCTATAGCGTAGAAGGCATACCATAGATTTACCGACATCAAAATTTAACATTTATCCCAGTATGTTATAGTGGAGATATAAAATATATGTATTAAGTTTGAGATATATGTATTAAGTTTAGTTGTACAACTTATATAACTACTAAAGTGAAAAATGAATGTTTTTCCTGCTCACGGCCTTTGTTTTGTTTTTTTCACACTAAGAAAAAAAAAATTTGACTTTGATTTGTTAAAATGACAAATTTTCGATAATTTCTAATATATTCACAAAATGGTATATTGGTGTATAATTAAAATGTTCTATCCAAAATTAATTCTTTTTCATTCTTTAAAACTCTTATTTGTAGGAGCAATTGACTTGCCCATCTTGTAAAGTAAAAAGGAAAGATGCAGTTTTGACTAAATGCTTCCATGTGTTTTGCTTTGATTGTTTAAAGACTCGTTATGAAACAAGGCAGCGAAAGTGTCCAAAATGCAATGCCAACTTTGGTGCTAATGATTTCCATCGTTTGTACTTAGCCTAAATATTCCGGATTGTGTAAGGATTATATACCTAGGCGCTATTCTTTTTTATACCGAGTGGCAGTGATTCTTTATTTTTATCTCTTTTTTTTTATCGTATGGATTTGAAACTTACGAGTTAAGTTTTAAAATTCAGAATGTTGTTGGTGGATTATTCTGTGTATAATGCATCGTTTGGAATATTTTCAGTGTTTACACATGTATTTATTTGTTAAATGTTTCATTATATCATACTTTTATAAATTTCTTTTCTCATTCATTGTTGCATCATTGTGTCTGAATCTTAAAATAATTGGTTTATAAAAATCAACATGTGCATTTAAATGCTTTTATGCATTAACACAGTAAGAAGCAATTCAGAAATATTCACTGCAAATACACTCTAAGTAGTGGCCAAAAAACCTGTCAATTATAAATATGGATGGAAAAGTTATAAAATTACTTATTTAAAGTTTTACTTGTAACAAAAATACCATTGGGTAGAATTTTATGCTGATAAATTTCATCTTAGCAAAGTGTGTATATCTCATTGATATATGAATATGTGTAGAAAATATTGACTGTGAAAATTAAGTAAATGTTGATACCCATGTATATTATTAGGTATTTATTTGTATTAAAAATGTTTAAATGATAACTACTATAGTGATGGGGGGACTTATTTTTAATTTATTTAATTCAATACTTCTATATTAGGAAAATTTTTAACATTTTTGGTAATGTTCTTTTTACTATTATGATTAATTTAAACTTGTAGGCATTGTTTAAAAATAGACGAAAAACAATGGCCACAACTGTGCCTTTCACTTAAATTATTACTACAGTTTTGTAAAAAATTTATATATACATATATATTCCTGAATTTATAGGGAATTACTTCGAAATTCATATAATTTTTCCCCCGAAGTTTTTTCTTTTTTTATGTTGTATTAATATAAAAAAATTTTTTTTTTTGGCTTGCAAAATGTTTGAATGCTATCAAATGTAAAGAAATTCATATATGCATTAAAAAAATCTGATAAATTATATTTTCAAACTTTTTTTTTGTATTTTATTTTAATGTATTAAAATATTAATTCCACACAGTTATATTAATTCCACAATTTTTTTCTTGTAAAATGTTTTTATACTGTTAATAATATGCAGCAAAATACTTCAAGATTTAATTTCAATGTATCAAAATACTAGTGCTGCATGATTTGTTCTGTCCTGTAAAATGTTTTTATACTCCTAAAAATGTGCAGTGAGGTAATTTATATATATAAAAGTTATTCATTGTTTTAATTGTGAAACATTATACATTGATTACAATGCTGTTTCTTTAAGATCTGTTGAAAATTTTTGTCTGACTTTTGAAAGCGTTAATTTATATTATTTAAATTTATTGCCGATGTAATTATTATTTTTACTTATAAGTCATGACTGTAAGGGGGAATACCTCAAATATTGTGCATTTTTTTTAGAAAAGTTTATAGATGTTTTGCTATGTAAATAAAAATATTCATGACTAAATTAAAAAGTGAGCAAGTTTTTTCAATTTTCTTTTGCTTATAGGTAATTTGATATGAAAAATGGAGTCTTTCAATAACTTTTTTTTTTGTCTGCAATGTACACTGTGTTTCAAAGTGAATATAAAGATAATTTGAGTTATGAAGTTTTCAATATTTTTTAACCTAGTGGCAATATTATTTCAGCTTTTTTTAAAAATAAAATTTAATTTTGAAGCTATTTTTCTTACATGGTATGGATAAATTAGATTTTGTCACATCAAAAAGAAAAGATATTAAAAATTGTATTTTTTCGCCAAAACAAAGAAAAATACCTATCGTGAACATTTAAGTAACGATAAGCTGTCAATTGATCTTCAATTTCAATTGAAGTTTGTCTATAATTTATGAAAGTTAATAATAATTTGCATTCAAAAGATTGTTTCTCTTTTGCCTATATCTAGATCTTAATTCACTATGAGCTGAAAAGTAACAAAATCGGAGAGTGACACTACCTAAAATAATCTGTATAAAATTTTAAATCAAGTAATTAAATTTTGAATTGAGGCTTCTTACGTACCGTTGTTAAATTGAAGCATAAAAGGATTTGTTTCAAAAACAACTTTTCCTGTGTGATTTTACTTTGTTAATTTAATAGAAGTAGTAGGTTTTCAAATGCAAGGAGTTGAGGCATTTTTAAAAAATTAAAATGTCTCCACCTAAAAGTTTATTATTTTTTTTCTTTTGAGCAAAAGGTTTTTAAATTTAACTAAATTTCCTATCTACTGCTGTTTAAATAGTCTGAATGTAGATCTTAACTGCATTTAGCAATATAAACTCTGTTGAAAAAAAAATTAAAATGTATAGTATCTATTTTATTCACACAACCTTTTTATATAGTTCATTTTGTGGTGATTTGAAAATGAATTTGTCTCGTTAACTTGTAAAAAATTCGTTTTTTTTCTTATGTGTCATTCCTTTTAACAGATTATTTTTCTATTTAAGTTCCATTAATTCTTTTTTTTCCTTAAAAAAAATTAAATGTAGACATACGGTGAATGTGAAATTCTTATAATGTTGAAACCTAATCCTACAATATGCGTAAGCATCTCTGTCCCTAGTAGGACTAGATTTTTGTTAATTATAAACTGCTTTTTTTGAAGGATAAAAACATGGTTTATCACAAATTAATCTCACTTTTTTTTCTGTAAATTCTCCATTTTCCTATTACTATTCTATTAAATTTTTTTCTGTAAAATATGCTATTAAGTAATCTCTGTTTAAAAGTTTAAAAAAAAATTTATAAATTATTTAACTTGATTTTGTATCAAAACTTAATCATCTAAAATAATTGCAAAATGCAAAGCATTGTGAAATTTATTTTTATTTTATAAAATGTTACAAAAAAGTAAACAAGAGCAGAGCTAGCTATAAGCTGGTTATAAATAGAATAAAAATGTAAGAAGTTGTTCACATGAATCATGGCAAAATTCGAATATATAAGATTAAATATGATATGTAGTAACAATAGCTCTGACATTATAAAATTAAATAAAAGATGGCAAATTATTGAACAAAATATGTGCACTAACACCACTTCTCAAAACTGTAAAAATATTCCATGTAGATTAACTTAATGTTATATTTCACTATTTATTCTAATCAACAAACAAGTCAATATTATAATGTAACATAAATAAGTTTGATGAAATGCTGCACTCTGATTCACAGTATCTGCTTCAGCTAAGACAGCTCTTTGCGTAGTTATTGGTTCAGTCATTTCAACACTTGTTTTGGAGCATTTGAACCAATTACTTCCTACTTCAAATGGCCCTTTATTATCAACTCTCATTTTAGCATCTATGAATTTCCAATACTTGAGATCTTTGAAAAAATAAGTACTTCCTGAAATAAAAATTTATTTGAGCATTTAAAAAATAACATTAAAAATTTTTTGAAGCAGTTGTTTTGTCTGTAGTTTAATCATAAATAGAGGCAAATACAATTAGTGGGATCATGGAAAAAAAGATCTAATTTAGAGCTCTATGCGGTCTATAGATTTCTTGGTGTTGTTAAATTTATCAAAAACAGAAACTAAATCGGTTGGTCACCTGGCCAGAATGCGGGATGACCATTGCTGTAAGAAATTTTTTTTTTTAGCTAACTGAGTATCTGCGCTCTTGGTAAGTCATGAATTTTGACTATTGTAGAAATTTGTCATAGAAAGTCATGATTTTTAATGGACAAAGGCTGAAAAATCATGGATATTATGCATTGGAATGCATAATCCTCAAAATCAAATCGTCTTTTCCTAATTTAAGTACAAAACTGCATTGTCTGGTCATAATAGCTCTGTGGTTCGGAAATCAGACTTCGGTCCAGAGGGAACTGGGGTTCGGTCTTCGACTTCTCTAAGATTCACCGAGTTCATGCTTATAAAATCTGTGGAATGGAAAGTCCTGTGGCTGGTTGCTGATCAGTTCCATGGATACATAGAACTGGAAAATATTTTTCCTTCAGATCTATGCCAAAATCGTGGAAGTGGCATCTCGAATGAGTGGTGCTGCCATCTATCCGTGGGGTTTGGAGCTAAGACATACTTTCACCCTGGCGGTCCTCTTTTGTCAAATGAAAGACGCACCTTGACTGAATTCTCAAAAGGCCAATGGTTGGTGAACTTGGCTTGTCCAAGTGTTATTAGAAACAATAATAACCGCATTGTTGCCTTACCCTTTCATCATAAAATTGTCATGTTAAGAGTTGGTGGTATTAACCATTCCTCACAGTAATGTGACTTGTAAGAGAATTTTCAGCTATGTAACAAAAAGCCAGCTTTAATTCTGTTCTTTGTGAAAACAAACTTGAAAAAATTGGTTGACTGGGAAAGCAAGTTAGAAAGTATTTCAGAAAAGTTTTTATGTAGTGTTTTAAAAAAAAATGCTAAATCAGTCACTCAATCTGATTTAAAACAGTAGAATAACTTTTCTTTTTAGGGGTAAAAAAATCTTTTTATTGTATTGATCGTTATATTATGCTGTAGGCACAAAAAGTCTCGGGCTATTTGAATTTCTGAGGTTCGCAAGTATGGTCGCCCAAAGGTGACTAAATATTACAACAAATGGCGATTGAAAAATAGTCTACTTAGTGCCGTCTGATTGCCACTTTTTCGTCAAAAATGTAACCTGTATGCATTTTATTTAATTTTTATAAATAAGGAATTTTGTATCACTTCAAAAATTAATGTACTTCTTGTTAGATCTTTTTCTTTTTTTCATTCTAGAAATGAACCTTGAAATGTTTACCATATTTTAAGAAATACTTCAAAAGAAATGCCTCACATCTTTAATATCAAAATTTTTTTAATCGTTTAAAATTTTAAATATTTGAGAAAGTGGCCACATGTTTTAAAAAGTGGTCATTGTTAAAAATACTACAACTGGCCATTAGTATAATGTCTTAGTTTTGCCCTATAATATTCACTGTGTTTTCATTCATAGATCATTAATACCATATTTTAAAATTTGATTAAGAAAATATTGAACTTAATTAGAAATATATATTGGTATGAGAGGATATCAACTAATTAATACTTTTTTTTAATGTAACAGTCAATACAAATTTTCCATGCATTGATTTGAAACTATTATGAGTTGATCAGTATTGGTAAAATTATATTAGAAACTCTAAAAACTTTCTGTTCTAAGCAACGTAATTCTGAAATTAGAATATTTTATTATTTTTTTGCGATAAAATTTGCTTTTATAATGCTTAAGTGCATTGGTTAAGAATGTTAATGTTGATGATATTTTAATTTTTTTACCTTTTCTTTTATTAATGCTTGAAATAAATTGCAATTTTTTTTTCTTATCGTGATTACGTGATTCGTCGTAGACTATTATCATGTTGGTTTCTCAATTAATTTAAATTTAATCAGTTATACTAAATATCAATTTATACTAGTTTGAAAATTATTTTTATTACCGTGATTGATTTTGATCAATGCATTGCGGTAACTATTAGTAATAGTTTTTGTCTTAATTATTATTAAGATGGCAAATTTATTTATTCAGTATTAAGTACAAATTTGTTGCATAAAATGTATCAAAAATTGCGTCTAAAAACTTTTTCATAAATTGCGGCGATATCTATCTTTTATACATCAACAGCTCTTTTAACATGCAACAAAGCTTTAAATTGGTCGTGCAGGACTGGTGAACATATGGAATCCATATTACCATCAATCCATTGAAAGGCTGCATCAACATTTTGTGGAACACCTCTCCAAGCTGATATTTTTCTTGGATAATCAAGTTCAACTCTTCCTTCAGATTCATCTAGTTTCCAATATTCTTTCCCACTGAAAAGATATGTTTTGCCATTGTGCCCCCATACAATAGCTGCATCGATTCTTTCTAAATCGGGTGGCAAACCGAGATCTGTTAATGGTTTGGGATAACCAGGCTCTAAACGGTTTGCCTGAAACAGCCAATAAAGTTTACCTATAAAGAGAATATAAAACGAATGAAATTGAGTTTTGTCTAAATTATGCAATATAATAAATTGGAGTAATTATTTATAAAACATTATTCTTTTTGTCCCATGAAAAAATATGTCGCTTTATGGCAATTAATTAAAACAGCCGGGAAATAATGCACAGTGCGCAAAATGAAAAAGTGAACACTCTGATTTTCGATCTAATGAATTGATTTTTGTGCTTACTACAAGATTCTTAACAGCCAAGCAATTATATCTTTTGCATTTAAAATATGATAACAATGCACTGAGTCATAACTTCACGCAATTAGTTTTTAGTAATAATGTAATGATTAAAAATTATGTTATTTATTAATTATAAGAATAACCAGGATTCGAAATTAGCGATGGTCCTTTAGTCAGTGACTACCATAAAATAATTATCAGTGGTCTTTCGGACCAACAATTAATGGTATGCTCTTTTGGTTTTATTATTTACAGTTTGTTGTTTTTATACAAAATAGTGTATTTCATTCTGCGGGTTCGATCCCCGTCCCAGACACCGGATTTTCGGGATGCAGAAAATCCTCAGCAGCCATGTCGTATGCGGCATGTAAAAGATCCCTGGAATGCCTTATTGGCTCTTGGCATTTCCGGCAAAATTAAATTCCTGTGGTGGTACTTATTCCTCTTGGCCCAGAACAAGGCTAGACCAAGTCCAGGAGACCGTTCACCTACCGAAAATCAAACACTATCTGCGGATCCTCCAAAATAAATTTTTTCTCCAGTCCCATACAGGATAGCAAATGATCTGGTGAAGCCTGGTGAGCATTTCTAATAATTAAATTCCTAGTGCACTTTAGCATCCAAATAGAGTCTCGGTGCTGCCATCTAGTGTGGCAGAAACTAGACATCTAAATTAACATGACCAACGGTATCTCACCCATTGTGGTAGTCCTGAAAGAGTGGATACCACCTGTGGAGAACGCATTAGGTCTGCTTATCGGCAAGACCGATTGTGCAACTCATTGGAAATAAAAAAAAACTTTACATATTCTCTGTATTGTATTTTCTCATTTCACTTAAAGAAAAATCTTAAGACACGCCCAAAGAGACCAGGGAAAATGTGTACTAGTCTAGTAATGTCACCTAGTTACTGGTCCTTAGGACCAGTGACCTAACTTGATATTTGAAATATATAATCCAGTATACAAACATATAATTAGAAATATGTTCCTGGCGACTCCTATAATTCCTTGTAATTTATTTTATTTTATTTTATTCTACTTTTTTTTTAAAGGAAAGATCATGGCTTGTTCATTCGATGAGAACTTTCTTTTTAATTTTTAACTAATTAGGCATTGTCGCATTAAACACACGAAATAGAAAATTCAAAACTATGGATTACATGTGCACACTTCAAAAATAGAGATTCCCAAACTTATGACACAGTTTTTTATGTATATCAACAAGAAGATTTTGAAAATGATAGTAAAGATTGATTGTCAATGAGTAATTAACGAGCCGGTAGCATTTTTGCGGACTATCATCAGCAATGAAATTTTTGCCTTTGCTTTATGGCAGAACAAGAAAAAATTATGATACAGTACAATTAACATGCAAATTATCACACAGAAAAAAACCCGAATGCAAGGAATGTGAGGGAATATTCATAATAAAATATAGGTATATAAAATACATATTATAATTAACTACAAATTTAAACTGACTGTACAATTTTTAATTTTCAGTTGATTAACTGGACTTGGATAAACAAATTTTTATTATGTTTCATTATATTCTTAATTCCTAATTTTGAATAGTGAAGAAAAAAAATATTAAAATCATTGTTGTTGTAATTATATTCTTGATAAAAAGATATATTTTTTTATAAATTCAAAACTAGAGTTGTGGAATTTAAAAAAATTCAAATTATAACAGGGTGAGTAGCCAGATTTTTCAACAAAAAACAAGCACCTTAAGTACTATTTAAGCACTCAAAAATATTTTTATGCATTTTCCAAAAAAAAAAAAAAAAAAAANAAAAAAAAAAAAAAAAAAAAAAAAAAAAGAAACGATTACGATTTGAGCAGTAATAAAAATTATTTTTTTCTATCATTTAAATTTCTTAATTTATAAACATAAAATCAATAAAATTCAAAAACTTTACATAATCATGATAAAATAACTAGTTTCTGATAAATATTGCACAGAAAATTATGAAAATCATGCATTTTTTGTAATTTAGAACGACAATCGATATGGCAAAGAAAAAATCTACTATTAAAAGATAGAAAATTAAGCACTTTTTACAGACCCCGAATAAAAAAAGCACCTTTAAGGGCTTTTAAAAAACGTAAATAAAAAATAAGCACTATTTAAAAACGCTACGCACCCTGTTTTCACATACTTAATGTTTTGAGGACCTGATCTTAAATATGTTAATTATTCAGTGCCGAATATAAGGCCATAAGTTTCGAAATTTGACACAAAAAAGTACTTTCTCTAAATAAACATAAATCTCAAAATATGGAGGTAGCGATAGATTAATTTGCATAGAGGTAAATTAATTTGCATATTTAAGGTTAGAACGTGAAAATCTGATCATTAGTTCAAAAATTATTCAGAGTGTTCACTTTCTTTCCATTTTGTGTATATTGCTGTAAAGTTGTTGATTACCCAGTTAGTAACTTGATAAATACCATTTTTAATTTTAAAAAATTAAACTAATTCAAGTAACGGGATTTTTAAAGCAAACGATTTTATTTATGTCATGCGCCTGAAAATTTTAATTACGTTGTTGAAATATAGAAATGCAAACTTTGGAAGCTATTTTTAACATATTTTTCAAAGAAAGTTTCAAAAGAAATTTTTGAAAACTGAAATATTTTCATATTTTCAAAAACTGAAATAACTTTATATGAAGTGTAAATGCTACGCACCATTTATATTTATCGGGTAATTCTAAATCAAATTTGTAATTAAGATTTTTCTCTTTCTAAATTTTATACGTCTTCACAAACGATTTCAGTTTATTCACCAAGTTTGGATGCAATGTATAAATTTACTTAACCTGTTGAATGCTACGCTAATTTTACATGGCTTGCCAGTTTGTGCAAAATGATTTTCTCAGTATGTATTGCATTAATTTCTTCAAACCATTTAAGTAACGATAATATAAAAAGATTGAGAGCATTAAAAATTTACTCAAATTATGTGTTTCTAATAACCTTGGCTTAGCCGGTCACCCCTGTGGCGCTACGAACAAACTCAATGCCGGTCACCGGTGACCCCCATAGCATCATTCAACGTGTTAAGAAAAAAAAAATTTTTTTTTCTTTTTGAAAATCACAATGTTTCTCTTAAGAAATAATATTAAACTCACCAGAGAAAAATACTATTTTTGTATCACCGGGTCTTTCATACAATGCATCTACCTGCTGTATATCTGCTGGAAGGTCATGCCAAAAACGATCAATTGCCACAGGATAACCACTTCTCAAAGTTTTATTCATGTCTAGTCGCCAAAAGTGCTGAAATAATTTTTCAAAAAAGTTTTATATTTTATATCACAATACATAACTTAACAAGAGAAATATATTTAAGTAAAATTCATGCATTTCAATAACGGTTTATAATTCTTTTTAATCTATTGGCTCATGGGCATCTTTGGTGGGGGGGGGGACAGTGAGTATAAGCCCCTTCAATAATTAGAAATCTCTATAAATCCCGCTCAATATTTCAGACAAATAATGAAAATATTCATAAATCATCTTCTATTTAAATTCATCAGAGTATTAAATACTAGAAAAGAGATCAAAACAATTAACCTTTTTGCAGATATTTAGGAGATTTAAGAAATTTGTTCTGGAATTTGGATTCCGTATGTCCCCTTCCCTCCGAAAAAATAGGACTCCTGCCACGTTCATATATCGGTGAGGTGGTTACCTTAGCTCAGGAAATTTCCCGGTCTCTCTTTAATTCTTATAAAAAAATTTGAAAAGCAAAATAGAATTAACTAAGAAATATTAGTTTAATGTAAAATAGTTATGATGATAAAAATACAAAAAAATTTAATTCCATTTCTGAACATAATTTTAAGAGAGTCTGACATTAAATAACTTATTGAATAACCCTATACTATATTATTTTCTGTGATATCTAAAAGACTATTATGCCGTTATAGACATTATTTATTTCCTAGCTTTTAAATGTCCTTTATTTCATAAATTTATATTTCTTAATCTTTAAATAAACAAATCAATTAATCCAATTTTACAAAGAGATCTAGAAATATGCAGTGACTTCAATGCTATCACAAAGGCAGTGTTACTTATCGCTTTCTAGATCAAGGTCTAATTATGTAATTCTGGCCCTATCTGTACAGGTAAAAACTTAGCACTATTCTTACGATTATCATGTTAAGTTGGTTAATCTTTTTTATTGTGCAACATACAGGTAAGATGCGTTTTAAAAAAAAAGTAGTGAATAGAAGCATTAAAATTTTTTAAAAAAAAATGGTTGAAAGTTTTCTCTACACATAAAGTTACCTGTATTCACCTAATTTGTAATAAAAAATCAAGGAGCCACTAAACATATCCATAAAACTACCGAAATAAAATAGAACTTTTTAGGCGTCGATCGGTGCACAAACGTCGCACGTCTTCAAAGCGTGGCACATAAGGGAAGCAAATCATGGTGAATTATCTGTCATTCCTTATTTCTCTGATATATTTCGACAATTTCGCAACAGCATCATTCGCACGCGTTATTGAAATCGTGTCATATTTGCTGAGTGTCGAACTGAAAGTGGTTCATCATTCATGTGATTCTTTGACAGAAAATGTTTAAAACCTGCCGTCAACGTACTTCCTTTCTCTTTCATATATTCTGTACACCTACATTACCATTGCAGGCGTTTCTGATGAGACCGTTTACACAGTTTGTAACAAAACGGGATGTTTATTTGTTGCTTTATTTAAATTTGATGCCAGTTTTTGCACTCACTCCTTTCACCTGACTAATGCGAAGTTTTATCTGTAACGGAAAGTGCCTGTAACAGAGAAACCTGCACCAGTATCACTCAAGCTCCTTTGGGGTTATCCATCCATTCACGGATCTTGCAAGACATATCACATTCTTTTAGGATTACCAATCTGAATTTGCCCCTCCCCCAGTGATGCGTAACATCTAACAGTTCTACATTTATGAGAAGCAGTCTGTAATGATCAAGGTAAAGAAAGCAGTCCATAATGATCAAGCATATGACACTGTAATGAAAAATACATAAATATTTGCAATAGAATCGCGACGACCCAAACTTCTTTTATCCAAATACAACTCTGATTTTCCTCTTTGCATGTTTGGTTTTCTTCTTAATTTTAATTAAGACCTCAAAAAAAAGAAGAAAAAAGACTTTTGTAAATACATCTTTTGTATCGCATGGTATATAGAAAGGATCATTTTAAAGTTCTTTTATTTGAATTTGTTTGTTTCGGTTTTGCTAAAGAAATCTAAAAAATTGCCATTTTCTTTCACCTGTCTTTTAATTTTTACTACTGCAGAAAAGTTTCCACTCTTACTAAAAGGAAACATAGCATATTACATTATTTGTGCTAGAAAAAGATACAATATCATAGGGTGAATGAAATCGGTTCAAAGCAATATAAATCAACTTACAAAACCAGTGAACATGAAAACGGTTCAGAAATGCAAGTTGCATTGAACAATTGGCTTACTCAGAAAAGAGCGAAGGATTATCGTAATATGAGGATATGGAGCAAGTAAATTTTAAAATGAAATATTGAAAAAAAGGAGCTTTAAAATATCATACTAAAATTTAATTTCAATATTATAAAACACTATTAAAAAAAACGAATATTTCGATTATTTGAAGGAGGACCGACTCGAATTATCTCAGATAATCGAGGCTCAAATGTAGGTATTAACAGTTAGTCTAATGAATCTTACTTTGCCTTTAAAAACAAACACTTCTCTTCGAATCACCGATATAGCATCAATCGATGTATTGCAAACATCTATTGCTTTAGGATTGGCTTCAGCAGGTACTTTTCGGGGTTTTGACGTAGTCATTGGTAGGAATTTTCCTGCCTCTGATGTTGTAGAAGTTTCTGTAGTTGTTGGTAAGGTGGGCATAGTTGGCTGTTTAAAGGAGCTTTTCCGACCTACAATAATAAATGTGTTATCATAAACGAATAGAGAAAAAAAAACTTTTTCAAGTATCACAGTATATTTATTTTTGCATAATTTACAAGATGAACCCGTACCGTAAAGATGCCGAATTCCATCGGCGTCATCTTTTGGCAGGGTAAATTGTTCGCCCATCACTTGATAGTAAGGAAACATCAAGGAACCTGGCGTAGATGAGTGAGATAATCCCAAGGAATGTCCAATCTCATGAGCTGCCACAGCAAACAGATTTACACCTAAACGAAGAAAACAATTAAGCAAATGGCAACTTCTGTTGCATGATGACAGAAATTAGTTACACGAACCTTCATCTTCATCGTCTGGTTGGGTGGGTAGCCACTTTTCCTCAGCATCAAAATGAGCATCTCCTCCGATTCCTTCACCTGGAAAAAATGCGTGAGCAAGGATAGATCCCTCACCATCAAATGGATAACCATCTCCATGTGATCCCCTCAAGAAAGAAACTATTATGTCTGCAGTAGGTTCTTCCACTTCAATGAAAGTAAGAGAAGATGCAGCGCTCCAGACGTCAAACGCTTTTCGTAGTTGTGATCGCACCATCTGTAAGTCGGCCGAGCTAATACTGCTCTTGACACTAAATGTAATGAACATAGTGTAAAAATACAAAATAAGACAAATAATAAACTACTGTTTAATAATACTGCGAGTTTTGACTTCATACCTGATTCATTGATTTATTTTTAAGGTAAAACAAAGTTTTCGCGCTCTTATCACTGCATGATTCTCGTCATATTTAATCAACTTTTGAACCCCTAAAAGGGTTTATTTTTTTCACCAGATAAATAGCAAGTTGTTGTAATTTCATTTTTTTTTTTTTTTNTTTTTTTTTTTTTTTTTTTTTTTTTTTTTTTTTTTTTTACCTTGAACAAACTGGGCACAGTACAGTCACATAAGGTATTTCTGCCCTATACGGCACATTCGAAATTTAAATAAATATAATTTTTTAAATAAAATTTCTTTATAAACATATGATTTTGATTATGATTTTATCACTTCGCTCTAAGTCATACAAAATAAAATTGCGGGTCACTGCTTTTCCATTTTTTTCAGATATGAAAACCACGGGGGAAGAACTGTTGATTATGATTTTATCGCTTCGCTATATGTCATACAAAATAAAATTGTGAGTCACTGCTTTTCCACTTTTTTTATATATATGAAAACCTCCGGGGGAAGAACTGTTTATGTCCATAAAATCTGATTTGGAGGAAAGCTGATGTGTTTTTTTCGCAGTACGGCCCATCTTCACAGTGTAATACTCGGAGAGAATTGATTTGTAACGTTATTGATTGGTAATATACGCAAGTTATATTTCCCGATATATATGCACTTAGTAATGCTCAAAATGCAACAGATGGCGATCGATCGTTATTTTTCATATTTTATTTTATAATCAGTGTTAAACAGCTGTCTGAAGTCTTGAACTTGAAGTCTGAGTTAATGACTATCAATGATCAACTCCATAGCCTTGTAATTTTGAACTCAACCCAGAAGACAATGGAATTCCTGAATCCATTGGGACAAGCTAGCCTCCGTGGAAGAACTAATCCACATTTGCAGTACATGGAGAGGAGAACCACGAAAACAATCTCATGGTTAGCAAGGGATTATAAAACATGATTCGTCTACCACTTAAGATATTTTACGTCAGCACTGTGGTCAATGCTAGCCGGGAGAAGAATTCGTATCAACCAGCCACCTCTGGTATTTGAACCTGGGTTAACCTATTAGGAAGCGAACGCTGTATCCCCTGAGCCACAGCGGCTCAGATAGTCATTTTTGTGAAAAAATGAACATAAGACTTTCTTCCTCCTTAGTGTTCACATACTTTCACCAAGTCATAAAATAAATACAAAGTTAAAATGAGCTGCATGAGAGACCTTTTCCATGTCAATAAAGTACAACAAATAAAAATAAAATCATAGCGGTCAGCAATATCAGTAAAAACAAGTAATATCAAAAAAAAAAAAAAAAAATTAAAGTCAATTCCTACTTTGGTTAACAAAGCAAAATTTTATTTTAGTTGCTTTTTATTAAATGATTAAAAAATTTTCTTCCATGTAAAACTGAAATCAATTAATTAAATTTAATTAATGATACTATCAGAGCTGACCTATCAAGCAATATTGGAGCAAACAAGTTCGCAAGTTAACGTTATGTTAGTATTGTGCTTATGTTAGCTCTTTGCTCCAAAAATAGATGATGAATCGGCCTGTCTAATTCAGGGGCTCTATCACAGACAACTATAAAAGTATAAATTTGGTGACGTGGACCACACGTACTACCGCGTATGTTCTTTATTGAATTTATCTCACACAACGAATATAAAATAATTAAATATTTAAATGTGCGTGATAAAGTGTTTTTTTTTTTTTTTTTTNTTTTTTTTTTTTTTTTTTTTTTTTTTTTTTTTTTTTTTTAATAGAGCTATAAGAGAAATTATCACTGACGTTATTGTTAAAATATGTGAAAACTGAATCGCTTATAGTAAAATTTAAAACAATGACTGAAGCTTAACCAATCAGAAAATTTCATTTCGTTTTTCGCTCTTTCCATTTCTTAATTAAGGAATTAATATTTTTAAAAATTGTATGAACATAAAATGTCATCCACCACAAACTCAAAAAAAAAAAAATTTATTTGAACTTGAGTGGATGAAAAAAAAAGTATTTTATAAAGAATTGAATACTTGAACTAGACATAAGGAGAGTGTGAATTAATTGTAAGAATTAAATAAGATTTAATATGCAGAAAAAACGTATAGATTACTTTTTAGTTTGATTCTATTAAGCACATGAATAATTACAATGGTTATTATACAAAATTATTTACAAGACAAAATAACAAAGAGGGAAACTTGTTTGGGCGAGGGTCGTCTGCCTAAGATCAAGGAAGCATAAATTGTATAATATTACTACATTGGCGATGACAGTAAAATAATACCCATTCTATCTGGGTTATATAAAACGATTATTCGTGTATTAGTCGAAACAAAAATTATATTATATTGTGTAGATATCAGTACTAAATTTTAAAAAAGATTTCTCCCATTCGAACAAAGCTAAACTTAAATAGATATGCATTCATTGAACGGGCTACATTATAGATTACGAAACGATTCGGAAAAAAATTGAAAAATCAGTTTTTATTGTTGGCGAGGAAAAAGCAGAAACTCCTTATTGTAAATTATAAGTCCATTGTCAAGATCATCCTTAAGAGAGAACGAGTCTAAACAAAATTAGATGATGAAGCTTGCCTTAACTCATTCGCATTTACACATTTTGCAATAATTTACAATTACTTGCCAATAACTAACCAGGTGTTTCTTGATGTAGCTGTAAAATATTTTCTTCGAAAAAGGTGCGATGATCCTCAGACGGTCATGACGTAGGAGGTTGACCATTTGAAGATTCGTACCATTATCGTCCCTCACTCAAGGAGGTTGTGTTAATAACGACATACCACAACCCTATTGAGAGAGGAACGAATTACGGATACATCTGGACGCATCATCTTCTTTTGGTTTATCGACATTCTTTGTCTTCTGGCTTTTCCTTTCAATCAAGTAGTTATTCATTTTTAAATTACATATTGTTCATTGGCGACAAAATTCTAGGGCTAAACAGTGGTAAATACTTCAAAAACCAAACTCATTGGAAATTATATTTACTTTTTGGAAAAGAAAAAGAAAATCTCGTTAAAATATTGGGGAACAAATCAGTGTGATTTGTTATACGTAAAAATAAATACTACCATCAAACAATGAAATATTTTAATTTTCAAAATAAGGTATAACTCAGAGAGATGTTTCATTACTTTAGTACACAAATACAGCTCACATAAAATGAAAATAGTGGAATAGTGAAAATTCTGGGGCTAAATAGTGGCAAAGACTTCAAAAACCAAACTCATTGCAAATTATCTTTACTTTTTAGAAAATATAAAGAGAATCTCATTAAAATTTTGGGGAACAAATCAGTTTGATTTGTTATACCCATAAATAAATACCATCAAACAATGAAATATTTTAATTTTCAAAATAAAATATAACTCAGAGAGATGTTTCATTATTTTGGTACACAAATACAGATCTCATAGAATGAAAGTTAACACTCGATTGCCCAAGGAATTCAAGGAATATAATGATGACACAATTTCTTAGAATTTTGTGACTTTTTGTACAACATATAATTTTTTAATTATTAATATTTTCTAATAACTTGTTATATAACTGAAAATAATATTAAAAATATTAAAAATTAATTTTAAACAAATTTCTTTATACATTATTTATTCTTTCATAATGCAGTCATTTTGACTGCTTTTGGGGAATATAGGTATTTCAGTCTTTCTAGTGTTAAAAGCATAAAATGAAAAAGAAAAAAAAAAAAGCAAGGCAAATTTGTTTGATCTAGCAACGTTGAAATTGTAAACCTTATTTTATTAATTCTGTAAAAGCTTCAATATGTCTTTTTTTCTCTAATTTTTTTTTTTAAAAATCTAGCTTAAATTCTTTTTTTTTAAAGTTTACCAAATGGCAAATAATTATATATCTTCCAATTAATACAATTTTCTCTAAAGGAAAAAAAATTTAATAATTAAAAGCAAAAGAATAAGTAATTAATTTCAAAGATGTTCAGTCATCAGGGAGATCCTGATAATTTTATTTATTCACTTAATACATTTTGATTAAATTAAAAGCAATATAAAAATGAGCGTAAGAGATGCTGGACCACAAAGCAATATCGTAACGAAGTTTATCTTAAAAAATAATAATAATGTTTTTGCTTTAAAAATCATTTGATTTATGAAAACATGATATTATATAACATTTAATAATATTATTTCTTAATTAACAAATTATTTTTTAGATAAAGCAGCTATCCACTGTTATATCGGTTTATAAATAATTATTTAGATACAATCAGTTAAGATATTCTTATAAGCTGTTTCTTTGAATTTAAAAATTATGAGGATAAATTGCAACAATTATGAGAAAAATAAATGTCACGAAATCAATGAACATTTATTTCGGTTCTTATTACCTTTATAAATTAAAATATATAGTGCCTATTTTAAACATGTACCTATTTGCCTAAAGATTTGAATGTTGATTTCTAAATTATTTTAAGTTTGATGTTTTTAGTCATTTTTCAAAACACTTCTAAGATACCTTTAAAAAAGTGGAAAGTATATGCATTAATGTAGGGAAAAAAATTTTTTTTTACTTAAACTAGAAAATAATAAAAAAAAGTAAATTTTATTCTAAAACTCATTTTTTAATTTTTAAAACTAATGTAATATCAAGTTGGAGTTCATTTCATAATTTTGAATAACTCTTAGAATTTATTTACTAATAAAAATTAGTATTATGGAGGAAAAGTTGTTGCTTATGTTATGTTATGTTGTTGCTAATGTCAAAGTCTTGGAAAACTTTAAAGGAAATGCGTTAAAATGAGTTTTTGAATTTAGAAGAACTTAATTTATTACTGTAAAATTATACGTAACCCACAAAGTATCTTTATATGTCTTATTTTATCCAACAACAAAAACTTAAAATTAAACATTAAAATA